GGTTGCCTTGTGAACGAAGGAATCTGATTGGTCCATCCTTAAATTGGCTCATATCTGGATTCATAAAAACAATATTAAAATGTAACCTCAACGATCCGAGAGGGCACAAACCCAGGGAGTGTGAGACAAGCTGTGACTGAGCTTCATCCATGAGCACTTCCCTACTGGTCTTCATTGAGCTAGCAGGTTAGCATTGAGCTAGCAGGTTAGCATTGTCCATGTGTTTACAGTTATCTCAATATGCATGACGTTTTCAAACCAAGGAAACGACTCAACTCTGGAAATAGCACTTTATTCACACAACAGAACCTCTTCTTCCGCACAAAATAATAGTTTTTTGTGCTGAAACAGAGCGAGACAGTAATGATACTCTTCAAATATTGACAATAATATTCAGGATTAATACTTTGCATGTGTGTATTTTCTCACAGAGCACTTCCCAATACATTTTGTTTTTACATAAATATAAAAAATAAGAATGAACTCGACTTTCCGTGATGTGCTGCAGCGATATCTTTAAAATCTCACACACGACGCATCTGTAAAAGTATAAAAGTAAATATACAATAGACTTTACAGATTTCAGTGGTTGACTTGTTATTGTTGACATTTAGTAATCGTTTTAGTGTTAATTCGACGTCCCAATGATCTCTCCCGATTGGTTCACCAGAAGTTCCTCAAAAATCATCAATACAAAATGTCTCATACGATGTCCTCAGTTAAAGCTGGGGTACATAACTTTCAGAACACTTTTATCCTCCTGGCCGTCGAGGTGGAGTCCACATTCATCATTATTTTAACTTTCATTCATAAAATTGTCCATGGAAGTTGAACAAGTTGCAATAATAACAGATTTTTTTTACTTTTTAACCTTTGAATCTCGTACCAAAACGACAAACTAAAGTCCTAAGAAGTCGTGTTTGGGCAAAAGGGCTCATTTCTTCAATTCTTAAATACAGACAACTAAAACAAAAATACACCTTTTTTTTCCTTTACTCCAATCACTAATAAACTCAAAAATCCATAAAAAGGGTCCGGGTCCTAGGGGGCGGGTGGTAGGGGGTGGGGGATGAGGTTTGCCTTGCTCCCTTTTGTTTCTCTCTGTTGTCATTGTTTACACACTAAATGAATCTCCTTCCCAGTACTGTTCTATTAAATTGTACGTATTCAAGCTACTAAAAGCTTCAATAGGTGGTATTCTAACACTTCTTGGAAAATATATGGTTATTTTATATTATTTATTATTTTATTATTATTATTATTACTTTTTAATTATTATTTCAATTTGTTCTTATTTTGTTTTTATTTGTTTGTATTTTTTGTTTTGTAATTTTTTTTTTTTTTTTGTGTTTTTTATTTATTTATTTTTTTTATTTCTGTTTTTTTATGGGGTTTTTTGTGTGTGTGTGAGCTGTACTCATCCCTGCACTCTCCTTGAAAATAATAATAAAAAATTGATCACAAAAAAAAAAATCCATAAAAAGTCGTTCAGTGCATTTTGTGTTCTTACCGTTATGTGCCTTTTTGTTTTGTTTTAAGTGTATGCACGGCTTTTGACAGCTGCAGCAGCACAGGTTGGAGGAGGTTAGAGGGTTTTTACAGCTTTAAAACAAACGGCTGCTACTTCATGGTTTTCACTTTTCACAGGCTAGTTTATTTTATTTTATTATCAACCTGTAAATATGAGCAACACCTATTTTTTGGGCAGATTTAATCAGTTTTGGGTTGTGTTGTTATGACGATACCATCTCCAAACAGGGGACTTTCACTTTGATATAATTCTAAACGTTTACCCCTGATCCAACCTGATTAGAAACAAATACAACACTATCGATGCATTTATAATTCATTATTAAAGATACATTCAAATACATAGTTTATAAATCTATATATCTTTATTTAAAAATATAAATCTTTAAATACTTAGAAATATCTAAATTACAAAAAAATATATATGTATTAATTTTTTTTCATTATTAGTATTATCCCAAAATCATTTTTAGCACAGCCTCAGCGCCTTTGTACTTATTATTTACGTATTCAAATTAATATTCAGTTTTATTTCATGAGTAAAAGGAAAAGATTAAGTCCAGTTTACATCTTGAATCATAAATATTTAGCCTTTTTGCCCAAAACAAGGATTTCTTAGGCCTTTTATACTTTATACTCTTTTTTTTGCGCGGGAGTTGGAGATTTTATTTTATTATAGTCTATCGAGGTATTGTTAATTTTTTCATTTAATCTGTGATGCAACACTGACATTTCCCCGCCGTGGGACAACGAAAGGATCTCAACCTTAATCTTGTCGTTCGCCGTTTTGGACGCTTCATAGAAATTATCCAGAGTCACATTTTTTTCCCGAAACAATATTTTTTTGCCCTAAAGTCAAACAGCTGCTGGAAGTGGCCCGTCCCATCACAGTCTCTCCGTTTTAAGAAACACGTCCAGCATCAGAACTGCCACATCCTGTCAAACCCGTCCTCATAAAAGTTGACGTTTGGGCTCATGGGGGGCCTCATCGGGGGCCTCAGAGTCTGAATGTACGGCGCCATCCGAGGCACGTATCCTTGCCGGTTTGCTGGAGGGTTCTGTTGGGTGCAGTTTGCGAACAGAAAAGCCATGGGGGTGGCCGTGCAGTCGTGCAGCTTCTCCACCAGCGCCCAGGGGTTTCCCGGTCGGTCGTAAATGCTGACTCTGGCGGCCCACCAACCTGGCAGAGGATCCCCGCCCCGCAGATCCACCACACTCGTCAAAACGCTCTTCGAGGTCAAGTCCTTGAGCAGGTCTTCGTCGAACGGTTGGAACGGGAAGTCGAACACGTTGCATTCTTTAACAAACGCGATGGCGTGCCACACGGACGGATTTTTCAGCCTTCTTTTTCTAATTTTTTGTCTACGAGCATCGGCGACCTGTATGTGTACCGCGGGCGCGAGTGGTTTCGCTTTGGCGTTAGCTTTAGCGGGAGAGGAGACATCTTGCTGTACGTTCCCATTAGGTTTCCCCTCGCTCTTGGTTCTGCAATGACAGAGACCACAGCGTTACAGGAAGAATTGGAGGAAGGTAGATTGATTTAGCAGCGAAGCGTTAGCATTTAGCATTTAGCCTTTAGCAGAGCTTTCAGCGAGGTTAATCACAAACCATCACCAAGCTTAGAAGCACAAATGGAACACGAAAATTGTCTTGTTATCTTACGGTTAATCTTTCCATTGATTCTGGCGACATTTTGTCATTCAAGTTTCAGGTTTTGAGCCTTCAATCAAAGGGACTTATTGAGAATGAAAGATTATTGGTTTGAGTCAAAAGAGATTTTCTTTGTTGGGCCGAGTCTCAGACGAGGGACAAATCCAAGAGCCAGTGTTTTGTTCTGTGTGAGATTATAAAAGCACTTGCCTCGTGTATGAACTGTGCTATACAAATTAACTTGCCTTGCCTAAAAGTCAGGGCCCAGAAGGATGTATTCTGGGGTGGGAAGGCTGAAGCTTCCCAAAATGAGGAGCCATATCCCAGGTCCGTATCGACCATAACGTTGGCTAAAGTTACCTCTAATAATGTCTAGATGTCGAGAGGTGTTGTGGGAGTGGATCCCTCCCTGAATGTGGGTTTGTCAGTTCTTGTTTGTTGTTTTCCGACGCAGGAGGGTCTAAGGACAGTGGAGATCGGTCTCTGCCCCTGGGCTCAGGACCAATGGCTCTACGTGTTTTTGTTCTTGCATTTCTTGCGTTTGAACAGTTCGGTGTTTTAGAGTTACACAAAAATAAATGGTATTGAAGATTGATTGATCAACAACTTGATTATGGTTAGGGTTAAATCAAACCTCACAAGTTAGATCCACAAGAAAACACTGCAGCGGGAAGGAAAAGAATGATTCAGGAAATGAGCAGAAAACACTGAAGTATCAACAAACAAACACGTACGCAGAGCTGCGGACACGGCAAAGGGATTCCACAAAGCTTTGACTTCACAAACACTACGTCCATGTGAACCACTTCTGTCCTGTCCTGTTTACTTCAAGATATATATCAATAATAATAAGTTATTCATGAACTTGCTATCGGGGTGTGGGGGTGGTGGGGATCTACTTTTACAACTATTGAGCCGTGACCCAACCTCGGGGTGTCAGGACTCAGAATATCACATGTGGTTAAGATTCATGATCAAGTAATGACCATTTAATCTGTTTTATTAAAGATTATGCTAAAACATACTTTCCACAACTGTATTTAAGATTTTTATAAAGAGCCAAACTTTACTTAATAATTGTTTTTTCCCATAAATTCTTGTTCATTCCTATTAATTCCTCTAATTTCTCATTAAATCCCGTGGAAAGTTCCCATCTTTGAAAATGCCCAGAATTTCGCAGCTCTGTATGATACCTCTGAATGACGAAAATGTACCTCAGGAGAGCACAGAGCCGGTTAAGAGGGCATTTACTTTAATCAATCATTTTGCAAAATCCTTTCAATATCGTTGAACCAGACTTTCTCTAATTGTTTTCTCATTCATTTACCCATTCTGTTATTTATAGAGTGACATGTACGTTGTTTCCCGGCCTCCTCTCATGTGAGAAGGAGACTGGCCGTGACTGGCTGCTCTGTAACTTGTGATGCAACACTGACATTTCCCCACTGTGGGACAAATAAAGGATCTCCATCTTAATCTCAAGTCCAACTCCAGCTTGTTATTCGGACACAGTTCCCTTTAAGACTAATGCTACAGCAGAGGTTCTCAACTTGTGGGTCACGAGCCGTTGGGTGACGCCAGAATCTTTCACAAATTGAAAGATTGAAACCGCATCAGATAAAGGGATCACTAAAATCACTCCGACTGTGAAAACATGGTCTCGCGGTACTTCTGAATGTTTTAGTTTCAAGCCAGAGATTAAAAATGTATCACAGGGACAACTGGGCGTCACTTTTTGATCCTACGATGTCGGCTCTACCGTCTTTTGCCGCTTTTCCACAGTATCAGTACGGTACAGTACAGTACGCTTCAGCACGGTTATTTTGGGTTTCCACTAGTGGATGGTATGGGAGATTTGAGTACTTTTCTGTACTGCCTCAGCCGTGGTTCCATCCCCATAGTACCCGTGCCATGACGTCACGTCACTTTGGGAAAAACAACTCAACCGCCATCTTTAAAACCAGCTGCTCTGCTCGGCTCTGCTTCGGCTTCATTACGTCCTCCTCACTCCAGAGAAATGGAATTGCACAGAAAGCCCCAAAAGTCCTGGTCCTGGTTGGTGGACGAGGTCCACACGTTCCTCTCTTCAGACCAAAGAAAGAATTCAAAGGCAGCTCGAGGCTCAACACAGTTTTCAGGGAGATCACCAGCTCTGGATTTGTGACTAGTCTGTGGTAATCCTGAAATAACTGGTTAGATACGAATCCCGTTAAAGCTCTCACTGAAATGTATTTACTGTGTAAATGTTCGATTGTCTGTTGTACACAGTGAGCTAGCTACATTTAGCTTCATTTAGCTATCGATAGCAGCTAAGCTAACGTCCTCCCTGTGCTACTGTGCTTTATCTCGTATTATCTGCAGTTTCACGTGTTGTCATTCTGTTTTGTGCTTGTATTTAAGTTGTTGTGTGTATATTTGTATGAGAATCCCTTTCCATAAGTGTGGAGATTACCAACGAGTAATGAGTGACCGGAGTATTCTCATCTGGACCTGGCCTGGACCTGGCCTGGACCTGGCCTGGACCTGGCCTGGACCTGGCCTGGACCTGGTCTCACACATACGTACTTTTGACTTTGTAAACTGTTGGTTTTTCACTTTACTTTTGTTTTCAATAAATCTGTGATTGTATCAAGACTGTTTAATTCATTTATTATTATTGTGGCTGAGGTTTGGGTATCGATTGTTTGTCTGGTCTCGGAGTCTGCTGTAGTCCAGACCCGAGTCCGAACTAGCCTAGCCTAGCCGCTAACTCGCTAGCATTAGCTATAGCCTAGCAGTATCCTCGGACATGCAGCCCTCCTCCTCTGCTACACAGGCTGCTGTTGCTACAGGTCCATTCAGATTGTACAGAGCAGTCAGCACCATTGACTTCACAGTGTCTGAGTCATTCTTTGAAGACATAAGCATTTTGAAAAACTACTCGTGCTGTGCTGAATTCTCTATTAAACACTTGCTCTGATATTATAATAAATCCATGCACCGCACCAGTACTAATTACGCGTCACACGTAAATGACGTGGTCTGACAACGCTGAGGACATACTAGGGGTACTATTTTTGATGGAAAAGCACGCGAACTGGGCCATGGCGCGCCGTGTAGAGTCAAAACGTACTGTACTAGGACTGTGGAAAAACGGCATTTGTGAAGCGTTGGATGGACGTGAGCTGGGTTTGGACCGTCGTGAGGCAGGTCGGTTCTACCCTACTGATGAAGCGTTGTTGAAAGAGTTTATATAAATAGCCTTTGATTTTATTGTGAAATTGGTCCATAACAAGTTTTGAAAGTTAGAACGAAACTAGATTAAAAAAAAGAATCATCTTGGAAGCATGTCATTTGGGGCGACAGTGGCTCAGTTGTAGAGGATTGGACTTTGAGCCTGAAGGTCGTGGGTTCGAGTCCACCACAAGACTTACTCCATCGACTCCCACTGTCAGCTGTTGTTCTGTCCTTAGGCAAGAAACTTAACCCACTTTGCCTAGAATGAGTCTAGTGTGTGTGTTGGTGGGAGGGGCCGATGGCACAGACTGGTTGCCTCGCTTCTGTCAGTGTGCCCCAGGGCAGCTGTGGCTACAGTAGTAGTTTATCACCACCGTGTTTGGAGTCAATGAATAAATGATGTGAAGAGACTTTGAGAGTCTAAAAAAGCGCTATACAATATTTTTTACATTTTCCAGAGTTTGTTGGAAAAATTCTTGATGCCTTATCATTGGAAAGAAAATCTGATTTTTAGAGAAATGTATAGTTTTTGTGTGATTGTAAAAAGTAGAGGTGCACCGATCAGGATTTTTTTGGCCGATCACCGATCATTAAAATTTTGATCATTGCCGATACCGATCAAATATTGAAAATATTAGTGATAAATGAATAGGACTAGTTATTCACTTTATAACTAATAAAGGTACAAGGTAGTATAAATAAAATGCCCTCGGGGTACTCAAGACAAAAAGGTTGGGAATCACAACGATAGAGCTTTGAGATACATAAAAAAAAATGCAATGAAACGCAGCAATACTGTACATGCTGCATTTCTAAACTGATTAAGAAGAGATCGTTAGGCAATGTTTGTTCTTCAGGAATATTAGCATCTCAGCATTAGCAGAGGTTTATCACGTTCATCATCCTGAATAGTCCCGCTGCGCTAAACTCTCACTGTCTGCGCTTGTGCACGGAGCAGAGGAAAGACGCTGCTTTGGCCAAAGGAGGGAAGAGGCTTTTATTTTCCTTACAATAAACAACTACGTAGTAAGTAACGCTAAATCTGCAACACTGTAGGACTGTCTGTAACACTACACTCATCTTAATTCAGTATTTCTGTGAACATAACATGCAAAGTTCTGACACGGGGTGTTTCTGCGTAACGGCAGCGCCTCGCTGCTGAGTGTGTTCGGTGTGTGTGCTGTGTCTGTGCGGTGTGACTCTGGCTCGGTATCATGATAGATCCATGCTCTCTGGAGTGTCAATGTGAGAATATACAGTTTGGTAAAGCTGCGACAGGCAGACATCCGTCAGATATCTCTGCGATGGCAGATTGAAGCAGTGGACATGAGTCGTTTGAACCCAGTGCTTTCCACAATAGACGAGCGCTGGTGGAAGAGGGAATAAATTCCATAACTTTTGTGTATATTTCGTGTTGTTTCTTACGTCATTACTGTGCGGTTGTTGCCGCTGTAGAATCTCTGTCACCGATAGCTGCATGAGTTGCTTGTTTACGCAGTTTTGACGAGAGAACGTAACTTGTGCGCATGAATCCTCATGTCATATGATCGGGCATTTTGATCGGCACATTTCACCGATCACGCAAATTAAGCCGTCATCGGCCGATTATAATCGGCTAACGATCGATCGGTGCACCTCTAGTAAAACGTCCTTTGTTATGTCTCGGGTTTTTTTTTTAGTCCTTTTTTGCTTTGCTTATATTTCTGTGTAATTGTCTTGATTGCCGTTGTCCTTAAATAAATACAATCATTTGCGACACTACAGTATTTCACATAATGTATAGTTATGGCTTGGTGTTATAAGTAGATGGTTGGGTCATGACACTGCTCCAGTTGAGAACCACTGCTGTAAAGGTAGATCCTATGACGGTGTGCGAGTACTCGGACTCACCTGCTCAGAGCGGCGCTGGTGGGAGCTGTGTTATTCCTCTGGTCATTGTTGCTTTGGTTCCTCCTCACGTTCGGAGCTGCAGCCGGTTGACTCTTCCCAGAAACGGTCACTCCTCCCACGGTCTTCGAAGGCATCGGTCTTTCCTGACTTCCACCGCCGCCGCCGCCGCCACCGCCGCCACCGCCGCCACCGCCGCCACCGCCTCCGGACCCAGCGGCTTTTTGGATTTGAGTCTCCAGAGCTTTCTTGCATTCTAAGTCTCTGCGAGTCTCGACTTCTGGACTGTTTTTCCGGCTTCCAGTGACTCGCCCGCTTCCTTCACTCTCGTCTCTGATCTGGCTCAAAGTCCTTTCTGTGGGCCGGACTTGAGTTTCTAGACTTCTCTGTTGCAATGTGGGTTCTGTGGCTTGGACTTGGGTCTGGATTTGGGTCTGGATTTGGGCCTGGGCCTGGACCTGGGCCTGGGCCTGGGCCTGGACAGGGACCGCAGCCTGGTCAGTGGGAGGGTGTAGCGCTGAGTAGATGCGATCTAACGAAGCGGCCACAACTTTAAGTTCTGGCCTCGAGGGAGCGGCGTCACTTTTGGAAACTTGTTCTAGAAAAACAGAAAAGATCCAGACATTAAAAGCAACATTCTTTGATATTCCCAGAACCCTATAGTTGCAAAACCCGATCAAGTCAAACTAAAACTGAAAACATTAGAAAAGATTCTTCCTACCTTATTTCAGCAGCTTCTAAATGTTAATTAATTCTGGCTTTTATAACAGACACACACTTGTATATATATTCTCATGTGTGTACTGTATCATCCAAGTTTGTATGGTGTGTGTCTTTCGCTGTGTAGAGGCCCCTTTGCAGAGAAAGTCGTCTGGACCAGGTCAAAACTCCTTCATGCAGAGAACCTTGTGCAGGATCTGTCATCAGTGTATGAAGTGAACAGGTCGAGTGTCAAACTGGTCCTCAAAGGGCAGGTGTGGCTCCAGATTTTCATTCCAACCAAGCAGGAGCACTCCAGGAGGAATCCACTCATTTACTTAAAGGACAACTAAACTTTAAAACACATAATATTCTTTATGTGTTTTACAGTGCCTTGTGAAAGTATTCGGCCCCATTGAACCTTTCAACATTTCGCCACATTTCAGGCTTCAAACATAAAGATATAACATTTAAATTTTTTGTCATGAATCAACAACAAGTGGGACACAATTGTGAAGTGGAACGAAATTCATTTGATAATTTAAACTTTTTTAACAAATAAAAAACTGAAAAGTGGGGCGTGCAATATTATTCGGCCCCTTTACTTTCAGTGCAGCAAACTCAGTCCAGAAGTTCAGTGAGGATCTTTGAATGATCCAATGTTGTCCTAAATGACTGATGATGATAAATAGAATGTACCTGTGTGTAATCAAGTCTCCGTATAAATGCACCTGCTCTTTGATAGTCTCAGGGTTCTGTTTAAAGCGCAGAGAGAACCATGAAGACCCAGGAACACACCAGGCAGGTCCGAGATACTGTTGTGGAGAAGTTTAAAGCCGGATTTGGATACAAAAAGATTTCCCAAGCTTTAAACATCTCAAGGAGCACTGTGCAAGCAATTATATTGAAATGGAAGGAGTATCAGACCACTGCAAATCTACCAAGACCCGGCCGTCCCTCCAAACTTTCATCTCAAACAAGGAGAAGACTGATCAGAGATGCAGTCAAGAGGCCCATGATCACTCTGGATGAACTGCAGATAACTACAGCTGAGGTGGGAGAGTATGTCCATAGGACAACAATCAGTCCTGCACTGCACAAATCTGGCCTTTATGGAAGAGTGGCAAGAAGAAAGATGAAACCAAAATCAAACTTTTTGGCCACAATGCAAAACGATATGTTTGGTGTAAAAGCAACACAGCTCATCACCCTGAACACACCATCCCCACTGTCAAACATGGTGGTGGCAGCATCATGCTTTGGGCCTGCTTTTCTTCAGCAGGGACAGGGAAGATGGCTAAAATTGATGGGAAGATGGATGGAGCCAAATACAGGACCATTCTGGAAGAAAACCTGTTGGAGTCTGCAAAAGACCTGAGACTGGGACGGAGATTTATCTTCCAACAGGACAATGATCCAAAACATAAAGCCAAATCTACAATGGAATGGTTCACAAATAGACGTATCCAGGTGTTAGAATGGCCAAGTCAAAGTCCAGACCTGAATCCAATCGAGAATCTGTGGAAAGAGCTGAAGACTGCTGTTCACAAACACTCTCCATCCAACCTCACTGAGCTCGAGCTGTTTTGCAAGGAAGAATGGGCAAGAATTCCAGTCTCTGGATGTGCAAAACTGATAGAGACATACCCCAAGCGACTTGCAGCTGTAATTGCAGCAAAAGGTGGCGCTACAAAGTATTAGCGCTAACCCTAACCCTAAACTTTTCAGTTTTTTTATTTGTTAAAAAAGTTTAAATTATCCAATAAATTTTGTTCCACTTCACGATTGTGTCCCACTTGTTGTTGATTCTTGACAAAAAAATTATTTTTTATATCTTTATGTTTGAAGCCTGAAATGGTGCCTGGCCTCTCATTGGTTCTGGAGTGATGTGTGACATGTGTCTGTCTGTACCAGTGATATAAACCCATCCAACACATCTCACCCATCTCACACGCCCCAGAAGCAGGTCGGAGTATTCTGGCCACATCTAGTGGATTGATATTAAATTACATGAGTCGACAGTCACTACTGCTGAGATAATTCTGTGGCTTAGGTTCAGGTGTGTAGCTTTACAATTATCTTAGTTTCACAGCCCAGATCACGCCCAGCTCTAAGCACCCCCCTCCCTTGTCCCCTGGTCCTCGGGCAACGCCCTTTTTAGAGAACCTTTTCAAATGTTCATGTGGGCGGAGTCAGGCTGGGCACAGGTGTTGAGTCGCTCTTTAAGTGAGTCCAGTCTGAACCTGAAGACTTGAAATGGGTGGAGTCTGGTGTGAAATCCTGCAGCCCTACGGCCCTTTCTGGACCTGGTTTGACTCCTGCTCTAACGTAAACTCTTCCACTGTGAATACCTGCAGCTGTGAAGAGCCTCTGCTTCTCTTTGGCCACAGGTGTAAAAGGGTTAGACACAGACACTGCCCCCTGTCCTTCGCTGTCGGTATTGCTCTGGTCTCGGAGTTGCCGTTGTCTCTCGGCGCGCATCTGTGAGATCGTGCGATGCAAAACCTCGAAGTCCTGATCCGAGGGCTGAGGACCCAGACCAGACTCAGACACCAGGTCTTCAGGCGGGACCAGGCCGGACTGAGAGGGACCTGCACACACAAAGCAAAGCATCTATCCAGACTGAAAATACAACTTAAGTGTTAGTCAATGAAATTATATATCAAGGAGACTAAAACTTAGAATAGCTGGTATAAAATCATCTTTGATAGTTTTTGAATTGAATTGTGGTGGAAAAATTATTTGAGGCTAGTAAATGTATGTATAGGGGTGACAGTAGCTCAGTTGGTAGAGCCTTTGAGCCTGATGCTTGTGGGTTCAAGCCCACCATAAGACCTACTTCACGACTCCCACTGATGACTGCTGTTGTTCTGTCCTTGGGCAAGACACTTAACCCCACTTTGCCTGAAGCTCTCACTGAAAGATCTCAGCTCCTGTGGACTCAGCACCTGCAGGAGGATCAGTGAGGGGCTGGTGCTCTGTGACTGGATGTAGCTCTGACTGCCACCCCCCCGACCCAGAAATGGATTAAGGGGAAGAAAATGAATGGATGGATAGAAATGTATGTATTGGCAACACTCAAACAAGGCTCTCTGTGAAGGACACATTAACTATTTATTTAAGTATACATTTTCACTACATCATTCTTTGATTTAAAAAAGGTGGGAAAAAAAAAAAGTTACTTTCACTGCCAAAGCAAAACTATTCAGTTCAATGAAAGAAAGTCCTCGAACTTTTAAAACAGAAATTTAAAACTAATGATTAAAACTACATTACAGACCACAGGTGCGGAAGGAAAAAGGGGAAGCAGCTTGATCCAATGTTAACATCCTGACCATCCAGAAGCACAGAATTTTACTAATGTGCGATCGCGTTTGGATGCGTTTGATTGGACAAAAAACAGGAAGTGACTGCAGATCGAATGGACAGACAATTTGAATATGTTTTTATCCCTATGTTTTTACTTTGGTTATTGTTTATGCCTAAACTTAAGTCAAGGAAGGAGAAAGTTGTATTCATTCAGTCTAAGTTCCACGTCTCTACCTCTGATCACATGTAACTGTAGATGGGTCTGGCTGCTCAGAATTTAAAATTAGGTCCTGCATGTGGCCCTTTAACAGGAAATTAGCATCTGTGTGTGTGTACAGGCATCTATCTACTCTTTCTAGAGCAGTAGCTGTCACTTCTCGATTTGCCAAATGTCACCCGCAGAGACTTGTACCTTCTGCAGGCTGTGGCTCTTCTGTGATTGGCTCCTGGATGATGACATCACTGTATCCCACCAGCTTCCTGAAATCATGAAGGAACTCGTCGATCCCACACACGATGACTCCTCCTGAACTTTTCAAGTGAGGGTTGTCTGAAAAGAAGGAAAAAATGTCATCTCGTTACTTTAATGACAATCAGAATTATTTGTATTCCAATTGTTAGTAACAAGAGGTCACAAGCAAAGAATTAGTTTATGGTGAAAACAAAACACAAATGAGAACTCAGCTGGACTTGGACTTTATAGACTCATAGGGCGGTGCTTTTGGACGATGTGTTTTTTTCCTCTTTCTTTCATTCTTTTATTTTATTCTATTTTTATCATTTGTTGTTGTTGCTTTTATCCTAGTTTTTCTCTCTATACCTCTGAGTATGTGCATGTAGGGATTATGTATAAAAACGATCAAATATTGGTTAAAAAGTCATTCATAAAAATCTAAATTCAATTCTGATATATAGACACAAGAGAGATTCAACAGGAAGACACACCCACCCCCACCCACCCAACTACACTCATACCCACCCAATCACTCCCACACTCACACACCCAACCACCCCCACATACCCACCCTACCACCCCCACATACCCACCCTACCACCCCCAACCCCACACTCATACCCACCCAACCGCACCCACACCCACGTCAGTCCCACTATTTTTTCCCAAGTAAAACAGACACACACACAGATGAAGACATGACAACTCTTTAGGGGTGCGTTTGTTTTCTTCACCTGTGAGAAGCATGGTGTGCCTGAAGCTGCTGTATGTGGCCTGCAGCTCCACGGCACAGTCCAGAAGCCCCGGGCTCAGGGACATGTCACATTTATGATACGGCAGAAACTCCACCAACTGACGCTTCTGGAACGCCGTCAGCACCTCCAGCAGACTCGCCGCATCACGACGGAACCTGAGGCACCAAACACAAGTCTGAGTTTTTCTCTTGGGCCACTGCTGTTTCTTTAAAAGTGTCATTTTTCATAGAGCGTATTCACTCCTTCCCAACACTTGGCTTTGAGGGGGTTTTCTGTCCCAGTGCAGATTGTGTGGTGTTTGCTAAAATAACAATGCATCAGTTTTATACAGCATTTTTTCATCCAACTCAGAAAACTTTTGTCTTGGCAATGATTTAAAGGAGCAGTATGTAAAAATCTGGTCAAAAGTGGTACTGTACTCTCCCTGACTCAGGTTGCCAGATATGCAGACGAATCCAGCTGGGGACAAATATATAACCAACACCTTTTTCACAAAGATAGAAATCCTGGTTTTATTCCTTGTTTTGTTGTTAATTATTTGAGAATCATAACCAGACATTCTTAGTTCTGTGGCCACATGGTACTTTACCGGTGAGATTAGCTCGACATAGTGAGTTCTGGCGCCCGGATCACAGACATTCTGATTGGTTAACGTTGGAGGGGGCTGTAAAACTAATTCTGAAATTCGAATATCTCTGAACTACTGTTATTGTTAAAGAATTATTGGAAAAGAGCATGTTTTATTTATGCCTTTTGACAGATTAAGGTCTTTCAATTTAAGGCAGATGTATTTATAAACCGCTGTCGGAGGTGGGGGTTAATCGGCTTCAGTGAATACCTGGATTGTTCCTTCAGTTTCTTGTGTGCTTTGCAGTGGACCTTCCACCTCCACGGGTTTTCTGAAGAACTGTGCGTCTCCAACACGGACACCAGAGCCGAGAGTTTCTCTGCAGCACAAAAGTGAGTTCAGCTCCTGCAGCTTTGTGACACAATAAAATCCACCTCGTTCATCTCCACATCTGAACCTGCATTTCCTCCAGTTTTTGAATGACTTTGATTGAGAACTAGCATAGAACTCTGTGGAACCCTCACCACATGGTTTTATACCAATATCACATTTATTGCAAACTTGAGTACACATTAAAGATGATGTCAACAACATTTAGCGCATAATTTAGGGATAATATTTACATAATTTAGCGCTTTAATGAGTCTTAACGCCACTTGAGTTAATACATCTACTTGAGGCTTGGAACTGAAATATACCTTTCTGGGGATTCTTACTTGGTTTAAGGCACATCTCAAGCATTTGGTAAAGCCCTATCATTTCCAAAAATAGGGGTTCAAAAAATAATAATAATTAAAAAAAATAAAGTTATTAGTGTCCTACATCTTATAAAATCCCCTATCGAAATACATTGCTTTCTTCAAGGAGTGAATATTAAGGGGTCAAAAAACTACAATCTTTATGGAGTTAAATCATAGGTTCTTCATAGGAAAGTTGGGACTTGGTTAAACCTGTAGAGAAGAGATTTCGCTACATATAAGTCAAAGGTTACAACATCCTCCTCCAAAATCTTGCCTTAACTCATCCTCATTGTCTACAACCCCCTGTGGGCTACATCTACCACCACTTTCTTTGGAAATGCACCTCCTGCTTCTTCTTCTGACTCCTTTGGAAATCTCTCATAAGCTTCACTCCACATTCCATTTAGCTTTAGCGTTTATCAGTCTCTCATTACTCCATATTTTTCCGTATGGGCGTTTCTGGGTATTTCTTCATCCCTGTAAAGTATCATCTCCCTCTCAAAAGAACCCTGTACCAAGTGAGACGACGTCCGGGTTGAGGACCGTCTCGTCAGACAGCAGCTGCCCCCCGGACACAAACAGCTCCTGGCCGCTCTGGTTCCTCAGGTCATCTGCTTTCTCCACGGCCAAAAACTGCACCGAGGGACTCCGCTTCAGAGCCAGCAGCTCCGGGATCTGGCAACACAGAAGCGAGAGTCACCCACAACTGCACACACGTCTCGGGGACAGGGACTTAAGATTTGTTTTCCCATAGATGACAACTACTGCTTTTATTAGTCAATCTCTCACCAACCAAAGGATAACATCTCCTTGAATAACTAACTTTAATTTTGCTAACTTTAATTTCGGTGGAGCAGGGCCTTTGATCACTGATGTCACATAAATGGGCAGGGTGCAGATCCATACGGTGAGACTGAATGTGGAAATGTGCGTTTCTTTTTTAAATGTACTGTTCTGTATGTTTAAAAGTGGACCAAAAGTGACCAAATTAAACTTAATTCACTCACAAATAGTAATAAATACATCATGTGACACTCTTGAGTATTTGAGCTTTTTTAGTACCTGGTGAATGTGGGCGGCGACATCCTGTTTCTTTATGACCACCAGCATCTTCTTGTTGGCGCTCTCCTCTTGGTTCAAATACAGAACTGGACTCTGCTCCACGTAGGACTGCCGCGACAGCTGAGCCTGCGACAGAACGAAAACAAAAAACCTGATTCGACAGATTCACTTGAAGAAAACGTATCTCTGAGTCGCTCCATGTTGGATTGCATAAAAAATCCCGCAAAAATAAGAATAGACCCAGTACATAAACTCCAGGCAACAATCAAAGTCTTTACATACTTACATTTACTATTTTAAGTGTATTTTTTCTTCACTAGTTTTCATGTGATGTGGGCCAAAGATTCATTTCTACCTCAATAACATACTGTACAAAAAAATGTATTCCATTTCAAACACCATCACACACTAATCATTTATGTATTTACAGTATACAGTAGTGCAGGTCCTCCCACTTAAAAAGATGAGAGATGCACCATAACATCACTGCTCTAGAAGAAATCTGCATGGAGGAATGGGCCAAAATACCAGCAAAAGTGTGTGAAAACCTTACAGAAAACTTTTCACATCTGTCATTTCCAACAAACAAAAGGTATATAACAAAGTATTGAGATGGGCTTTTGTTATTGACTAAATACTTATTTTCCACCATAATTTGCAAACAAATTCATTGTCATTTCCTGGATGTCTATACCTGGAAGCTGAGGTATACCTATGATGAAGATTACAGGCATCTCTCATCTTTTTAAGTGGGAGGGCCTCACCTTGATCTGCCGAACGGTGAAGTCTTCTTCCTGGGAACAGTGGAGGTAAAAGTGCTGTGCGTTCCTTTTTATATCTTTGATGATGTCCACCAAAGTCGTGAACATCTCCGGCTGCAGCTGGTTTATGACAGAGTTCAAAGTGTTTGGATCTGAATTCAACGGCGGCGATTCCGGAGTGGCGTTCCCAACCCCGGCTTCTCTACTGCTGTTACTATCGTGTGCCTCGGGTTCGTTCCTGAAGCAGATTTCGATGCGGTCGCTCCCGAACTGGACCTGCCGCCTTCCGTTATTGCTTATATCAATGTCAGTTTCCAAATTGCTGCAGACGGCATCGTTTTGGTTGGTTTCATCTACGAACTCCTCGCAGTCCATAGAAGAGGTCGCTACTTCCTGCTCTGAGTCCGTCGGCCAGTTCCTACTCTCAGGAAGTGCTGGCGTGTCTTCGTTCGCCGCTCGTATGCTAGACACAAACTCGCTAATCCTGCTAGCGAGGTCCGGGGGAGAAGCGTCTGTAGAGCAAGAAGTAGTGGTGTCAGGTCTGCTCTGAGGCTGATTGTTTTCGTAGTTGTGCAAAACGAAGCTGATTTCCTTCTGCAGAGACTGGACGTAGCGTTGGACGGGAGGGCAAGGATGGTAGAAGGAAACGTATTGTGAAAAATGCGAGATGAAGGAGTGTGAGGAGATGCTGCTAGCCCTCTGTTTGGGGTTCGACGTCGAGTGTGGGGACTGGGGCATGTTGTAGGCCACGTGTTGGTCTTGCAGGATGCTCTGGAGGTCGGAGCTGAAGGAGTCGAAATGGCGGTCCACGATGCAGTCAATGTCGTGTGCAAGTCGCTCGGACGTCGGGTGAGGAGCGGAGCAGTCGTCGAGCTCCTCTTCTTGGGGGCTGGGGCAGAGCTGGGCTGGGGAGAGGCAGGCCACGGGTGAGAGGGCATCGCGACAGAGCGGTGGAGAGGGTTCTGGAGGAAGAAAACACAAGGAGACCAAGCTCACTACGAAGCAGCACCATTTCTCTAGAACTGAAAAAGACAATAATTTCTCTTCCATACTGTTTGAAGTAAAAAGAAATTGACCCTGTTTTCTATCGATAGCACTATGATGAGAAATACTTAAAACCTTAGAATTGTTTTACTTTCACCTCTCCTCTACACACGCTAATCCTTAATCTATTTTAGTCTATTCTTCCTCCTACCAATTACCAATACATTTCTTCCATATTATGGCCTGCACCTCTGTATTGTCTGCATGTGATAAAAAAATCTAATGCAACTACGAGGACATGTTGCAAATCAGTTCTAACGAGGAAGTCAAAGATGAAGTCCTAGATTTATAATGTGGCATATATTTCACACGGATCCCTCTCCCACAGAGCATCCTTAAACGTCGACTGTTGAAGCTCTCTTTGTTGTGGCTCCATCGGGTCCACGCCCAAATCAAAGGTGTTGTGTTTTGTATCATGTTTCAGGTGTGAGCAGACGGCCGTTACCTGCTTCGTCCCAGAGGTCCTGGATTTCTTCATTCTCCGGAGGGTCACTCAACGCCTCCGTGAGCTCTGGGGACCCGGGCTCCAGAGAGCGGATCAGGGAAGGTCTTGGACTGGTGTGCTCTGCTTCAGGGGAGGGGCAGCGTGAGTGTGGCAGGCTGGGATCAGGAGAGGGGCACAGGGAGGGGGAGGCGGGGGGACTGGGCTCTGGAGAGGCCCAGCCGGCGGTCGGGCCAGACGGGGCGGGGCTGGCAGCAGCGGGAGGCAGGTCCGTGGGGGGCAGGTCCGTGGGGGGCAGGTCCGTGGGGGGCAGGGGAGAGGTCAGGTGATGCACACGTGGGTCTCTGGGCAGCTCTGCGTCTCTGCGGGCGTAGTGCTTCTGCGGCAGGCCTGCAGAGACAAGTCAGGGTCAAAGACAAGGACTGAGCCGAGGCTGAGCCGAGACCGAGCCGAGACCGAGCCGAGACCGAACAGAGACCGAACAGAGACCGAACCGAGGCTGAACCAAGACTGAGCAGAGACCGAGCCGAGACCGAACCGAGACCGAACCGAGACCGAACCGAGACCGAACAGAGACCGAACCGAGACCGAACCGAGACCGAACCGAGACCGAGCCGAGACCGAGCCGAGACCGAACAGAGACCGAACAGAGACCGAACAGAGACCGAACAGAGACCGAACAGAGACCGAACAGAGACCGAGCAGAGACCGAGCAGAGACCGAGCAGAGACCGAGCAGAGACCGAACAGAGACCGAACAGAGACCGAACCGAGGTTGAACAGAGACCGAAGCGAGACCAAACCAAGACCAAACCAAGACCGAACCAAGACTGCACCAAGGATCAACTAAAAGCATGTGTGCAACATCAAATCAGAATTAGGATTGGTTTATAAAATCAAACTATGAACGATTGGTTCCCTTTAACTGGTAATAGATGTGAACTGACGAGTTGGTTGGTGTTACATCCACAAACAAAGCATTTTTAGCCTTAGTGAACCAGAATTGATCCAGTTAAAGTGAACCAGACCAACAAGTGCCCAACAAGATACAAAAAAGTACCATATCTTGATCTTTTGGCCATCTACTCTGACAACAGCGAGTGGCACCCATGAAAAAATGCCTTACTGTATATTCCTCAAGACTCAATAACAACAATTGTTGTTATTGAGTCAGTAATTGTAATTGTCAGTCAGTGCTGACCTGTGATGGGGATGAGGATCCAGGGAATGTCCGGCTGTGGAGGCTCCTCTTCGGGGAACACAGTCCTGGCTCTCCTGGGGTCCTGGTCCAGACCCCGGTCTCGTTCTCTGTTGGCCGTCCTGGGGTCTCCGCCGTGAGAGGGACTGAAGCCCTCCTGACTGCTCACACTGCCTCCCTTCAACAACAACAAGTACATCATACATTGAAACAGTTATGGGGAGAAAATCCAAAAGAATAGTTACAGCCTCCTCAGAGAAAAACACAATCGTTTGGACCTTTTTGGATGCTGCTGAACTCTACACTCACGTCACGATGAGGCCCGTGGTACAAAACTGGATACGGTGAGAGAGGAATTGAACTGATAGAGACACATGTAAACCTGTGTGTGGCAATTGAGGAGTGAAAACCAGTCCATTCTGAACGTATTCTTATGTTTTGTAACTCATTGTCGGAGAAATGTACCACTTTTCTCCTCGGTCGTGAAAGTATCAGTTAAATGTCTATGCAGTTCCTACGCTGGTTTGTTTTTAGTTAAATGTAAAATGTTTTTATGTTTAAAGCTTAGAGTGTGGAGACAGGGTAAAAAAGCTAGTCCGGTTTTGGCAGTAGACCCGTCCTGCTTTTGTCAGAGCTGAAACGTGATGAGCCTCCTATCAGCTTAGTTTTTAGTTCACTTATTTGAGTTTTTAGAATGTACTCCACCTCTGCTGCTGTGACCCGTCCTGCTCCACCCAGCGGCTACTCCACCTCTGCTGCTGTGACCCGCCCTGCTCCACCCAGCGGCTACTCCACCTCTGCTGCTGTGACCCGTCCTGCTCCACCCAGAGGCTACTCCACCTCTGCTGCTGTGACCCGCCCTGCTCCACCCAGAGGCTACTCCACCTCTGCTGCTGTGACCCGTCCTGCTCCACCCAGAGGCTACTCCACCTCTGCTGCTGTGACCCATCCTGCTCCACCCAGCGGCTACTCCACCTCTGCTGCTGTGACCTGAAGGGCTGTTGCTAATGATCAATTATATTTTTCATTTTTGCTGCTACTGGACACCAGACTTTTTCCTACGGGAGTCAATAAAGTACCTATCTATCTAGAATGAGTACGGTCACAGCCCCTTCCCCACTCAGATAAATGTATTGAGTATTACTTCCTAACTTAACTTTTACCCTCCCTGAATCAGACAAATGTTCATTAGTACCACACAGTGTCGGGGGCGCATGACTCCGGCTCCAGCACTGACGTAGAGTAAACGCCTCGGCTTTCTCCTCTTCTTCGTCTTCTGCTTTAGACTTCCAGACTTTAATTTTCTAGCCTTTAGCCTCTACAACATTCATATCACATCAGATCAGTCTTTGCTCAAGCGTGACAGAAAAGAAAGTCCTCATCATCACACAAAACAAGGGCAGACTCTCAAAAGACTGAAAACACAGACCCGAGGTGCGACCTTGGCTGTGTGAGATTTTGTGTATTTTGAGGATCTGACGTCATGTATAAAACTGCTATGCCAAATGTACATGTAATGATCAATATATGATACTAACTTGTAGTAAAACGTATAAAAACAATACAATACGGTATTCAAGTCTACCTCGAGGTCGTCGTGTCTGCGCAGGTCGATGTCACAGTTTGTGGGCAGTCCCAGTTTGAGAGCCAGCCTGTCGAACGGAGAGGATTCGCTTGGTCCCGCCTCTCGTGGCTGAGAACTGCTTTGATTCGTCGCTGTTTGGTTGAGATCTGTACAACAGTTCAACAAAAGTCACATTTTTAGGGGGGGAGGGGGTGAAAACGAGGGAAGGAGCTGTCGTGGATAAAAGAGAGCAGACACAACATACTTGAGAGAAGAGAGAAAAGTTTCGAGGTCAGTTCGGAGCTTTCGTTACTTAAATCTGCGTCCTTCAGACCGACCGAACCAATCAGAGAGGAGAAAGAGCTGGGAGCGGAGGAGGCCACATCTGTAAAGTCAAACACAATGAAATGTATGATTATGTTATTGGCAAGTACGCAAGTTTGAAATCAGAAATGGCTATCGCTCCATGTTGCATGTGGGATTCATAATAAATTAGCATGTGGAACAATAACACTGTAATAACAATATAAATGGCCACCTCATATTTTGGTTTTAATTTGAATGTGTACATGGACAAGATACTAAAAAGGTGACCCACACAGACAGGTAGAGGCGAGTTGGGAGGCTCGGGAGGTCCTAATTGATAAGTGTGCTCGGGCGATGATGCGTGGTGATGCAAAAGCTAATTAAAAAGCTGGATGATTCTAAATCTGGGGTCTCAAACCTCAGAGCTACTTTTTCTATCTTTTGTGAATGATAAAACTTTTATAATTCTCTTTTGAATGTGCTGGAAATGGCCGCAAGTCCTGAGTAGCTTTGCTTTTTTCTACCTGAGATGTTGCTGCAGTACAGTGTTCATGGTCCAGACCAGAGCAGAGAGGATTCATGGTCCGAACCAAGTGGATCAGGCGAAAATCCACTGGAGGAATGCTAACTTTTTTGAAAAATTCTCATGAACATTCTGAAGTGCTGTTGTATTTTATTATAACTTATGTTGGCTTTTTTAGATTGATCAATTTATTTGTTTTGAGTGTGTGGATGGACGTGTTTTTGCTGCTACTTGACACCTGACTTTCTCCTTTTGAGGATCAATAAAGTATCTATCTATAAAACAGAAATGGCAGTGAGCTAGCCTTTCCGCAATCTTATACAATTGTTGTCTATAATAAGTCAAGCCAATCATGGAGAACACGCATGTATAATAATAATAATAACAGTACAGTAGAGCTAGATTCATGAAAAAAAAGATTTATAGCTATAATAGATATGGGAAATAAATACATTCTTGAATCCTGGGGAGCTACCTGAAAGGGGACGGCAAGCTACTGGTAGAGAGTCTGACCTGTATTGTCCTGTGTGTGTGGTGGGTTTAGTTGCCGTAGCTCCTGTGATGCCTTCAGGTGCTTAATGGTCCTCTGCGCAGTCTCCTGTTCCATCTTCCTCTTCCTCCCCCCGCTCTTCATCTCGCTCTGCACCTCCTTCTCTGCGTTCCTCTTACACGACAGAACCAGAGCTATCAGCTGCTGCATCTGAGCCACAACGAGAGTCGTTTAGGGGCCGGTCCAAACTGGTCAGAGACAATATTCGAGTCCTGCTTTTACCCTGAGCTCTCCCTGTTTAAACGCTTTCCTTTATGGTTTCTTGCCTTTAGCACAAGCAGACTTTTCTGACAGAAATATGGTTAGTGACAGACAGACATGCAAATAATAAATGACATCTCAATTTGATTCGAGCTTGCTCAAATTGCTTTTTTATTCTATGGGCACAGTCAAGCAACAGGAAGTTGGACTTATCTTTTTATCCACACGCTGTTATCAGTGTGAACAGAGCACTTTAATGACTTGCACTTGTTTTGAAACTGTTTAAGTCGATCGATTTCACAGTGATATTTGTTTACTGTTTTATTTGTTTTATTTCTGTCTTTTAATGTTGTTTTATGTCTGTATTTGTCTGCGCACATTGGAGACTTTTTGCTAATGTATTCCAATGTGGTTTTTTTTTACTGCAAATGGCAAATAAAACTGAATCTGAACTGAATCTGAATCTTTATGGAGCTGCCAAGTGCCCTGGGACTCATTAAAATCTGGGTATTTCGTCCCAGGTAGATTAATACACTAAATATTGCTATTTATTTCAGTGGATTAATGATCAAGACTCATAATCGGGTTAAGGTTAGGAACAGTGTGACTGGTTATGGTTAATATAATGAGGTTAGATAGGATGATAATGTCATTAATACAATGCAATCTCGCAGGAGCAAAGCAGCAAAAATTTCATATAAACAAAAATATCCAATTGGTAAAATGGATAAATACTCTTGCATTCTCCCACTAATGTCAATATGAAAAAACTTGATTAGACACTGTGTAATATTGAGTAAGGGCTAGCTTGTTCCAATTTCAGACATTTTAGACAGTCCCTACCACCTTGCAGTCATCAGTTAGTCATCAGCTGCTGTATGAATAATGGCAGGAAGTCAAAACTGTTTATTTGACATCAGTAAACATTAGAAACCACAGTTATTACCACATTTGTCTTTTTGGTGGAAACTTAACCATGCTGAGAAAAGACATCCTCTCATGGCTCTCATAATATTTGGCTTTTATTGGGAGAATGAATGAGAAACTTTGCAGCTCCATTACTAAAGATAAGCGTAGTCTTTTGATTAGTTATGCTGAGGTTTGCTTCCCAAAATAGATAAAAACACGGATAATGAACCTCAACACTCAGACTACAGATCCCTCGGTCTCCTGCTCTGTCCCCGGTGGAGCCCACGTTACCTTCTGGTCGGCCTGTGTGAGCGTGGACGTGTGAGGTCTGGCCGTGGGCACGTACAGCTGCTGGACCATGGCTCGGACCCGGGACAGCTGCAGCTGGTAGAGGGCGGGGCCACAGAGGTACGGCTTCAGACACGAGTCCAGACCCAGCCGATGCATGACGGGAACCGCGTACTGCCGCCCGGCCTGCTCCAGCCCCGCCTCGTACTGCGCCACCGGGTATGGACGCAACTGCAGGAAAAAAACACCAGGTTTTTAGGTGATGCCACGACTCATTTTAATTCAGTGATTATGAAAAGGAATGTAGGTATTGTAAGTATGTATAGAATTTTCAGGCTATAACCTAACAATGACACAAGATCTAATTTTCATAATGACCAAATACTACTACTGCTCTAAACGTATGGTGTTTGAAAATAAAACCTGAGAACATGCATGTATTAGTGTTACAAGTGAGAGGATTTAAAACAGAAGTGTACAATTCTGGACTTGGAAAACGAATAATCAAATAACCGAATAACTGAGGAGTAGAGAGAAGTTTTCCCATGATAGACTGAGAAAAACAGTCACATTTAAATACATTTAAAAAGAATCATTGAGGCCGAAAATTGCATAATGTGCTTTGTTTCAACATAAATAATAACATCTGTAAATGAGAGGAGATTGCTACTTCCTACTCCCTTTTAAATATATGTTATTGAGAACGTTTTTGTTTTTATTTGACCGTGTGCACGATCTGATATCAACAGCCTAGTATCACAGAAATACCCTGTACCCGTAGGACTTCGGGTCAGGGTCAGGTAGCTGTTAACCGTGTGGGCGGCACGGTGGCTGAGTGGATAGCACTCTCGCCTCTCAGCAAGAAGGTCCTGGGTTCGAATCCCGGTCGGACCAGGGCCTTTCTGAGTTGAGTTTGCATGTTCTCCCCGTGTCTGCGTAGGTTTCCTCCGGGTACTCCGGTTTCCCCTACCACTAAAAATATGTCCAATAGTTCTAGCATGCGCCTCCTGTACTGGCCCCGCTCCCATCTCTGTCTGGAGTGAGAGACAAATGCCCAAAAAAAATTAACAATTGTAAACCGCTTTGAGACTCAGATCTGCAGTGAAAAGGCGGTATATAAATACAGATTACTACTACTTACTACTACTAATTATTGCGTGCTAATCTAAGTGTAACCTAAACAAGTCCAGTATTTTTCTCACCACTCCTTCCTTGATGCCGTTGAGGTAGTCGTGGGCCTGCTGCTCCACTCCCGCAGCCAGCTCCGGAGGCGGTTTGGACCGAGCTTTTCCCAGAGCAAAATGAAGAGCCGGCACAAAGTGGTTCAAACCGGGCATCACCGAATCAGCGGTGATCAGATCGGGAGAGGGCTCCGCGGGCACTGACTGAGGAGCTACAGTGTGAAAGAGGAGCACAGACAGAAGGAGGTAGGAATTTCATTAGTCTAAGTGGGAAGGAGATCTGAAAAAAGTCTGGTCGTCCGTTGTTTGGAACGGTCTATGGTTGGAATAAAACAGACAGTGCGGCTAAAGAGAAGGATTGATTAGAAATATTGCATGTCACGCAGATTTTTAATGCACCAAACAATCACAGACAAACTATTGAGGAATGCTGTTGGAAGAGTGCCAATAATAATGCTAATGTTAAGGATGCTAGCATTGTCGTAATTGTTATCTTCATCATCATCACCATCGTCGCTAATGCTGTTATTTTTTTTATTTTTTGTTGTCGTCGTTATTTTGCCTCTCTCCTCTCGCCCCAGTTCACTCACACCACACCACCAACTCCCATCAATACGCTGGGATAATTAATCAATGCACACACAAGAATAAATGAAAACCGAAACTAAAACAGTAAATAATAAAACACACAGAGACAGAGAGAGAGACACACACACACACACACACACACACACACACACACACACACACACACACACACACACACACACACACACACACAGAGACATGCACACAGAGAGAGACACACACACACAGAGAGAGACACATACACACAGAGAGAGACACATACACACAGAGACACACACAGAGAGAGAGACACACACACACACACACACACAGAGAGAGAGACACGCACACACACACACACAGAGAGAGACACACACAGAGACACACACACACACACAGAGAGAGAGACACGCACACACACACACACACAGAGAGAGACACACACACACACAGAGAGACACATACACACAGAGACACACACACACACAGAGAGACACACAGAGAGAGAGACACACACACACACACACACACAGAGAGAGAGACACGCACACACACACACACAGAGACACACAGACACACACACACACACACACAGAGAGACACACACACACAGAGAGAGACACATACACACAGAGACACACACACACACACAGAGAGACACACAGAGAGAGAGACACACACACACACACACACACACACACACACACAGAGAGAGACACACACACACAGAGAGAGACACATACACACAGAGACACATACACACACACAGAGAGACACACAGAGACACACACACACAGAAAGACACACACACACAGACACACACACACACACAGAGAGAGACACACACACACAGAGAGAGACACATACACACAGAGACACACACACACACAGAGACACACAGAGAGAGAGACACACACACACACACAGAGACACACATACACACAAAGAGACACATACACACAGAGACACCCACACACACACACACACAGAGACACATACACACAGAGAGACACACACAGACACAGAGACACACACACACACACACACACACACACAGAGACACACACACACACACACAAAAGACACACACACACACAGTCACACAAACACACACACACACACACACACACACACACACACACAAACACACACACAGAGGGAAGCCCCCCCTCTCCCATGTATGTTCATGTATTTTTTGTTTAAATAAATGAAAAAATAAAAAAATTGCACGTGATTCTTCAGGACGACACATGGAACTAAACCACAACTTGGGACGTTTTATCTCACCGGGTTTGGGGAATCTTGTCTCTGGAAACACAAATAAAGCGTGTAGACTCCTCCTCCAGTTCTCTCCTCGCTCTGAAACACAATTTTAGAAATGATGCAAAAAAATGAGGGCAATTAAACAAAAAGTACTGAATGTTTAAATACTTGACAAAAGCACAAATATTTCTTTCTCTTTGCATGTAGTGTTTGGGCTTGAAGACGCTCAATTCTTACGCTTTATATGATAGATTTTTATAAATAGTAAAAAAATGGTGTTTTCTCTGTGTTTCTATGGACAGAGAATATGAACCACACTCTGTAAACTTTGTGTGATCTCTGATAGACCATTTTTTTAGCTTCACGTAGCTAAACCAAAGCAGTGAAAGACTACAGCGGCTGCATCACCTCAATTATCACATTTAGATACTAAAAATACATACTTTTGGGCACTTTCCGGTTTCTTTCTAACCTGCGAGTGCCGAATTTATTGTTATTATAAAAGGCAGTTTATTTGATTGGTTTGGGTAAGCAGATTGACTTTGCTTCACTCCACCCCTTCTCAAACCTTGTATTATGATGTATGAAAGCTTTGTGCAGGTTTGACATTTGTCTTGTATTTATTTAACCATTATTTAACCATTATCTAACCATTATTTAACCATTATTTAACCAGGAGAGCCACTTTGAGATTAAGAACAATTTTTTCAAGCGAGTCCTGGTCGAAAGTTACACACAGTCACACACAATTACGGTCTTAAGAGTCTTTTCACAGTAGCAGCCTGTGAGTCCAAGACAATTCTCCTACGGGACATAATTTATAACTATATAATTTTAAAAAACAAAGAATTTTTAAAACAAATATAAAACAAAATAAAAACAGTTGGACTAAGGAGTGCTGAAGTCCATCTCATTTTTTTTATTTCATTTGTACATGTTTGAAGAAAGGGGCAGATAACATAAGATTATTTTTCTTCTTTCTGCTCCTTTTCATTTGTGTGACAAGACGACAATCATTTAGAATTAAATAAATTAGGGCCAGGACTTTAACACGTTAGTTAAGCTTAATCAACGGCACAAAAATTAGCGTATTAAAATGTGCGGCACGGTGGCTGAGTGGATAGCACTCTCGCCTCTCAGCAAGAAGGTCCTGGGTTCGAATCCCGGTCGGACCAGGGCCTTTCTGAGTGGAGTTTGCATGTTCTCCCTGTGTCTGCGTAGGTTTCCTCCGGGTGCTCCGGTTTCCCCTACCACTAAAAATATGTACAATAGTTCTAGCATGCGCCTCCTGTACTGGCCCCTCCCATCTCTGTGTGGAGTGAGAGACAAATGCCCAAAATTAACAATTGTAAACCGCTTTGAGACTCAGATCTGCAGTGAAAAGGCGGTATATAAATAAAGATTACTTACTTACTAAAAAAATTGACGCATTTTACATCGTGCAAACCCAGTGACTGTGACAAAGTCGTACCTTGAGTTGAGGCCATCTGGACACTGGAGAGCAGAAGCAGGAGGCCCCTCTCACTCAGCGGCATCACCAAAACCTAAACCAACATTGGATTACGGTCATGTTTGCAAATACAGACCTGTTATTATGATTAGTCGACTGAAAAAATGCCACCGACCAACGCTTGGGTCTCCAGCTCCTGCAGCAGTTTGTTGACGCTGGTCATGGAGCGATTCCGGTCGACCACCTCCAGGAAACTGCAGTAGAAGTCATCCTTTACGACTGCACAGAAGAAAGAATATGGATTATAAAACTATACAAGTCGGGCTGAATTATTTCACAGATTTCAGTCCGTGAATTTCACAGAGACACAATAACTTCATACACTCAGGGATTACTTTGAGTTTATGAACGAGGTTATTAACGAGTGAGTCTGTGTCAGAAGAAAACAGTTCAGACCGGATGGATTCTTTCAGCGATTTTACTATTTGTCGTTCCCTTCTGAAATTGGATCATTAAAAAACAGATAATTGCGACAAAATCAGTTTGGGAAATAACATGGGAAAAGCCATACAAGTCACTCTACTATGTTGGTGACATATTGACTGAAAATAAGATAGCTTAGATTAAAATGTGTTATTATTATTTTATGTATATTTTATTATTCTATATGCATTGTATTATTCATATATTATTTGTATTAGTTTATTATGTTTTTTTTAATTTTTTAGATAATATTTCAGTAAAATTGTTATTATTACTATTATTATTATTATTATTATTATTTAGTTTTCAATTATTTAATTGTTTCCATTTTTAGTTATTATACTTTTCCTTTGCATTATAATTGTTTCCTTGTTATTTTTTTTTAAATCTTGACCCATCAAACTCTAAAAAAGGCAAAAACTGAAATATATATAGATACAAAAATAACAGTATTTTTGTATTTCACTGCAAAATGACACAGAATTTGTCATTTTGCTAAATACATGGTCCTAGTTCCTCTCACCTTCCTCACTGCTGTTGTTGTAAAGATCGTAAGAAAATAAACTTTGGGGGAGACGAGTCGTGGCCTTGTCCCAGCTCATCGCCCACTTCATCTCCAGCTTCTCCGGCCTGGAACAAAAACACAGGCGTACGGTAAGAACCCGGAACCGCTGTGTTCTGGAGGCCCGTCGGACTCATTTACTCACAGTTCATGAGGCAGGAAAGGAGCAGACGACTGCAGAGAGATCTGGAAGAGGACTTTGTCTTTGACCAGGTTCCCGCTCCAGACGCTGAACTGAGCCTTTTCTGTGAAGGACGCCATTACACGGTGAGAAAGGAGATGACAGTCAATGTGTTTATGCTCTTAGTTTGATTTGATTCTTCTGTTTTGTGGCCAATTCAGTCAGATGAAGCCCATAAAGCCCAACATTTACACGGTTACCATAGGCCTACCTCATGGACATGCCTCAAAATAATCTACGAATTGGTTTATCTGATAGGGTCAGTGCACACCTAGCCTGGTCGTACCACACCATAGTACAAATTACATATCGTACTAAGGTCTGGATTTGCTCCATTGAGTCCGTTAACAGGTGGGAGGGTTAACTCCTTTTGTAGATTGAAACGATTGGATCCGAGTTTATGTAATACGCCCGAATGAGTCGTTAGCTTTTAGCATTTAGCATAGCCATCTCCTTTGCCACTAACGGAACCCGTGGGGAGTAGCGCCACAATCTTTGCCAGCGATTACATTTGCTAAACATTCCTCTTGCTCCGGCTTCAATTTCTTGATAGAACCAGACCGGATTACTTTACTATTGCATTCTCCGCCATTGCCAAACTACAACCTGCCCGTTCAGAGCAAACTCTTGATGTCACCTGCCTCCCGCGCTCGCTGATTGGTCAGATGGAATTCAGCCGATTGTAATCTCTAACACAGGGACCAGACCCAGACGTTACATGCAGGAAATGATGATTGAGGGCTTAGGCCAGGCCAATGCACATGAATGAACATCAATACCAATGTAAATATGCTCAATTATAGCTACAAAAGCTATTTTTTTTCTCAAATACGTTAACAATAAAAAACTGGAAATGTACAATAAGAGTCCATTACCTTGGCTCCTCTCTGATGTTTGGCTGTTTGACCTGCAGAGAAAATGTAAACTTTGCGTCACAATGAACGTCCTTATGTCTCAGAGTAGAGGTAGAGTGAGTGTCGGTGTGAAGGGGTGCGGTACCTGAGCGGGGCCATGGGTTTGCTGACGAGGGCCGTGTCTCTGGCTTTGAACTGGAACGAGACCACAGCGTAGGGACAGACCTGCCGAGGACGCTGCCGGAGCTCGTCGAAGCAGTACTCATAGAAATAATGCTGGATATTATAAAAAGAGAAAAATATCAACGGCAACCAACCACACAACCAGGGCGGTACGGTGGCTGAGTGGAAAGCAAAACTGACAAAAGTGAATTAAGATCATTTGCATGTTTTTCTCAGATGAAGTGGTCAAAAACTAGAATACCACGGATCCAGGCATCAACACTGAGAATCTGTAACGAACCTGTAATAATCTAAATCCTTCACCAGCTGAGGGCGCTCACCTGCGTCAGCTCGAAGGCTCGGTACGACAGGACGGATGTGACTTTGCTGATGCTTTTGGACAGGTGCGAGTCGAAGCGAGGCGTGGGGTCCAGCAGGTTCTTCACGTTCTCGTACATGCTCTTCACTTTCCCCTGCAACACACACTCATTATCAAACACATGATCATTCATAGATGCATCTCAAGGAACTGAAAATATAGCATTTCATATAACAAACATTAGGCTACTTTTTTCTTTTTTTTAACCATTTTATACACATACATATTTACACATATATCTACATATATATAATAAAAAAGTGAATATTTACTGGTCTACACGTCTCATTTCTTTACATCATGTTCTCACACTCTTGTCAAATGTAAATAAAGGTTCATTGAAGAGTTCTGACAAAAGAGTCCAGACCGTCCTTGAAAAGCTTCAGGGGTTTCTTTCAGTTATTTGTCCTCTCATGTTTGTGTGTATTATGGTCAGTCACTATTTTAATTTAATATTTTAATAATTTAGGAAGGAAAATTCAACCTGAAGGTATTGCATGGGTTAGGGTTAGCTTGAAATAATAAACTCATATATAATTAATAAACCCTTCCTCATGCATATAATGTTAGTATAATTGGTTGATTCATAAATAGTTCGGTGTCGGTCAGTCCTGTAGTGATTTACCTTGATGACTTTGAAGATCAGGATTTCTCCGGTGGCTCCTGGAGAGAAGGATGCGACCTGCAGGAGGTCTGAGCATCTGGACAGGTAAACTCCTAACAGAAGCATTTACAAGAAAAATACAGATAAATATATGTATCACTGAATAGCAGCAGAATGAGCAACACATTATCGCATGAATCTTATAAACCTGCTCCTATCGCATTGTTTAAGTGTGAAATGACATTACACTTTAATAAATGTGCTAAAGTACTGAAGTGCATGTAATCAAATCTTTTCTAGTTTATATTTGCCAAGTCAAAATGTCTGCTTTCAGTTTCTATACATTTATTTTACATTGCATAAATTCACAGCCTGGGCCTTGATAGAACAAGTTTGGACACCGTTGATCTCAGCAGAAGGGGGAGGGACAAAACAAAGTCACTGATTTAAACACAGATGAAGCTAAAACATCTCCAGGTTTGGTAATGATGAGGGAAGAAGGTTAGTTAAAAATTCAAGATCCAGACACCGTAATATCCGGACTATAAGACGCTACTCGTTTGTCCTTTGATCCCTGCGGCTTATCTAGCGATGCGGCTAATATGTGTATTTTTGTTGTGGTAGAGTTGTCAGAGCAGAGTTTATAGACTTACTTTAAATCCATCAGTTTTAGTAGCTATAAGACACTTGTTTTTTATCAAAATAGAAAAATGTGAATGAGTCATGGAAGCTAAAGGTTAAAGCGTAAACTTGCGGGTCGCTGCGCTTGTGGTGGCCCTCGTGACGTCACCTGATGTCACATGACCAACGCAAGGACCACAATTTTTCTAACTACCCCTTTGGTAGGGGTGGAGCCTCAGGGAACCTCACGGTACGATACAATGTGCGATACAAAGCTCACAATATTGATATGAGGATGCAGCGATTATTGATATACTGGTCAAAAATATACCTACAATAATATTTTTCTTATATTTATGGCATAAATTAAGTGAAAAAATACACTTTATTTCAAGATAAGGATAAAGTGTCATGTGTAACATTGAAGTGAACAAGCAAAAATGCCTTTAACTGCACATTTTAGTAAAAACCTTACTTAATCTGTCTTACATCCAATAAAATCAATATAGCCTTTATAGCCATATATAGCCTATATAGCCATATATAGCCTATATTGCCTTTTTTTTCAAGTAAAGCTTAAAAAGAACCAAGTTTTTTTTTCGTTTTTTTTTTTTATTGATACTTAGCCAAAGCAAATTGATAGGAATCAGACTCATGCAAATTGGGATCTTTGTACGACAAAGCCTCCTGGCTGGTTTATTCACAAAATGGTCGTTAATTTTCAGGCAGAACAAAAGACACAGATACATTATATATGGAAATCTACGTCATCATAGAAAAGGCCAAACCTTCGGCACAAATAGCCTAAACAACGAAAGTCTCTGTGGTCCTTGAGACCTCCACAAGGCCAGGTTATTAATACTATTTTGTCTTGCATTTGTCCACCTGTGCAGTACATAGGTCACTGTTTACCACAAAATCGATATCGATTGTGTGAGAAAGTATCACGATACATCACCATATCGATATATTGTCACACTCCTACCCTTTGATGTTCCAGGCAATTGCTGTGAGATCGCTATCATGTGGTTGAGTGTGACATTTCAACATTCTCTTCAAAACTGATCACGGGGGTTACGCCCGAGTAAACGAACAACTGTGGCTGCAGAATGAACCATAGGTCCAGGGCAAACGCCAACGCACACAGTGACGCCAGAGCATACACAGGCTTTAATCATGTTGTGTCCAGTTAAAAGTCGTTTCTCTGCTACATTACAACATGAAAAACTTTTTTTTTAAGGTGGTGCGGCTTATATTCAGCTGCGCCTTATGGTCCAGAAAGCATATGTTTTGTGTTCAGCATCACGTCGTACCTTTTTGTGGGTTTCCGAGGAGCGTGATCCGGCTGTGACCCACGGACAGGCCTTTCTCACACAGCGTCTGCAACTACGAGACACGCAAACATCACACTCTGTACAGGCACCAACACACAAGCTACAAGTAACAATAAATAACTACACAGCTGCACTTACAGTACATCCTAAGAAAATCAATGGTTTTTAATATTGGACTAGGTTTTCTCTAACTACACTGCCAGGTCACAAAAAATATACTAAAACTAACCGAGTCTGTTAAAAGATAGGATTATGATTCGGGAAATTGAACTAAAACAATGAAGTTACTTATCAATGAAAGGTTAACATTGATATTCAACTGTCTTAAATGAAAATGTCCCGTTCTCTGTGTAACTGCCAGAACTGAATCAGGTCAGATTCAGGGCAAAACGGGTTCAAACAAGAATCACCCTGTTAAAACAAACGGTCGGATTTATTGCCATTAGTGTAAATCAAAAAGACACATGACATGTGGAAGAATACAGAAAAAACGTTGTAAAGCTTTTTAATTGTGACAAGCGTCTGAGGTAACCCTAGTTTGGAATGCCAGTTTGCAGACTAGAGAAACAAGCTTCGAAGATGGACGAGAGTTTCAGACAAGGGGCAATCATCTGGAAATCATTCAAATCCGGTCACATCGAAGCAAACTACCAGTGTACGTAGGAGAGAAGCAGATATAAGGGACACTGAGGAGAGAGGGGGAGAAGCAGATACAGTGCCTTGCGAAAGTATTCGCCCCCCTTGAACCTTTCAACATTTTGCCACATTTCAGGTTTCAAACATAAAGATAAAAATTTAATTTTTTGTCAAGAATCAACAACAAGTGGGACACAATCGTGAAGTGGAACGATATGTATTGGATCATTTAAACTTTTTTAACAAATAAAAAACTGAAAAGTGGGGCGTGCAATATTATTCGGCCCCCTTGCGCTAATACTTTGTAGCGCCACCTTTTGCTGTAATTACAGCTGCAAGTCGCTTGGGGTTTGTCTATCAGTTTTGCACATCAAGAGACTGGAATTCTTGCCCATTCTTCCTTGCAAAACAGCTCGAGCTCAGTGAGGTTGGATGGAGAGCGTTTGTGAACAGCAGTCTTCAGCTCTTTCCACAGATTCTCGATTGGATTCAGGTCTGGACTTTGACTTGGCCATTCTAACACCTGGATACGTCTATTTGTGAACCATTCCATTGTAGATTTGGCTTTATGTTTTGGATCATTGTCCTGTTGGAAGATAAATCTCCGTCCCAGTCTCAGGTCTTTTGCAGACTCCAACAGGTTTTCTCCCAGAATGGTCCTGTGTTTGGCTCCATCCATCTTCCCATCAATTTTAGCCATCTTCCCTGTCCCTGCTGAAGAAAAGCAGGCCCAAACCATGATGCTGCCACCACCATGTTTGACAGTGGGGATGGTGTGTTCAGGGTGATGAGCTGTGTTGCTTTTACGCCAAACATATCGTTTTGCATTGTGGCCAAAAAGTTCGATTTTGGTTTCATCTGACCAGAGCACCTTCTTCCACATGTTTGGTGTGTCTCCCAGGTGGCTTGTGGCAAACTTTAAACGAGACTTTTTATGGATATCTTTGAGAAATGGCTTTCTTCTTGCCACTCTTCCATAAAGGCCAGATTTGTGCAGTGCACGACTGATTGTTGTCCTATGGACAGACTCTCCCACCTCAGCTGTAGTTATCTGCAGTTCATCCAGAGTGATCATGGGCCTCTTGACTGCATCTCTGATCAGTCTTCTCCTTGTTTGAGATGAAAGTTTTTTTTTATTTTATTATTTTTTTTATTTATTTAACACCATGTGATACAGATTCCATAAAAAACATAAATTACTATGTGCAACATAGTAGTGCAGAATATATTGGTGGAGGAGGGAAGGGGGAGTGGGGGGGGGGGCATTTTTAAGGCATCCGGAGCATGAAACGAAGAAATACAAAATACTAAATAAAAAAATAAAAAATAACAAGCAAGTACCGTCGTGGAAATATGTAGGTGCTAATGTGTAAGTGTGGGTGTTAATGTATTTGAATGTTTGTGTATATGTATAAATGTGTGACCATATGTGTCTGAAGAAGAAATAGAAAAAATAGAAAAACAGAGCAATAACAGTGAATAAAACGGAAAAAAAACAAATTAGTGCTGCCACTTGCTGTCTCCACAGATCCCAGTAACGTATTTTGGCTGTTTATGTGACAATATATTTATTTGCTTATTTTGTATTATTATTATTATTTGTATTTTTTCATTTATTTATTTTTTGTGCGCGTCTACACATCGACAGCAGGGCCACTTCCTTGTTTAATCTTGTGTGTATTGTATGTGTGTGTTGAGTGTGGCTTATGTTATGCATTAAAAATCCAGGGTTCTGTGGGAGGTCTGCGCTCCAGGGGAGTCATCTCTAGAGCGCATGCCTCCCCTCCTGAATGGCCTGATCTAGTAGGTGTGAGTCTGTTGTTGGTTTTTATCATTTTTTCATTTTTTCAGTTTTGGTTTGGTAAAAAGGGCTTTGGTTACTGTGGTGACAGGGTTAGCAGCATAATACTAATGGTGTTAGGATTCTGTGTGTGTGTTGTGTGTGGTGTGTGGTGTGTGGTGTGTGTGCGTGTGTGCGTGTGTGCGTGTGCGTGCGTGCCAGTGGATAGTGGGGGGGGCTTCCAAACACTAGTGATTAGTATACGGTGATATTGAGGTATTTGATGAAGGGTGACCAAGTTTCCGTAAAGGACAGTACGTTATCATCTTGAGATGATGGGTGGTGTGTGGTGATGTGATGAGTGAGGGAGTTGATCCAGTGGTTGATACTTATTGAGTTTTTGGTTTTCCAGTTTAGTAAGATTATCCTCTTGGCGATAGCTAGAGATGTCAGAAGGCATTTTGTGTATCTGGTAGGTATGGGGCTGGTAGAGGTGGCGCTCAATAGACACAGAGATGGGGAGAGCGGGACTCTGCAGCTCAGGATGTCAGAGAGTTTTAGAGTGACTGTGTGCCAAAAGGATTGAACTGGTGTGCATTCCCACAGTGCATGTATGTATGTGTCTGTGGAGCCCATTGTGCATTGAGTGCATGTGCTTGTGTCTGTTAGTCCCATTTTATGCTTTTTGTATTCAGTTATATGTGTTCTGTGAATAATCCTGTATTGTATCATTTGTAAATTGGTGTTTGGTGTCATGGAGAAGGTGTTGGTGCATATTTCTGTCCAGAATTCGGGTGTGATGGGTGAGTTAACCCTTCAAGGTCTAAGCTCATTTTGGGGAACTTTCCTCGCCTGGTTTTCTTTGTGTATAATTGCTCATAAAACAGTCATCTTGTGATGCAGAGTCAAGCAGTAAACTTTGTTTTTTTCAGTACAACCTGTGGATTTATAATATTCATAGTGTACAGCTGTCATATGAATTATATAAAAAATATGGAATCATGAAGACAAAGAAAAAAATGAAACGGAAATTCAATTTCACCAAAATGTTTTGAAAAACACAATGAAATGCTATTGCTAACTTTTTACACTGTATAGAAATGTTATTTAGGGTCTTGGGGTTGATGGGGAAAAAAATTGAACCTGTGACTATTATAATTTTTACAAAATTCCACTACAAGTGAAAAAAACGCTGTACTCCTGATGCCCTTCCTGAAGCAGTTTGTCTATGTCTATATATTGCTTCAGTATCACAGCTGTAAGATATGTAAAACAAAAAAAACTAAGAAAACAAAGAAAAGAAAAACAACATCTTATATTCATATACATCATATCATTATAATGTATTTATCAATGTCAATAATAAATATATAATATAATTACATCAATAATGCGCACTGTTCAGCCAGGTGCTGGCTCTTGTGAGCGCTGCATCTGCGTCTCCTCCTATCTTTGTGTAATGCACTTTCAAGCCCAGACTCTGAACACACACATCACTCGTAGATCACGTAGATCAGTGATACAAAGCTACATTAGCTGTGTCGGGGACGCATTTTCGTAACATTCCGCTAAAATAATGCGTCTTTTACGCATCAGTAATTGCAATCGCAGCTGTAATTTCAACTATGGGACAATAAATACACACAGGAGAGTGAATCATCCTACTCTCTGACAATCTTTGGCAGTCCCTGTGTCAGCGTGTAAGCAAAATAACTTTACTGTTTTGGCTGTTTTACCTCACGGGAGACCGCTCGAAGATCCGATTGGACACCAACTTTCAAACACACGTAGAAAATTCCCCAAAAGTCACACAGACAAAACAAAACTAGCGCTGTAATGCCTGAAATGTGTACTTCACGGAGAAAAAAAAGTAAGTCGCTACGTTTTGCCGTTCATGAGAAAATTGAACATTTATAAAACATGTGCGCAGGAGTCGGATCCGACGCTCTAGACCCCAGAGGGTTAATGTCCAGGTTCCATTTTTCTTTTGGGGTGTGTATTGTTTGGTCTGTATTCAAGAAGTTGTGTAGTTTGGATATTAATTTTTTCATAGTTTTAATGTTTTTTTATATTTTCAATGAGTTGGGGTGCAGTTAAGGGGTTGTGTTGTATGTTAATCTTGCTTTTGATTGTGGATTTGATTTGGAAATATTGAAATGTGCAGTTTTGGTTGAGATTGAATTTGTCTGTTAGTTGTTTATATGTCATAAATGTGTTGTTGAATAGATGTCCGAGGTGGGTGATTCCTTTTGGTTCCCATGTGTTGTAGTGCAGTGGCGTGTTATTTGTGTGAAAGTCAGGGTTGTGCCAGAGAGGAGTGTATTTGCAGGGTGTAGGTGATGAGTTAGTTAGTTTTAAAGCTTTCCACCAGGCTGTCAGAGTTGTTGAGATAGTTATGTATTTAAAAGAGGTATGTTTTTTGAGTGCAGTGTTCATTGCTGGTAAGTCTGTCAGTTGGATGTTATCTAAGATAGATTGTTCGATTTCTGTCCAGGAGTTATTGTGTGTAGGCTTTATCCATGTTGCTAGGTATTGTAATTGGTTTGCAAGGAAGTAGTGTGTGAAGTTGGGTGCGTTAAGGCCGCCCTGTGATTTGGGCTGTTGTAATGTTGAAAGTTTGATTTTGGCTTTTTTGTGTTTCCAGTAAAATTTTGATATGAGTGAGTCGAGTGATTTGAACCATTTATCTGTGGGTGTGACGGGTATGTTAGAGAATAGGTAGTTGAGTTTTGGAAGGATCTTCATTTTGAGATGAAAGTTGAGGGACGGCCGGGTCTTGGTAGATTTGCAGTGGTCTGATACTCCTTCCATTTCAATATAACTGTTTGCACAGTGCTCCTTGAGATGTTTAAAGCTTGGGAAATCTTTTTGTATCCAAATCCGGCTTTAAACTTCTCCACAACAGTATCTCGGACCTGCCTGGTGTGTTCCTTTGTCTTCATGGTTCTCTCTGCGCTTTAAACAGAACCCTGAGACTATCAAAGAGCAGGTGCATTTATACGGAGACTTGATTACACACAGGTGCATTCTATTTATCATCATCAGTCATTTAGGACAACATTGGATCATTCAAAGATCCTCACTGAACTTCTGGACTGAGTTTGCTGCACTGAAAGTAAAGGGGCCGAATAATATTGCACGCCCCACTTTTCAGTTTTTTATTTGTTAAAAAAGTTTAAATTATCCAATAAATTTCGTTCCACTTCACGATTGTGTCCCACTTGTTGTTGATACATGACAAAAAATTAAAATGTTATATCTTTATGTTTGAAGCCTGAAATGTGGCAAAATGTTGAAAGGTTCACTGTATAAGGGAGACTGAGGAGAGAGGGGGAGAAGCAGATATAAGGGAGACTGAGGAGAGAGAGGGAGAAGCAGATATAAGGCACACCGAGGAGAGAGTACAGAGAGGAGATGGGGCACTATATTTGCCTTGCTTTATATTTCTGTATTTTTGTATGTTTTTTGTAATTGTATGATCTTTTATTAAATCAGCCATGACTTATTTGAATTAAGAAGGTCCGACTGGAAGCGAGATTCTGTAAAGAACTCGACATTTATGCTTTAGATAGTACAACCTAGAACTAAATGTTAATCTATTTATGAGAGATAATGCATTTATGAGAGGTATGCACAGATTTGGATAGTTTAGTTACAGGTGATTTTAATATTCATGTGGATAATGTTAATGACGTGAGTGGCCCCACCCACAGCAGAGGGCACACTGTAGACCTAAAGGGGTGAATATTTCAAATGTAAACATAGTTGATGCTGCTCTGTCGGATCATTTTTGTGTAAAGAGTTTTACACATGCAACAGCATTTGGTCTAAGCTGCAATACTGAAAACCATGGAAACCAGTTAAAGAAGAAATATTATGCATTATCTTTGCCTTTAAAAATCATGAGACAAATAACTTCAAATAACTTTGGGATTTTGAAGCCGCGGACTCGCTGGCCTCGCTCTTTCTGCTCCCCTCCCCGCACCCACGAAGCTATCGCCCCCACACACACTCACTGTTGTTGATGGAGCTAGTGTCTCTCAATATGGATAATACATGGACATGGATTTACACGTGGATGGCGTGGCCATAGAACGATAGAACCGGGAAGCGCGGAGGAACGAGACTTTCTTTTGGATGGCTGTCTCGCTGTGTAAGCAGTAACCGGTGACGAAGACAAGGAAGCTTCAGGTTAGCTCCGCCGCTTGTTGTGCTAACTCAGCCGTCTATGCTAACGGACCTGTAGATTTCTCACAAAAGTGGGGGCCAGTGGTCCGCTGTGATTGGTCACAATCTGCGACCCGAAACCATTCTCTTCCTTGTTTCATCAAAACTCGATCTAAAATATAATGTCATGCTAGCACAAATCTGCGCTACTTTTTCTTCAAAAGGACGTTTATCCCAATGCACTACATGGACATGGATAACATTATTGTAATGAATACGAAAATAAAGTCAGTTAGTGCAGCTTTAAGCAAAGCAGACAAATCTCACCCTTATATAAAAAAAGAAAAACCAGTAAAGTTAAGTCTGAAAATTGCTCAATCTCTCTAATCTAAAGTCTATAAATTAGTCCATGAACATAAATTACAATCCTATATTTTCTGTGTTTTTTGATGTTTTGTTTTTGCGCTCAGGCTTTTGTTCTTGTACCTTGGAGGAGTCGGCCAGCAGGAAGCAGTAGCTCTCCTCCAGCTCCTTCTCCGTCCTGCCGTCGGCCTTCAGCTCCTTCCTTTTCTCCACGAACTGAAACATTCCAAATACACACAGATTCTTTGACATTTTGTTGTGTCTCCTTGACCTTAATCGGAGAAACTAAAGCTGCAGATGATAACATTACTCTGCGCTCAGGCTTTTGGGGCAAAGTGACATTTTGAGACTGCGTTGTCATTTCTGTGCAATTTTTTAACTCCAGCTGTGAGAGACAAGTAGAATAGAGACAGCTTCACAGTGGAGGAACGAAATGCAAATCTGGGAGTGGATCTACCCTGATTTGGTTACTGGCTTGTACAATCAAAAATAGTTCAAGAAGCAAAAAGGAGGGTTTTGTTGAGTTGCATCCCGATACCTCTAGACTCAAGCATAATCACAGACATTTTATGTGGAAAATACGCTGTTTTTACTGCAATGTATAAGAACCAGCTACCATTTACGATCCAAAGAACTGCTAATATTCACCACTTGATTCTATCCTCATAAATTCAGCCTGTACACACAGAGTTTAATTTTAATGAGATGGTTTTATTCATAATTCTTTGCCTTTGCTTTTCTGTCCATCTTACATATTTACAGATTTTCAAGTTCATTCATGACGTCACATATAAGATTGTGAGTAGATATGTACGTGTGTGTGTCAGATTTATCATCCCCAATTGTATAAATATGACTGCACACAACATTGAAACTAGGTAAAGGATCAAGGCTCTGGCCAGCCACCATGGGATTGCATAATGCCTGGAAAACCAAAAATCTTCTTAAAAAAATAGATAAAAAGAATCTTGTATCCCTGAACTTACTGCTTTGACACGCCTTAAACATTTCAGTCAGGGGCTAGTACGGTCTGTCCGTCTGCAGCTCTGGATCCACGGCATTTTGCATCATTCAGATAATGTAGATTCAAAAAAAGTATGTAGTCCCCTATTCTAGCTTTAATCAGACCACGGTTTCAGGTTCAATTCTGTTTTAAGCAGAGTTCTACAAGACTGAGTTTACCTCCTTCTCCAGGGTCTCGCTGTGGACCAGGCGTGGTTTGCTGTAGCTGAAGGAGCCGGCAGAAGCAGAGTCCAGGTAGCCGGACGTCAGGACTGTGAGGATGTCTTCATACTCCCTGGACTCGCACGACAGCGGCTGGAACAAGGCTGCGAATAAGCACAAAACACCTGCTCAGAGACGGTCGACTGTGGGAAGAAATTAGACTTTTAAGAAAGCTCTATTGTCTTGTATCTAATAAGGCCAACAGCGGACCAATAACATTACATCACCTGGTTCTTGTCAAGTCAATCCTAAATTTCATGTTTAATTTAATCTCAGTCAGACACACACACACACACAGAGATACATATTTTTTTCAATTAAAATACAGCCAGTAAATTTCAGTAAACAATTCTTAAACAAGCCATGACTAAAAACACCAGAACTATTAGCCAGACTAAAACTCTCATAATCTCACCTTTGCAAAGATAAATATCAAGTGCCAGATATATTGCCCCATCAACATTGAACCACATTCATTCAACTCAACCTTATTTAAAAAACTCTTGGCCTTTAATAAACCAGCTGATGTTGAAGTCTTGGGAGACATCTGTAATGGGCTGAGATCTCACAGAATTGTCCCCGTTATTCTTTGTCTTAGATCATTGGACGTCTGCTCAGTTTCATTTCACTCCAGCTCCAGAGTGAAACGAAACCAGCTGATTCTAATGTGAGTTACAGCCATCCACTCTGTTTACCCAGAACCCCTGCTACAGACATGTCGTACCTCATTTTAACACTCAGAATCTGCAGAATTCACTTGTTGAGAAAAAGGTTAAACCAAATACACAAGTTTAGCCGTGTATTTAAGTGTATTTACTGCGTGAAAAGTCCTATTCAGAGTTAGACATTATTGTAATATACACACTTTGCCCTAGTGTTAGCAACTGATCTAACAAAAAAAGACTAAATTTATTAAGGAAAAACTGTCAGAGTAGAATTCCAAATAATTGGGAACGGCAAAATATTCTTATCAGTTGTTCCCTACTATGGTAATTGTTGTAGCAGGCCATAAGCCTAGTGTATACTTGCGTGGCTTACGTTAGCGGTTGCGGTGGACCTACGTCAGCACAATTGATGTTATACTGGCGCGTTCCCCTTACGGAGTTTTGAGGAGAATGTTGTAATCCCACAACAAACCACATGAGGGCGATCACACAGGAGCGGTCCCATTTACGCTGCTACTTTGTCCTCTTCAGAACAACAATAGCAAACAAATCTGTTTGAGCTCATTACACGTGTTTCTACTGTAGGTTTATGTGATAGTTTTATGGATTCATTATTTTATAAGTCATTTCAACTGTGATGCTGTGAATAAAGACACAGTTCTTGTTGGAAACATAGTTATTATTAAATAGTTTTCAGCACAAACAGCAAAACAATAATAGTGGTAAATATCTGAGACAAACATGAACGATTTACGAGTGCAGGAGGAAAGCAACAAACACAGCTACGATTCAAACAAGAAAGGAACAGTTTATAAGTTATATATATGTTAGATATAAGTTATATATATGTTAGATATAAGTTATATATATGTTAGATATAAGTTATATATATGTTAGATATAAGTTATATATATGTTAGATATAAGTTATATATATGTTAGATATAAGTTATATATATGTTAGATAGTCCACAGTCTCCTGTATATCAGGCTCTGAGCCCAAACTGCTTTTCCTTCGAAGCACAAAGCTCTCTGCTCCATAGTGCCTCGTCCATGCTCCTGCTGCAGCCGCTTCGTGCTTCCTTCCAATACACACACGGACCAATCACAGCGGAGATTCCTTGCGGCGACCCTTACGTAGTTAGAAAATGTCGATGCTGCGCGGCAGGCGACGTAAGGGCCTTACGGTGACCAACGCATTGCGCAAGTGACGTCACGTCACCTCCGTAAGCTCCGCGCCGCGCGAGTATAAACTAGGCTTAAAACTAGCACCATATAGAATAACACATACATCTTGCAGACCGACGCAGACTTTGAGATGATTTTCTTGTTTTGTTTATGGGTTTGTGTGAAACTCATCTCTGGGACCTGGAGCAGCTGCTGCATGTGGGCCTTTCCTCCAGAGGAAGATTTAAAGTGACACCAGGGGGATTCCACTTCCCAAATGGTGGTTTCAGATTCAGAGCAGAGTAGCGACTAACCAGAGCCAGTGTTCCCAACCTTTTGCCCTGTGCACCCCCAGCAGACAGGGAACCAGAGGGAGACTTTCACATCCTCTTTTTGCTCATGGGCCACATTAGTCTCGCTCGGTCTACAAAGGTTTGCTTTAGCTCAGCTGCGAAACAACGCTGTGGCCCGTGTCGTTACTAAACCTGCTCTCAGGATTATTACTTTCATTTTCCCAAAACAAAAGCAGATCACAGCTTTTAACATCCAGGAAGAAAGGGGAGGGTGAGAGGAGTGAGAGTTTTGAGACAGATACAAGGGAGAAGATATATTTTCAAGATCTCTCTCTTCACACTAGGGATGTGGCTTTGAAGTGCAGCTTGTGAGAAATTATTAGAATCAGTCACCTATCGAAACTTCCCCACTGTGGGACGAATAAAGGAATTCTTATCTTATAAATCTGAAACCTTCCGTGCAAAAGGGCGTAGGTGAGTCTGAATAAACACAAATCCCTCTCAGCCTTTATAAAAGTAATTGATCTCCAATATACTGGATACTAGTAGTTTTCCACAACAATGCTTGCTACCCCTTTAGGTGCTTAAGTAGCAAAGTTCTTGTGTGAGCTCCTGCATCACTTTCTATACAGCAACCTGGCTTAGATCCTCTTAGTCAACTATCTCTTATAAAGTTTTAGAACTAACCTTATGGGTTAGTTTCCTTATGGGTTCAATATTCATATTCAGATGATTGATGTCATTGATTTATTTGGAGAATTAGCTTTAAAATGAAGTACAACATGTCATGCCAGCCCATCAGATCTAAACCACTTACTTTCAAAATATTTCGCAGGCCAATAAAATAAATTACTTGAACATTATTTGAGTACTCCTCTGGGATACCCCTCTGGGATACCCCTCTGGGATACCCCTGGTTGGGAATCCTTGCGTACATTTCAACATAAACAATGATGTGTTGTATGAGAGTGTGTTCACAGTAAAGTGTCAATTGAAGTATCTGGACTTTAAAAGGTTATAACTTCAAAACTAAATTTACTATCACAGATTGGAAAAAAAAAAAATCAAACACAGACAGATCAAAGAGATAGTGTGGATAAAATCAAAAGGAAAGATTGTCAAATATATTTTTGCCGACATTTTAAACGACCAAATCAGCCTCTTTTTTGACCATTCTACTGTGGCGCCGGTTACATAGAATGTCCTGAGTCTGAAAAAGTGGCAGATGAACTCCCACAAGATTAACATTAACACAACATCAGGAAATCACTTGATATGAAAAGGAATCGTTAAAAAATAAAAATTAATTAATTAATTAAATGACCCCTGAAAAATGTATAACGGACGTGATGAGGACGGTCCTCTTTTCTCTAAAATTTAAACTTGAGAAAGAAAAAAATCTGGTCTGGTTTCACATTTAATTGCTTGACTAAATGAAAGTATCACTTTGTTTCTACTAAAATAGAATCTCTGAATCAAAAGTGGACATCTGAAAATACCTATCAAACTTCCACAAAGCTCATTCCGTCAAATCATCAGGTCCGTTAGGTAAAATAACCAGTGCCGCTTTAGGAAAATTGTCTAATGTATAAAACAGTTATGTTCTAGCAACTTCTAATGGACAGAGGAGGTGTTTGGAAAAATCTAATTTTCGGCCTTTTGTCACACTTTTGTGCCCTTTAGTGTGAACAAGCCCATAAAAGAATAGTGTTGTGAAATCCATGGATCCAGGGCCAACACTCCTCCTCCCAATCCCAAAAGCCTAAGTGGGAGAATACACTTCTTTCCCTACATCCCTCCTCTCTCTTGCTTTGACTTCTGAGCGTTCTGACATTAGCGGACACCACTCACCGAGCATCTCTTTACTTTTCCTCGGTATGCGAAGCATCTGTATTCCTTTGGCCACGTGGCGTTGATGGAGGACCTGCGGAGACCAACCTGTCCTGACTGCAGCTCTGGCCCTGACCAGCCTCTTGTGGAGGTTCTCCTGGTAGGCGCGCACAAACACCACCTCATCCTCGCCTTTGGGGGGGGCTGACCCTGGAGCCCCTTCTTGATTTCTACGCTTTACTGTAGAAGTTCAACAATTATTTGTTGCAAGAAATAGTATTCTTTGAACAGAAAAGTACACTTCACAATAGCTTGCTTAAAGGAGGCATAATGTACAGTGATTTCCAGACTACAAGACGCTACTTTTTTCTTGATTCTTTGACGTTTTAGCAGCTTTTGGACATTGGTTTATTGTCAAAATCGACTGATGAGTGAGTCATGGAAGCTAACGGTTAACACTTCGTCAACAAATCATGTTAAAAATCAACATTACAACATGAAACTCTGCGGCTTATATTCCAGAGCGGCCTAAATGTGGACACAATTTATTTTCTTTTAGAATATTGCTGGTGCGGCTTATATACAGGTGGGCCTTGTAGTCCAGAAAGTACAGTAATGCATGACTTTAGCAACTTTACCTATGAACAAACTAAATTATACATTTCTTCGGGGTATACAGCTTTATGTATACGTGTGCTCATAATCAATACATCTCGTGTTTGTGTGCTCCTCAATCCTGAAGTTCTGTACCTTGTGATGCAACACTGAAATTTCCCCACTTTGGGACGAATAAAGGATCTCTTCATCTTAATCTTAAACCTTAATCTTAATCTAATGCCAAAACAAAGATCTCCGAGCTGTAACCGAAACCCACTACTCACGCTCAAGGGAGTAAATTCATCGCACGCATGATCATGGCATGTTGTCGTGGAAACCATAAACATTCTAAATCAGGGCTGGGTATATTTTAACTCAGAGGGGGGCAATAGGGCATAGGGATATTGGGCACATTTTGGAGAGTTAAAAATGTAAAAAGAATGTGTTTAGCTGATGAAAAATAAAAAAATACAGAAAAGAAGGAAAAGAGTCAATATCCAATGTTATCTTTGTGTTTGTGTGAACTGGGTTAGCTTGTCTTTAGCATCTAGGCTATGGTTTTGCTAAGTTTTTACAGTATGGGAGGTACTTTTAACAAATGTATAATAATTTTTATTAAATGTGGATGATATTTTTAGTTGTCCTTAGATTTAAATTCAGGCTTGGATTGAACCAAATCTGGATGAATGGTATTTTTGCCCTTGTAGCTCTCATGAAGCAGCAAACCTTCATTGAATCTCGACTCCCATTCATTTAAATGGGGGGAGATGGTATGAAGTTTGCGGATGGGAAACCTAAGTATCCGGGAAGATTTGCTGACGGTTCACGATTGAACTCAAATTGAACTCAGACGCAGTAAATATCTGGGTAGGCTCACAGCAGAGAACCTACTCATCTCCAAAACAAACAAGTTAATGGACTCAAGAGCCAGGGACAGATGATCGAGCAGGTCAATCTGAGCAAAACCAAATATTGCTTCCTCGGGGCACCATCTGGCGACAACAAAGGGACAGGACAGTGGTAAGAACACACAGAGCACACAAAATACACAGCAACTTATTATAAACCTACACCTCGTTTGCTCTGTATGCGTCATCAAAAGTGCGACATCACAAGGACCCCCACAGTGTGACGAGAAAGGTTTTCTTATCTTATCTTTTAACACTGTTGAAGCCAGATTGTGAAAAACGCCTCTTTAAACAGCAGGTCTGTCACAATCAATACTATATGGACTCATCAACCCATAACTACTCAAACTATCTCATTTGGGCCTCAATAAATATCACATGTATATTTTATTTGCAAAAGTGAGAGATTCCTGGCATTTTAGGTGTAGAAGAAATGTAAAAATTTTGTAAAATATGTAATGTTTTTTTATGTGGTCGTAGAAATAATGGGATTATTTTTGCGGTATTGTTCTCGCGACAGTGCCAAAAAGTAGTTTCATTATGACTGTTTATCGCGATCTTTTTCTACAGCAATATATCGTCCATCAAAATGAGTTATTGTGACAGGCCAGTTTTACCGTTTCACTGCGACGTCGCCAACATTCACCTGAGCTGCTTCTTTTCAATCACAAACTTCAAATCCAGTGACGAAAAACATGTGATCTCTCAGCGTTTAAAACTAAGCAACATGAAACTTCGAAGCCATGCAGATGTTTTCCATACACACCACTCACAAAAGGATATTCAGGATATTACTGCACTATGTTCGGTTCAGTTCATCTATTTTTCATTTCAGACCATTTTCAGGCACTTGTCGACAACATACAAAAGTACATGAGGTCTGGGAAAATATACAGAAGCTGAGATATTTACATGTTGAATTTAAATCGCTGCTACTACACATACAAGAAAATAAGACATTTACTCCATGCTAACAGCTGTCTGCTTCAATTCAGATATTTGGTTTTATTTTGGTGTAGCCCTAACTCGTCTCAAGAGGACGTTTCACCAACAACAGATCAGTTCAAACACAGAAAAGCAACAATAACAACTACAGCAACTTTAACTTTTATCGCTGCACCATTGGTAGTTTACTTATTGATTCTGTGACTGTGGTTCGGCGACAACACAGTCAGAGAGTGGAGAGCTCTAAACAAGGCTGTGAGCCGTCTGTTCTGGAGGTTCTTCAAGATTCCAGACTTTTATGTGTAAGTAAGTAAGTAAGTAAGTTTTTATTTATATACCGCCTTTTCACTGCAGATCTGAGTCTCAAGGCGGTTTACAATTGTTAATTTTGGGCATTTGTCTCTCACTCCAGACAGAGATGGGAGCGGGGCCAGTACAGGAGGCGCATGCTAGAACTATTGGACATATTTTTAGTGGTAGGGGAAACCGGAGTACCCGGAGGAAACCTACGCAGACACGGGGAGAACATGCAAACTCCACTCAGAAAGGCCCTGGTCCGACCGGGATTCGAACCCAGGACCTTCTTGCTGAGAGGCGAGAGTGCTATCCACTCAGCCACCGTGCCGCCCTACTATGTGTGTGAGCTGTGTCTGCTGAATATTTCTATTGAATCTATTTTTGAATGTTGTTGTGTTCTATGGCCCGGGCGCGGGGTGGGTGGGCACTGGGGTTGACATTTGGCTGTATTGTCTTTACTCTTTCACAATTTTTTACACTGAATGAATGATGTATGTCTACTAATATTGAAATGGTCAATAAATAAAGTTGAAAGCTCTTCAAATAATCAGTGACTTTTCTGGAATCAACAATATTCCTCTTGAGCGAAGTCTTAAGGTGTCATAATGTATTTTTTAATCTACAGGCTTTTTAACCACATCTTTCTTTGCACCATCAGTATAGAAAGTGCTGGTGGTGGGACGTGTGGGTATCTAGTCAATACAGCAATTAAAAGCCAATTTTGAAAGTCCATACTCCCCAAATAACATCGTCAAACCTGCAAATGTGCCCCTGCATGAGCAACACAGGCCTATGTAATCTCTACGGAGGACTATGCTCCAGCTCACGAAGGTTGCATCATTACAGAACGACTGCTGGAGGCTGTGTTACCTCAAATTAAGCGCCTTGCACGTTCTCCAGATCTGAAATCTCAAAGAAAACCTATGGGACCACCAGCTGAGGTGTTTTGTAGAGAGGAGGAGCTTCTATAAACTGTGCCCAAGAACCCACAGAAGGGAAAGCAATTAGTGTGTCAACTTAAGAAATGTCAATCTTCAATGATCTAGTATATTACTGCGTGAAGATTTTACATTTTCCGTATAATTCACACAAGATAAGATAAGATAAACTTTATTGATCTCACAATGCAGAGATTTAGTCACATTTGGCATTGGTAGAATCACTCAGATTGTGCAAAAAGACAGAAGTGTGCAACATGTTAAGGTTAAAAAATATAGTCTGTGCAGGATATAAAGGCCAGGTATTAAACTTGTGATCAGTTGTGCATGTTTTTGAAAACGAAAGCCATAAGAATATTAATACACTTTAGAATTTGTCTATTCCATTTTAGACATAATATGTATACATTTTCTATTTTAATGTAATGTTAAAATGTCTGAATAAATAAAATCAAATACCATCACGCATGTATATTTACTTAGTAGAACCCATCTGAATCCCTGTCTCCTAGTTACGATGGCAATAACTGAAAATACTTGTACTGCTATAGTCACTTTTATTCGTTATTGTACATAATATCTTGCAAAAAAATTACAATATTTTTAACATGTTTGCACACTTCCTGTCGTTTTGCACAACCTGAATAATTCTATCTATGCCAAATGTGACATATATATGTATTGTGAGATCAATAAAGTTAATCATATTTAGTAATCTTTATTTATATACCGCCTTTTCACTGCAGATCTGAGTCTCAAAGCGGTTTACAATTGTTAATTTTGGGCATTTGTCTCTCACTCCACACAGAGATGGGAGCGGGACCAGTACAGGAGAACTATTGGACATATTTTTAGTGGTAGGGGAAACCGGAGTACCCGGAGGAAACCTACGCAGACACGGGGAGAACATGCAAACTCCACTCAGAAAGGCCCTGGTCCGACCGGGATTCGAACCCAGGACATTCTTGCTGAGAAGCGAGAGTGCTATCCACTCAGCCACCGTGCCGCCCGTCTATCTATGCCAAATGTGACATATATATGTATTGTGAGATCAATAAAGTTAATCATATTTATTAAAAAAAAAAAAAAAAAAAAAAAAAAAACATTCTGATTCTGCACAGATAAAAAAAAAAACTGCACATTTCTCACCACGTTACTTTACATCGCTCCCATTCAGGAATAATTAAACTGTTTTGACATTATGAAGCTCGTTCAGCACCACTCACCCAGCTTCTCTTTAGTTTTCCTCGGTATGTGAAATTTCTGTGTTCCTACGGGCATGTGGCGCTGGTGCACAACCTGCGGAGGCGCCGAGACTCTTCTGCCCGAGACCCTGGCGTTCCCCCTGGCCACCCTCTCCGGGGCTCCCTGGAGGTTCTCCCGGAGAGTGCGCACAAACAACACCTCATCTTGGTTCGGAGCCCCGGCGTAGGACTCTCTCCGCGGCCGGGCTGCTGCTGCTTCTTTCGGGGCTAGACCGTCACCCATCGCCCGTGGACTGAGTGACTCGAGTGACCGACCTCTGCGCGCTGCTCCCCGGGTACTTCCAGTGCAGATTACGCGTCCTGCACGGTCACTGCCGGTTCGAGGTCCCGGTAAAGTGTGGGTAAATTGTACAAAAACATGGTGTGGGGGAATGGAGCCACGGGAAACATCGCGCCTGTGCTCTTCCTTGCTTTCTGCCTTCTTTGGTGGATCAGAGGAGCGGAACTGTTGCTAATGCTTGTTGCTAACGCTACTGCCACCGTGTGGACAAGCAGCGGCATAACAACTCAAATCAAATCAAATGTATATATATATATTTTTTTTTTATTCAAAGTGTGCAAGAAACAAGTACATTTTTATTATTATTATTTGTTTATTTGGTAGGGACAGAACAAGAAGCATTGTTACAGGAACCGATGCTGTGTTCATAGGCCGTATAGCTAACAGCTAGTTTGCAGACCTGGTCCCTAAAACCTATAAATACATCACATTTACATTATACAAACAGTACATCATTATATTAAAAAAAATAAGTAATAAGTTATACTAAATAATAAACAAGAATACAATACAAAATAAAAAAAAATACTATAAATGATTACTGTCTTGCATTATGCTCACAAGTTTCTCAACAACGTAGACACATTGATGCACTAATATTGATCAAATAAAATAAAATACATACATACATTACATACAGGGGTCTGCTAATCGACTAATACTTTAAAAAAATGTATCAATGTGATTGTTCTAATTCATTTCTTATTTTTTTGTTTTAAATTTTCAATACAGGCTAGATAGGTTTTCAGATCAGAAGCTTTAAAAGCATAAAAGGAAGGTTTTTTTTCACAGAATTTAGTTTTATGGATGTAGTACTTTCCTAAGATCAGTATTAGATTTATAATGTAAATTTCATCAGAGGAGAATTTTTTATCATTAAATATTAGTAAAATTTGAAATTTGGAAATATTAACATTTTTATGGAATATTCCAGCCAAATAGTGTTGCACATTGGATTCCGTACAATTCATGCAGTGTAAACCAAAGTGATCCACGAGCCGCAATCAATACATTTTAATTAAACGTATACATTTAATTGTATAAGTTTACTTCCGGTGCTGCTATCACTTTGGCTCGTGTAAATGTCTCAATATACATGAGATCAATATAGTTTATCTTATGTTATCTTATGTTATCTCGTAGAATATATGTATTTATTTTGTTTTTACGGATGATATATCTTTGCTGCTGGATAAGATTTCTGTTTCACAATTTCAGTGGCACAAATTGATTACCTCGCTTCTGTCAGTGTGCCAAAGGACTGCTGTGGCTAGTAGTTTATCACATGTGAAGCGTATTTGAATTTCTCAATATCTATACTAAAATAAAAATCAATACCAATTTCAATACCACAGTAAGTATCTATTAATGCTCTATTTGGACATTATCCTACAATAAATAATTAATACTCAATGATAACAATTCTGGGGCGACAGTAGCTCAGTTGGTAGAGCAATGGTCTTTGAACCTAATGGTCGAGGGTTCGATCCCACCACGACCCATGTCAACTGCTCCCACTGATGTCTGCTGTCGTTGTGTCCTTGGGCAAGACACTTAACCCCAATGTGCCTGAAGTCCCTGCTGAAAGACCAAGGCTGCATCTGTGTCGAAGGAGCAGCCATCTTCCCGTGGACCCACCACCTGCAGGAAGAGCAGCAAGGGACTGGTGCTATGTGAATTGGGTGGCAGTTCTGATTGCCACCCCCCTGACCCAGAAATGGAAAATAAAGGGATGTAAATGAAATGATAACAATTCTCCCTGAATGCTCAAGATTGTTAATCAATTTTTTTAGTAATGTTTATGTAACCATAATTAGTATCTATACTTGCTCAAAATAGTATCTAAAAAGTTTCCCTCATAACATAGTCCATCCATGATTATCCCTCCGCTCCGGGAGGCTGCGCGGTGGATGCTGGGAGGCTGCGCGGTGGATGCTGGGTGACTGCGCGGTGGATGCTGGGAGACTGCTGAAACAGCGCCCTCTCTGGTGAATACGGCGACTGCACCTTCGCATCGGTGAGTCAGACTCATCTCTTCGCTCGGACTCTTGTGTGTTTGTTTGTGATGATGGGGAGGGTTTCTCACCGCTTTTCCAACCAACAGCACTCTCTTCATATCGGGCTCGTCAATAACGGGCTCAGAAATATCGGTTTGCATGAGATTTGAGATTTAAGTCAGGCTTTGCACAAGAAGTGCTAGCGCTGCTACCTTTACCTTGTCGTGAACTCGCCTGAAAACGATTTATTTGGTAGAATACATGATAATTCATAATAATAAAACTTCGTTTGTATGACTAGTTTAATTAACTAAACACATTATCTCGCCTCGAAGCGCCATGAGCGACTCTTTGGCGTTTGTGATGCATGTTTACATTTCTGTCGATGGGGGTCGCCATATTGTAATTGTCGCAGTGCATTCTGGGAACTTGATAATGGTTCGGTTTTATACCGCGCTTTTTGGACATTTCACATAATTATTCATTCAGTTTACACACGGTGACGATAGACTACTCCTGTAGCCACAGCTGCCCTGGGGCACAGTAACAGAAGCAAGTATGTGCCATCAGCCCCTCCGACCACCACACACACCACACACACCACACACACGAGACACACCAGACACATTCTTGGCAATGTGCGTGAAGTGTCTTGCCTAAGTACACACCGGCAGTTGGGCACTTTACAGCCGCAGCCGCCCCACTGTGGCACCTGATGTTCCTAGAGGTCTCCCATGGCAAGGCAAGGCAAGGCAAGTTTATTTGTATAGCACAATTCATACACAAGGCAACTCAAAGTGCTGAAGAAAGCATTAAAATCATAAATAATCACAGAACATTAAAACGAAAGATAAAAATATAAAATCCCTCAGTTGTATGCACAGCTAAACAGAACTGTCTTTAACCTGGTTTTAAACATTGTCAGAGAGGAGGCCTGTCTCACATCTTCAGGAAGACTGTTCCACATTTTAGCAGCATGAATCTGAAAAGCAGCCTCCCCATGTTTAGTTCTGACTCTGGGCACTAACAGGAGGCCAGTCCCTGTGCTCCTCAGAGTCCCAGCAGGAGTCCAGTCCCTGTGCTCCTCAGAGTCCCAGCAGGAGTCCAGTCCCTGTGCTCCTCAGAGTCCCAGCAGGAGTCCAGTCCCTGTGCTCCTCAGAGTCCGGGCTGGTTCATATGGGACTAACATGTCACTAATATATTTTGGTGCGAGGCCATGGAGAGACTTGTAACAAGCAGAGCTGTTTTAAAGTATATTCTCTGAGCCACAGGAAGCCAGTGCATCACGGGTCTAACCAGGTTCTGACCTGCTTAGCTTCAGAATTCTGACAGGATCTGGCTTTCACTTGCAGGTGGCTCCACAGGATTAAATAAGTTTAATTCCAACTCTTTCCTTTGCGCTCTTTAGTTTTTACAATACACTTATTAACGGTTTGTGTTTGTCTCTGTTCAGGACACGATGCCAATCGACCGAATGCGGATGAGGCCATGGCTGCAAAAACAGATAGAATCATCTCAGATTCCTGGACTCAAATGGCTCAACAAAGTACGTCAAACTGTATCTGTGGGTTTTAGACACAAATGTTTCACTGTTTTATTTAATGACATCGTCTAAAATAAGAATATTAGAAACTGCAGCATTATTTAAAGCAACAGTGTGTCTTATCTGTTTGACAAAGTGAGTTTCATACTGTGGCTTTAAAGTGAGTTTCATACTGTGGCTTTAAAGTGAGTTTCATACTGTGGCTTTAAAGTGAGTTTCATACTGTGGCTTTTTCATACTGTGGCTTTAAAGTAAGTTTCATACTGTGGCTTTAAAGTGAGTTTCATACTGTGGCTTTTTCATACTGTGGCTTTAAAGTGAGTTTCATACTGTGGCTTTAAAGTGAGTTTCATATTGTGGCTTTAAAGTAAGTTTCATACTGTGGCTTTAAAGTAAGTTTCATACTGTGGCTTTAAAGTGAGTTTCATACTGTGGCTTTAAAGTTAGTTTCATACTGTGGCTTTAAAGTTAGTTTCATACTGTGGCTTTAAAGTGAGTTTCATACTGTGGCTTTAAAGTGAGTTTCATACTGTGGCTTTAAAGTAAGTTTCATACTGTGGCTTTAAAGTGAGTTTCATATTGTGGCTTTAAAGTAAGTTTCATACTGTGGCTTTAAAGTGAGTTTCATACTGTGGCTTTAAAGTGAGTTTCATACTGTGGCTTTAAAGTTAGTTTCATACTGTGGCTTTAAAGTTAGTTTCATACTGTGGCTTTAAAGTAAGTTTCATACTGTGGCTTTAAAGTGAGTTTCATACTGTGGCTTTAAAGTAAGTTTCATACTGTGGCTTTAAAGTGAGTTTCATACTGTGGCTTTAAAGTGAGTTTCATACTGTGGCTTTAAAGTGAGTTTCATACTGTGGCTTTAAAGTGAGTTTCATACTGTGGCTTTAAAGTGAGTTTCATACTGTGGCTTTAAAGTAAGTTTCATACTGTGGCTTTAAAGTAAGTTTCATACTGTGGCTTTAAAGTAAGTTTCATACTGTGGCTTTAAAGTGAGTTTCATACTGTGGCTTTAAAGTAAGTTTCATACTGTGGCTTTAAAGTGAGTTTCATACTGTGGCTTTAAAGTGAGTTTCATACTGTGGCTTTAAAGTGAGTTTCATACTGTGGCTTTAAAGTAAGTTTCATACTGTGGCTTTAAAGTAAGTTTCATACTGTGGCTTTAAAGTAAGTTTCATACTGTGGCTTTAAAGTAAGTTTCATACTGTGGCTTTAAAGTAAGTTTCATACTGTGGCTTTAAAGTAAGTTTCATACTGTGGCTTTAAAGTGAGTTTCATACTGTGGCTTTAAAGTGAGTTTCATACTGTGGCTTTAAAGTAAGTTTCATACTGTGGCTTTAAAGTGAGTTTCATACTGTGGCTTTAAAGTGAGTTTCATACTGTGGCTTTAAAGTAAGTTTCATACTGTGGCTTTAAAGTTAGTTTCATACTGTGGCTTTAAAGTAAGTTTCATACTGTGGCTTTAAAGTGAGTTTCATACTGTGGCTTTAAAGTGAGTTTCATACTGTGGCTTTAAAGTAAGTTTCATACTGTGGCTTTAAAGTAAGTTTCATACTGTAGCTTTAAAGTGAGTTTCATACTGTGGCTTTAAAGTGAGTTTCATACTGTGGCTTTAAAGTAAGTTTCATACTGTGGCTTTAAAGTAAGTTTCATACTGTGGCTTTAAAGTGAGTTTCATACTGTGGCTTTAAAGTGAGTTTCATACTGTGGCTTTAAAGTAAGTTTCATACTGTGGCTTTAAAGTAAGTTTCATACTGTGGCTTTAAAGTGAGTTTCATACTGTGGCTTTAAAGTAAGTTTCATACTGTGGCTTTGAAGTGAGTTTCATACTGTGGCTTTAAAGTAAGTTTCATACTGTGGCTTTAAAGTAAGTTTCATACTGTGGCTTTAAAGTAAGTTTCATACTGTGGCTTTAAAGTAAGTTTCATACTGTGGCTTTAAAGTAAGTTTCATACTGTGGCTTTAAAGTAAGTTTCATACTGTGGCTTTAAAGTGAGTTTCATACTGTGGCTTTAAAGTGAGTTTCATACTGTGGCTTTAAAGTAAGTTTCATACTGTGGCTTTAAAGTGAGTTTCATACTGTGGCTTTAAAGTGAGTTTCATACTGTGGCTTTAAAGTGAGTTTCATACTGTGGCTTTAAAGTAAGTTTCATACTGTGGCTTTAAAGTAAGTTTCATACTGTGGCTTTAAAGTGAGTTTCATACTGTGGCTTTAAAGTGAGTTTCATACTGTGGCTTTAAAGTAAGTTTCATACTGTGGCTTTAAAGTAAGTTTCATACTGTGGCTTTAAAGTGAGTTTCATACTGTGGCTTTAAAGTGAGTTTCATACTGTGGCTTTAAAGTAGTTTCATACTGTGGCTTTAAAGTAAGTTTCATACTGTGGCTTTAAAGTGAGTTTCATACTGTGGCTTTAAAGTGAGTTTCATACTGTGGCTTTAAAGTAAGTTTCATACTGTGGCTTTAAAGTAAGTTTCATACTGTGGCTTTAAAGTGAGTTTCATACTGTGGCTTTAAAGTAAGTTTCATACTGTGGCTTTAAAGTAAGTTTCATACTGTGGCTTTAAGGAGTTCATACTGTGGCTTTAAAGTAGTTTCATACTGTGGCTTTAAAGTAAGTTTCATACTGTGGCTTTAAATTTCATACTGTGGCTTTAAAGTGAGTTTCATACTGTGGCTTTAAAGTGAGTTTCATACTGTGGCTTTAAAGTAAGTTTCATACTGTGGCTTTAAAGTAAGTTTCATACTGTGGCTTTAAAGTGAGTTTCATACTGTGGCTTTAAAGTAAGTTTCATACTGTGGCTTTACAGTAAGTTTCATACTGTGGCTTTGAAGTGAGTTTCATACTGTGGCTTTAAAGTAAGTTTCATACTGTGGCTTTAAAGTAAGTTTCATACTGTGGCTTTGAAGTGAGTTTCATACTGTGGCTTTAAAGTGAGTTTCATACTGTGGCTTTAAAGTAAGTTTCATACTGTGGCTTTAAAGTGAGTTTCATACTGTGGCTTTATACAAAAAGATAAAGTAAGTAGCATTTTTTCTTAAGAATGACTTCTGACCACTGTGTGTAACTTTAGTAATGGATGGTGAGTAACAGCTTGTATTGTGTTTGTGTTATGTATATGTTTTGTAATGTCTATAATTGTTAATAAAAATAAATTACTCACCAGACATTTTGGTTCTCAAGCGTTACTTAAACCATTATTTTGGCAACATTTACTCATTGGTTTTATTTGTATTTATTTTTCAGGAGGAGCAAATATTCCAGATTCCATGGATCCACGCGTCTCATCAAATGTGGGATTTGGAGAAAGACGCCCCTTTGTTCATGCGATGGGCCATTCACACAGGTACCGTTCACACAGGTACCGTTCACACAGGTACCGTTCACACAGGTACCGTTCACACAGGTACCGTTCACACAGGTACCGTTCACACAGGTACCGTTCACACAGGTACCGTTCACACAGGTACCGTTCACACAGGTACCGTTCACACAGGTACCAGTCACACAGGTACCGTTCACACAAGTACCGTTCACACAGGTACCGTTCACACAGGTACCGTTCACACAGGTACCGTTCACACAGGTACCGTTCACACAGGTACCGTTCACACAGGTACCGTTCACACAGGTACCATTCACACAGGTACCGTTCACACAGGTACCGTTCACACAGGTACCATTCACACAGGTAGCATTCACACAGGTACCGTTCACACAGGTACCGTTCACACAGGTACCGTTCACACAGGTACCGTTCACACAGGTACCGTTCACACAGGTACCGTTCACACAGGTACCGTTCACGCAGGTACCGTTCACGCAGGTAGCATTCACGCAGGTAGCGTTCACAAAGGTAGCGTTCACACAGGTACCGTTCACACAGGTACCGTTCACGCAGGTACCGTTCACACAGGTACCGTTCACACAGGTACCATTCACACAGGTACTGTACCATTCACACAGGTACCATTCACACAGGTACCATTCACGCAGGTACCATTAAAAAGGTATTTTAAAATCAAACGCAAATAATTCCAAACTAAATGAATATTTTAAATGCATGCAGTCAATTCTGCCTCATTCTACAATATTTCAAAAAGCTGCAAATGTCAAAGTTTGGTCATAAATACAACTATGAAGGATTTTTGTCTACACTCACAGCTCCTCTTGGCTATGTCAATATTGTACTTCCCAACAATATTTTTTATCCGAGTCGTCCGAACATAGTCTGAATGTTACTAAACAACTTGGCTGGCCTTTGCCGATTCCACTTTGCCAGTACCAACATTATTTTAGGCCGATTTGGACAAAGTTTTACTCTCAAAAGACTAAGATTTTTTGCTGATTTAACATTCACACTAGCTATATCTTTTCCTCTGGTTGAATCCTTATTGATAAGAGTGCTTCTGTCTTCTGTGCAGCTAAATACCGGCCTGGAGTGGACAGTCCCAACCCCAAAACGTGGAAGAGTAATTTCCGCTGTGCCCTCAACAGTTTGTCGGACATCGTGGAAGTGAAAGACAAGACGAACAGGAAAGGATCCAACGCCTTCAGAGTTTTCAAAATGCTCTCTGTCGAAAGATCCACAGAGAGAGGTGAGAAATGGGATCAGAATTTAAACAGGAAGTAATATGTTTCAACTTTTTGCACAGAATAGGAGTGGGAAAAAAAACTTGAATCTTGAATTCCACACGGCTCTGGATGTTTAACAATATAATCTAATATAATACAATCTTCTCATGGGATTTTGAATTAGACCAAATAAGAACATTTTGATTGGTTTGAGTAGATGTTATGCTATAAGTTACAAATGTCAACACATGGTGGTGGTTCTCAAAGTTAGACATCTTTTATAGTTAGAGTATATATAATTATAACTTTGCATTTAATTTTATACAAAGAGATATTAAAACTGAAATGAACAACAATAACATTACATTTTCATGTTTTGACGCCTCTAGTTGTAACTGCTTTTATTCTCTTTGATGCTTACTTCTTATCTTAAAGTAGCAATATGTAATATTTTCTTGTCAAGTCATCAAGTCATTAATAAAACATGCTATTTTCGACTACATCTTTAACTGATAAAAGTAGTTCAGAGATATTTGGATTTCAAAATCTTGTTATTGTTTTCATTTCGATGTCCCGCCCTCCACCGTTTCACCAATCAGAAAGTCTGTGATCCGGGCGCCAGAGCTCACCGCGTGGAGCTAATCTCACTGGTAAAGTACCATGTGGCGCAGAACTAAAAAAGGTCTCGTTATGATTCTCAAATCATTAACGACAAAACAAGGAATAAAACCAGGATTTCTATCTTTGTGAAAAAGGTGTTGGTTATAGATTTGTTGTTGTCTATTCAGATGGATTCGTCTGCATATCTGGCAACCAGAGTGAGAGAGGTTGCAGTACCACTGTTGGCCACATTTCTACATACTGCCCCTTTAATGTATATTAACATTTGTTTTGAAATAAATAACAAGTGGTTCAAGTTTTAAAGGAATCCACCTTAAAAAAGCTCCAAAAATTGCCAAAGCAAATTCCTAGTTTGTGGCTTCCTGTTACTTACAATGGCAATGAAAAATATTCTGATTGTAATTCTGATTTTACCACAGTCAAAGTAGTTAACGTTCAGATTTAAGTCTCAAGATATGACTTTCACTGAACCTTTTTTTCTGTTTTTCTGTTTCAGGAATTAAGAAACTTACCAAAAAGATAGTGAAAGATTCCCAAGTAAGTTCATATTAAGAATGATTCTGTAAGTAAATTATCGGCGCAGTGCTAATTGTTTTACACAGGCTAAGATTGACTGCTCATTATGGATATTTTTAATAATTTTGTTGAAATGGAGTTTACAATCGATCAATTTAAGAAAGGTGATTGTTTCTTTTCTCCTCAGATTCAGTCCAGGTCAGAGCGCTGTATTCCTGAGGCTGGTCTCGGAGGTGACGCCAAAACAGACGCGTCCAGAGTCAAACAAGAGCCGACGGAAGTGGATGTTAACGGTGGGAAGTTTCTCAATGTCAGGTTTATCTGTATGGCACATTAACAACAACACCCGCTGCTCAAAAACATGGAGAAATTTGGTGTGGTAGAATCACTCGGATATTGCAAAAGACAGAAGTGTGCAACATGTTAAAGGTTAAAAAGTGGCAAAAGCAGTTCTAGTTCTTCAGTCCTATGACGCATTAGTGACTTAAAGAGCGACTAAACACCTGTGCCCAGCCTGACTCCGCCCACATGAAGATTTGAAAATGTTCTCTAAAAAGGGCGTTGCCTGGAGGACCAAGGGACAAGAAGGGGGGCTTAGAGTTGGGCGTGGTCTGGGCTGTGATTGACAGCTCACTTGTCACACAAAGAAAAAACAGACAGTTGTCATTGCTGCTTAAAGCAATAGTTTACAGACCAGAAAGTCTCATTCCACCCTTGATTACACACTAAGATAATTGTAAAGCTACACACCTGAACCTAATCACACTCAATAATCTCAGAATGACTCATGTAATTTAATTTTAATCCACTAGATGGCGCCAGAATACTCCAAACTGCAGCTGGGGCGTGTGTGAGAGTTGAATGGGTTCACATCACTGGCTCTGACAGACTGACGTCACACAAAACAACTGATGTCATAGAGAACTTCAGAGTCAATGGAGAGGCCAGAACCAAATTAAAATGTAGTACCACCAAAAAGGTTGAGAGGGCGCCACACAGACGTTTTTTGGCTCAAAAGTGATATTTTATCTAATTTGAACTAAAATGTCAAAAAAATGACCAGGATATGTAGACCGCACTACAATAAACATATTTATGGAGTTTATGAGTTAAAAAAAGTTGATTTGGTGTTTAGTCGCTCTTTAAAGTTTGTTATTATTAGTTTAAATTGAGTACTAGCTGCTCACAATGGTGAACAACATCAGTGTGTATTTTGATACTTGCATGAGAAAGCCAGAGCCTGTCAGACCTCTGAAGCTAAGCGGGGAAGGGCCTGGTTAGTACTGTGATGGGAGAGCTCTCCGGAACAGCAGGTGCAACAGTGGGGCGGCTGTGTCTGTGAAGTGCCAAACTGTTGTTGTGTCCTTAGGAAAGACACGTCACCAGCATTGTTTGTTTGTGTGTGTGTGTGTGTGTGTGTGTGTGTGTGTGTGTGTGTGTGTGTGTGTGTGTGTGTGTGTGTGTGTGTGTGTGTGTGTGTGTGTGTGTGTGTGTGTGTGTGTGTGTGTGTGTGTGTGTGTGTGTGTGTGCGTGTGTGTGTGTGAGAGCAATGGCACATACTGGTTGCCGTGCCCCAGGGCAGTAGTATTTTATCACCGCTGTGTTTAGAGTGAATGAAGCGTCTTTGAGTGTCCAAAAATAAACTCTATGAAACTATTATTATTTTTACACAGATTTTGAAATTAAAGAAGAACCGGATGATTTCCCCATTGAAGATATCGTCAGGGTGAGAATTGGAGAAAATGGCGACGTCGAGGAAACGGACGAGCCTGTGTTTCGCGTAAATCCTCAAACGAGAGCACAGCGTGAGAGCTCGTCGGATACTGACAGTGTTGAAAACCAGGATAAAGACTTCCCTGAATCAACAGTGCGCCATATTCTCATCAAAACAAACAAACAGATGAAGTTAGTTCGAAGACCACACAGGTTTAAATTAGATCACGGCACAAGGACACGAACGGGAGCGGCGCCGTTATGGTTTCAAGATGGAGGAGAAGGATCGGGGCTGATGCTGTCAAAGTCCTGATGCCCTCTAGAACCCACAACCCGCTACAATGTGACCTCCACCTGACTGAAGTGGTTCTGTTGGGAATGCACTGAAGAATGTTTTAGAGTTCTATGGACAAATATTTAACAACTGAAGCTCATGGATTTGTGAAGAATAAACAGGTTTACAATCTCTCTCTGTTGCACACCAGTTGGAGTAGGGCCCTGAAGAATTTTGAAATAAAGAATTTTGGTTACACTTCAGTACAGAATACAACAGCTATTCAAGTGCAAATTAGTATGACTTTTTGGTTAATTCACGTTTAATGGGTATTTATTAAGCATTTATTAGTGCTTATCCTACATGACCTATTCAACTACTAACTGACGTGTTCCCATGTGGGGTTGGGTTAGTGCACAATAATTAGCACTTAATTAGTTGTTAGTTAGTGAGGGATAATCTAAACTTTCTTAAGTCTTACTGGAATTTTAAATGGCTTCACTTTATCTGGGTCGTTCATGTATCAACAATAGACAAATTGATATGATTTAAATTGAATTCTGAAACTTCCAGAGCTCCCTGACTGCTCCCATTAAAATCAATTGAATTATTTAAATTTCCCAAAAAGAGGGTTTTACAACTTTTGTAGTGATTGGTGGTGATCGAAGGGACCAATGCCAATGGCACTTACTTGTTGACTCACTTCTGTCAGCCCGTCCCAGGGCAGCTTTGGTAACAGTAGTTTATCACTACCTTGAGTGGATAGAATGAATAATGCCACAGTCTATGATAATGTCATGAATAATTGATTCGGTTTTTGCTACACAAAACAGTCTATGCACAAAACCGAATCCAATTCATTATTAAACGATGCTGGTATTCGTAGCACCGTAGTTACAATAGTAACCTTCCTTCATTACTGCAGAATGGTACTTACTGCAGAATGGTACTTACTTACTGCAGAATGGTACTTACTTACTTACTGCAGAATGGTTCTTACTTACTTACTGCAGAATGGTTCTTACTTACTTACTGCAGAATGGTTCTTACTTACTGCAGAATGGTACTTACTTACTGCAGAATGGTACTTACTTACTTACTGCAGAATGGTACTTACTTACTTACTGCAGAATGGTACTTACTTACTGCAGAATGGTACTTACTTACTGCAGAATGGTACTTACTTACTTACTGCAGAATGGTACTTACTTACTGCAGAATGGTACTTACTTACTTACTGCAGAATGGTTCTTACTTACTGCAGAATGGTACTTACTTACTGCAGAATGGTACTTACTTACTGCAGAATGGTACTTACTTACTTACTGCAGAATGGTTCTTACTTACTGCAGAATGGTACTTACTTACTGCAGAATGGTACTTACTTCATTACTGCAGAATGGTTCTTACTTACTGCAGAATGGTTCTTATTTACTGCAGAATGGTTCTTACTTACTTACTGCAGAATGGTTCTTACTTACTTACTGCAGAATGGTTCTTACTTACTTACTGCAGAATGGTACTTACTTATTTACTGCAGAATGGTACTTACTTACTTACTGCAGAATGGTTCTTACTTACTTACTGCAGAATGGTACTTACTTATTTACTGCAGAATGGTACTTACTTACTTACTGCAGAATGGTACTTACTTACGGCAGAATGGTTCTTACTTACTGCAGAATGGTACTTACTTACTGCAGAATGGTACTTACTTACTTACTTACTGCAGAATGGTACTTACTTACTTACTGCAGAATGGTTCTTACTTACTTACTTACTGCAGAATGGTTCTTACTTACTTACTGCAGAATGGTACTTACTTACTGCAGAATGGTACTTACTTACTGCAGAATGGTACTTACTGCAGAATGGTTCTTACTTACTTCATTACTGCAGAATGGTTCTTACTTACTTACTGCAGAATGGTACTTACTTACTGCAGAATGGTACTTACTGCAGAATGGTTCTTACTTACTTCATTACTGCAGAATGGTTCTTACTTACTGCAGAATGGTACTTACTTACTTACTGCAGAATGGTACTTACTTACTTACTTACTTACTGCAGAATGGTACTTACTGACTGCAGAATGGTACTTACTTACTTACTGCAGAATGGTACTTACTGACTGCAGAATGGTACTTACTTACTTACTGCAGAATGGTACTTACTGACTGCAGAATGGTTCTTACTTACTTACTGCAGAATGGTTCTTACTTACTTACTCCAGAATGGTTCTTCTACTTACTTACTGCAGAATGGTACTTACTTACTTACTGCAGAATGGTTCTTACTTACTTACTGCAGAATGGTTCTTACTTACTTACTGCAGAATGGTACTTACTTACTTACTGCAGAATGGTACTTACTTACTTACTGCAGAATGGTTCTTACTTACTTACTGCAGAATGGTTCTTACTTACTTCCAGAATGGTTCTTACTTACTTACTGCAGAATGGTACTTACTTACTTACTGCAGAATGGTACTTACTTACTTACTGCAGAATGTACTTACTTACTTACTGCAGAATGGTACTTTACTCTGCAGAATGGTCTTACTTACTGCAGAATGGTCTTACTTACTTACTGCAGAATGGTCTTACTTACTTACTGCAGAATGGTACTTACTTACTTACTGCAGAATGGTACTTACTTACTTACTGCAGAATGGTACTTACTTACTTACTCCAGAATGGTACTTACTTACTTACTGCAGAATGGTACTTACTTACTTACTGCAGAATGGTTCTTACTTACTTACTGCAGAATGGTACTTACTTACTCAGAATGGTTCTTACTTACTTACTGCAGAATGGTACTTACTTACTTACTGCAGAATGGTACTTTCTTACTTACTGCAGAATGGTTCTTACTTACTCCAGAATGGTACTTACTTACTTACTGCAGAATGGTACTTACTTACTTACTGCAGAATGGTTCTTACTTACTTACTGCAGAATGGTACTTACTTACTTACTGCAGAATGGTACTTTCTTACTTACTGCAGAATGGTTCTTACTTACTGCAGAATGGTACTTACTTACTTACTGCAGAATGGTACTTACTTACTTACTGCAGAATGGTACTTACTTACTTACTGCAGAATGGTACTTACTTACTTACTGCAGAATGGTTCTTACTTACTTACTGCAGAATGGTACTTACTTACTTACTGCAGAATGGTACTTACTTACTTACTGCAGAATGGTACTTACTTACTTACTCCAGAATGGTACTTACTTACTTACTGCAGAATGGTACTTACTTACTTACTGCAGAATGGTTCTTACTTACTTACTGCAGAATGGTACTTACTTACTTCAGAATGGTTCTTACTTACTTACTGCAGAATGGTTCTTACTTACTTACTTCAGAATGGTTCTTACTTACTTACTGCAGAATGGTACTTACTTACTTACTGCAGAATGGTACTTACTTACTTACTGCAGAATGGTACTTACTTACTTACTGCAGAATGGTTCTTACTTACTGCAGAATGGTCCTTACTTACTTACTACAGAATAATACTTACTTACTGCAGAATGGTTCTTACTTACTGCAGAATGGTCCTTACTTACTTACTGCAGAATGGTACTTACTTACTTACTACAGAATGGTACTTACTTACTGCAGAATGGTACTTACTTACTACAGAATGGTACTTACTTACTACAGAATGGTACTTACTTACTGCAGAATGGTACTTACTTACTGCAGAATGGTTCTTACTTACTTACTGCAGAATGGTACTTACTTACTTACTGCAGAATGGTACTTACTTACTGCAGAATGGTTCTTACTTACTGCAGAATGGTTCTTACTTACTGCAGAATGGTACTTACTTATTTACTGCAGAATGGTTCTTACTTACTAACTACAGAATGGTTCTTACTTACTGCAGAATGGTTCTTACTTACTTACTGCAGAATGGTACTTACTTACTTACTGCAGAATGGTTCTTACTTACTGCAGAATGGTTCTTACTTACTTACTGCAGAATGGTTCTTACTTACTTACTCCAGAATGGTTCTTACTTACTTACTGCAGAATGGTACTTACTTACTTACTGCAGAATGGTACTTACTTACTTACTGCAGAATGGTACTTACTTACTTACTGCAGAATGGTACTTACTTACTTACTGCAGAATGGTACTTACTTACTTACTGCAGAATGGTACTTACTTACTTACTGCAGAATGGTACTTACTTACTTACTGCAGAATGGTACTTACTTACTTACTACAGAATGGTACTTACTGCAGAATGGTACTTACTTACTTACTGCAGAATGGTACTTACTGCAGAATGGTACTTACTTACTTACTGCAGAATGGTACTTACTTACTTACTGCAGAATGGTACTTACTTACTGCAGAATGGTTCTTACTTACTGCAGAATGGTACTTACTTACTGCAGAATGGTCCTTACTTACTGCAGAATGGTACTTACTTACTGCAGAATGGTTCTTACTTACTGCAGAATGGTACTTACTTACTGCAGAATGGTTCTTACTTACTTACTGCAGAATGGTTCTTACTTACTTACTGCAGAATGGTACTTACTTACTTACTGCAGAATGGTTCTTACTTACTGCAGAATGGTCCTTACTTACTTACTACAGAATGGTACTTACTTACTGCAGAATGGTCCTTACTTACTTACTGCAGAATGGTACTTACTTACTTACTGCAGAATGGTACTTACTTACTTACTGCAGAATGGTTCTTACTTACTGCAGAATGGTTCTTACTTACTACAGAATGGTACTTACTTACTGCAGAATGGTTCTTACTTACTGCAGAATGGTACTTACTTACTTACTACAGAATGGTACTTACTTACTGCAGAATGGTTCTTACTTACTGCAGAATGGTACTTACTTACTTACTGCAGAATGGTACTTACTTACTTACTGCAGAATGGTACTTACTTACTTACTGCAGAATGGTACTTACTTACTTACTGCAGAATGGTCCTTACTTACTTACTACATAATGGTACTTACTTACTTACTGCAGAATGGTACTTACTTACTGCAGAATGGTACTTACTTACTGCAGAATGGTACTTACTTACTTACTGCAGAATGGTACTTACTTACTTACTGCAGAATGGTACTTACTTACTTACTGCAGAATGGTACTTACTTACTTACTGCAGAATGGTACTTACTTACTGCAGAATGGTACTTACTTACTTACTGCAGAATGGTTCTTACTTACTTACTGCAGAATGGTTCTTACTTACTGCAGAATGGTTCTTACTTACTTACTGCAGAATGGTTCTTACTTACTGCAGAATGGTTCTTACTTACTTACTGCAGAATGGTTCTTACTTACTTACTGCAGAATGGTACTTTCTTACTTACTGCAGAATGGTACTTACTTACTCCAGAATGGTACTTACTTACTTACTGCAGAATGGTACTTTCTTACTTACTGCAGAATGGTACTTTCTTACTTACTGCAGAATGGTACTTTCTTACTTACTGCAGAATGGTACTTTCTTACTTACTGCAGAATGGTTCTTACTTACTGCAGAATGGTTCTTACTTACTTACTGCAGAATGGTTCTTACTTACTTACTGCAGAATGGTACTTTCTTACTTACTGCAGAATGGTTCTTACTTACTTACTGCAGAATGGTACTTTCTTACTGACTTACTTACTTCATTACTGCAGAATGGTACTTACTTACTGACTGCAGAATGGTTCTTACTTACTTTTACTTCATTACTGCAGAATGGTAATTCTTTTCAGGCAGTGTGCAGAACACCCCCGTGCTGCAGCAGGACCCCACACAGAGAAACATGCTAACGAGATGCAAGGATGCTCCGCTCGCCAAGATGAATGTTTTCTGTTTTTACACTTTATATAATTTGACAAACGCTGTTTTTCCATAAAGTGTGTTTGGTGCAGGAGGCCTTCGCTGGAGGATCGAGTGGAGCATGGGTAAGCTAGCCTCACTCTGCAGGCGGTCATCCATGAAAACAGACCCCGACAACAAAGCATCTGCAGCATCCAAATAAAGCCCTCTGCCTGAGGACTGCAGGGAAGATCCCGCGGTCAGTCTGCACCTGTCCCAGGCCACACAGGTGTCTGAGACTTTAGATGTCCGCGGTGACGATGGGACAGAAAGAAAAGGCTAACAGGCTAATGCTAATATTGCATATACAGAGGGTAGGCCATAAACCTCCATTCGCAAAGACAATTTTACTTCACAGTTCAGACAGAATCTATAGCAGTATTTGACATCAGCGTGTGTCTAAAACTGTGGTGTCAGATGTAGGTTTGTTCCTGAGATTTGTAATCATAAAATAAACAGTTTAGAAGTCACTCACTGGAGTTTCATCTATTGATCAAATCGAGTCCCCTCATTAATCTGACAACCCAAATGTGAGGTTCATCCAGCTCTGTTTTGACGATGGGTTCATGTGACATCACAACATTCCTTAGAGCCTTTTGCTTAACATTGTGTTGGAGGACAGCTGAAACATCTTTACTGGTAACTCTCAAATCAGATTTAAAGTGGACATATCGTGTTTTGAAATAATTGATTTTTACATCTAAATCATTAATTTGTGGCCTATATAAAGCGTAACTGCAATGCCTGGGTCTGAGTCTCATTATTTGTAGCTCCACGGGCCTTTCTTCTACACCGTTTTTGAGGTCGGTCTGAGAGCAACCTGTTTTGGTGCTGTCTCTTTAAATGCAAATGAGGCGCTTTTGACCACGCCCCCATCCAGGTGACACAGGTTCAACTCCACCCCGAGCGGCCATTTTTGTAGTTACTAAGCACGGATACAATTATCTCATAGAAACTTCTCATTACATCGCAAACATGAAGCAGGCCTTCCTCATTGACTGAAAGCAAATGTTTCATTCTTAGTCCAGTCTTATTATCGACTCTTTTCTTTTTAGCTTTGGGATCCATGCGCACAGTCTATGATGCTCACACGCCTGTTTGTTTACAACAGCGGCCGCCTGGCACGGGCCTACGTCGCAAGATATGACACACTACGTTGACAGAAATGTTTAAATTGAATATTACTTATGCACAATTTTACAGCATTTAAAAACGTTAAGAAAGTTTTTCCTTCTACAGAAGGAAAGAGACGCATGCGCCTCCGGAGCCGCAGGTTGCCGACTCCTAGTTTATACAGTATGTGGAAGCAAATACTGTAGAGGATCAGGATATGTGCAGTTTCAACAATAAAATAAAATGCAATAGTCTACATTACAAGAGAGTAATAAACATGTCTCAGAGTGAGGGAGGTGGACACAGACAACACTATTGTTTGTTACAGGGATGAGAATTGGTCAAAAAAGACTGAAATGCATATTGTCAGCCATTTGCTGGCTCTAAATCTGTTTAATTTGTTCACAACATATTACTTTTGGGCTCAAACATGAACTTTTAATGCAATGCAAAATGTAGGTATCAGAGCTTTATTTAGGGCGTTTAATCGCGCTTCGAGAGGAGAGGGGAGACGTGGACTGTTTCCTGCAGCAGTGTATTTATTGGGTGCACAGATTACTCAAAGACACGCATGGTCCTGTGCGCGTTTATGGGGTTGGGTACATGGCCACGTTGAGGCTGCGCGCTCAGCCACTACACGGTGGAGCGGCTGCGAGCGGCTGGACGCTCACAGCCTCTCGCAGCCACTGGACGCGGAAGCTGCTCATTACAAAGCGGCCGCAGATGCCCCGGAACACTGCGGCCGCTGAGGTGGCGGAATCCAGTTCGAGTACATACAGCAGGTGCCCCGCTCGAACAATTCTCAACGGATTTACACTTCCATAAACATGTGTTTTGTATGAGGCAGACAGACCGGCCCAAATATGGGCATCGGCCCTTTGGGCATTGCCCGGTACGCCCGATGGCCAGTCCAGCCCTGTTCGCTGGCATCCTTGAGCTTGGACTACAAATTCGAAGTGATGCACAGTAGAGGAGGGCTGGGCCGAAGTGTTTTGTTAGACGCCCATGCCCTTATATAGCAGTCTCGCTGCAAATACTGTGACGTAATAATTCTAAACACGTAATAGAGAATGGCAAAATCAGAACGGGTTGAAAAATCTTACCTAAACAGAATATGAAGTGTTCTCTGTAACCCATGAAGAGACTGATTTCAACTTTTTCGCACTTCTAGAGGCTCCAACTACACAACATAAGGCATTTAAGGCACAAAAAGTGGATTTTTCATGATATGTCCCCTTTAATTCCTCTGTTTCCTGGGCCAATCTGCATGAAACAAAAACTGTCACAAAGTTCTGTATCTTTTATGTCAGCATATCAACTATGGTCGATTTTAATTTTATTATTTCAAAGTTTAGAGTTGTGCTTAATATTCATTTCTTGTCTTGTGGGACCCTCACTCCTACTGTTCTGTATCCTTAATTATTTTCTCATAAAGGTGTCTAGAAGTTGTGACAATATTCATAATCATATGCATGATGCTGGCCAGTAGAAAGGCTTTTCAGACTAAATAATATTATGTTGGCCTTGTGAAACTAATCACTCAAATAATCTGGGAAAATAATTGTTTTCTACATCTACATCTGCATCAAAAATGTCTTACATAGTTTTGTTGGGCCTGCCCTCAAACTGAAATGGAATTCTAGAACATGAACTCAACCAACCTTGAACGTCAACATCTCTGGTATGTTCTAGGGATGTCCCAATAGCATACCAGAGTGAACCAGTTTTTAACCCTGTGCTACCCTCGGGTTACATTGACCCGCTGCAGTGATTCTAAAATACCCTGAATTTTGATGACTTGTCATAACTTGACCAGCCCTGGATCATTTAGACCCTTAAGATCAGGGGTCTCCAACCTGTGGCTCGGGAGCTACCAGTAGCTTGCCAGCCCCTTTCAGGAAGCTCGCCAAAGCATTTAGAATTTAACAAATGATCTTGAATGAATATATTTTGAGTAATTAGTTATTATAATACATATTATAAGTATCAATATAGGGTTATGCAGTATTATGTTATATTTTCCATATGTTCTCCATGTTTTGTTGTTGTTTTTAGATAGATTTTTATTAAAACTGCAAAAAGGAGTAGCTCTCCGATTGAAAAAAGTTGGAGAACCCGGCTTTAGACCCGATATTTAGGGTCAGGTCATTTTGATCCAAGGGTAGCACAAAGATCACAAAATGCATAAACCACTGTCATGCAGATGTGTCAATCTCTATCCAATGCACGACTACGTTTCATTTAGTTTCAGAATACTGGGAGTCCTAGTGTCAAACGAAACTGCATTGAAACAGTGGTGATTTCAAACTACTGCTGCACATAATGCTAATGTTGTACTTTGTCTTTTACAGATTTCATCATAATAGATGAAAACCCAGAAGACGATGTCCTCATTAGAGACGAACCAGTATTCAATAAACCAGAAGAATTTGCCAAACCGGAAGAAGAGGATTATCCGTATACTATAATCGCTGTGACAATTGGAGACAACGGAAATGTTGAAGAAACAGATGACTCGGCTTTCAGCTTGGAGACTCAGAGACTGGCTCCAAATCATGAGCAGGAATCAACCCAAGAGAATGATTCTTCTGAAACGGACAATTCAGAAGACTGGAACGACTTCTCCGAGTCCTTGGAGCCTTCTGCAAAGAGAGCTCCAAATAAGTTCAGTAAAACCATCAGGAAAGGGGATTCGCACCCATGCCCTTATTGCGAGAAGGAATTTGAGAGGAAATATAACTTGGAGAATCACATAAGGATACACACAGGAGAGAAACCCTTTGGTTGCTCAATTTGTAAAACAAGATTTTCATCCAAAACCGGTCTCAATACACACAAAAAGAAACGGCATTCGCATGTAAAAAGTCCAATGTGGAAAAATGCGGATTCGGACGCTGAAGACTATGCAGACGAGTTTGATTCGGACTGTTCTTTCAGTTGCTCAGTTTGCGAAAAAACTTTTAAATCCAAAACTGTTCTAAGGAGACACATGAAGAGTCATCCCACATTTTTAAACAGCCAAATAAGCGAGACATCGATTACAAAACCAGATGCACATAAGAGTTCCATAGAAGCAAATTTGCGGTGTTCGTGCTGTGACAAGGCATTTTCATCCAGCAGATCGCTCAAAATACATGAAAGTCGAAGGGCAAGGAACATGCGAGAAAAACCGTATTCATGTGACCAGTGTGGGGTGAGAACTCGGGACAAAGCGTGGATGTCTCGGCACATACTGTCGCACAGCCGAGCCAGACCGCACGGCTGCAGCTTCTGTAAGAAAAGGTTCATCACGAAAGACGCTTTGAGATCGCACTTGAACTGCCACACTCAAGAACGACCTTACAGCTGTTCAGTCTGTGAGAAAACCTTCAAACACCGCGGCAATTTGTACATGCACAAGAAAAAGCACGGCCACGGGCACGGTTCAGGGATGCGTGTGAGCTGCTCCCTCTGTTATGAAAGCTTCGACAATGACACCGCTTTGAGACTGCATTTGGTGATGCACAAGCATTCACCCAAAAGTTCAGCCCCGGTGGTCAGTTGTCCAATTTGTCATAAAAGATTTAAAGAGTATAATCTACCTCTACACATGCCCATCCACACGACAGAAAGCATTTATTCAGTGATGGATCCGCTGGAGGTAACGCCGATACCAGAGGAGATTCCAGAAATAAAACCCGCGCAGAATGAAACGCCAAAACCCTTGATAAAACGAGAATGTCCGATTTGTCACAAAGCGGTTTGCAATGTCTCTCGCCACATGCTCACGCACAACGGAGGCGACCACGCTCTGCCCGACAAACCCTTCGGCTGTAAAGACTGCGGAGCGAAATTCTGGAAAAGCTCGAGTTTGGCGTACCACTTGCGAACTCATAATGTCAAACGACCCTTTCGCTGCGCAATTTGTAAAAGAGGATTCAATTCCAAACACACGTACGAGGTTCACTTTAAAAAGAAGTGCGCCGTCCCGGAATTTAAAAACGAAGGCTCCAACGCTTTCAGTTGTAGAGATTGCGGCGCGAGATTTTCCAAAAGTATAAGTTTGTCTTATCACATGAGAACTCACAAAGTCAAACGGGCGTTTCGCTGTGCTGTCTGTCTCAGAGGATTTGACGCTAAACATAAATACGACAGACATTTTCGAACGCACTTTAACAAACCCGTTGGCGTTCCCACTGATCCATCAAAACCCTTAAAATGTCCAGAATGCGGACTAGAATTTTCCAGAAGCCTCAGCTTGCAGTACCACATAAGAACTCACAAAGTCAAGAGGGCATTCCGCTGTGCAATATGTAAGCGAGGATTCGATACTAAGGAGAGATATGACGGGCATTTTAGACGAAACTGTATCAAGCTAACTGAAGATCAACCTGAACGAATAAACGGAGCAGACACGCAACCAGAGGAACCCGATTCTCAAGAAAGATTAGGCGAAACATCCACTTTGGAACCAGAAACACAGACTACTTTCAGCTGTTCTCTCTGTCCGAGGCAACTTCCGACCAAACTTCTTTTACGATCCCATCTGTATCACCACAAGACAAAAGACCTCAAAAAGTTTGCGTGCAAAGAGTGCGGCCTGCGGTTTCGCGATGAGGAGTGGCTGGTGCGTCACATGGAGATCCACGACTCGGCGCGACCGTTCCACTGCGAGATCTGCGACAAACGGTTCTCCCAGCAGTTCGCTTACGACTCCCACAAGAGGATCCACACCGACGAGAGGCCGTACCCCTGCACCGTCTGCAACCACTCCTTCAAACACCGCAGCAATCTGAGGTTCCACATGAGGACGCACACGGGCGAGAAACCCTTCAGCTGTCCCATCTGCTTCCAGGGCTTCACCAGGAACTCCAGCGTGCGAAGACACGTCGAAGGGCATAAAGGCTACAACCGAGGCCCGCTCGAGGGCGCCACGCAACCCTTCATCTGTTCTATTTGCGGGTTCGGGTTCAACACTAAGCTCAACTTGCTCTATCACAAGCGGAGCCACAAGACCAGAAGACCTCTGCGCTGCGTGGTGTGTAAAGCCAAACACTACTCGATGCAGGAGCTGAACGACCACATGAGGATGCACTCGTGTGTGGTGAAGCTGATGCGGATGGAGGAGCCGCTGGACCACAGTGACTTGTCAACCCAAGAAAGTCCGGTTGAATCAGTCGCGAAGCATTTGGATGCCGATTTGGAATAATTGCATGGAGATGTAGTTGTACATTTGATAGAAACTGACACATTTGCATGACAGTGGTTCATGTATCTTGAATTTTAAAGGTGCAATGCTTATATTTTCACATAGACTGAAGGTCCCTTGTTTTTTCACTATGTATCTTTTTAACCATTGTGCTATCCTCGGGTCAAATTCACCCTCCAGTGATTTAAAAATGCCCTGAATTTTGATGATTTTTCCTAGCGTGACCAGCCCTGGGTCATTTAGATTCTTTTAGACCCTAATTTAGGATATTCACATTACAAAAGTCATGAGAGAATTCACACCGGAGAAAATCCATTTACAGGTGACTTAGAACTGCAGCAGAGCGCAAAGTTACAGATTATTTTTATACCCTAATTTTGGGTCTAAAAGGGTCTTACCACTACTTTCAATCATTGTGGCGGGTCATTTTAACCCAAGGGCAGCACAGGAGTTAAAAAACTGGTTAACTTTAACCGGTCACTGTTAATCACAAAGGTTACAGTCCTTATTACTGGAACATGAGAGTCAAACCGGTCCTCAAAGAGCCAGTGTGGCTGCGGGTTTTCATTCCACACTAGACTCAACCCACTTCCTCAGAGTCCAGCCTTAACCTGGAGCCTTGAGGATAAGAGTGTAGTCTAGTGCGTTCCTGCTTGGTTGGAATGAAAACCTGCAGCCACGGTTTGACACTCTCGTACCACAATCACTACAAGAAGAAAACCAGCGATGTCCCAAAAAGAGATAAAACCTGCGCAAAAGCAAAGTCAGTAAATCGATTGTATTTGGAACATTTGTCCTTGTTAACTTTATTGTGTTGTATGTACATATGTGACATGTTTATTTGATTGTGTGTTACAGTCATCAAAATATATTGCACTTTAACAGGGGCAATATTGTATAATAATGCAATAGCCACGTACAATAATCACAATTGAATTAAGTTGGCTGAGGATTTAACTGTCTTTTATTGAGAAGAACAATGTAATATATATGTGACGTGTAATAAAATACTTTTTTGTACAGATTTGTTTGAATTTAATGTAATGAAAGCCCCGTTTCCACCAGCCCTACTCAGCTCCAACTCTAACCATGTCCACCGGCTCTGTTTTTCCAGTATCAAGTACAATTTCAGTGTTTAGTGTTAAGTTTTTCAAGTGTTCCAACTGATGATTATTGGACAGAGTTCTACTGGAAGCCAAGGTTACCAAGGAATTTCCACGGATACTGGTTTGTTGTGGGTAGGTCGCTACTAAAGTGTAATATAAATACACCCAGGTGGAGTAGAATAGAGCCACGGTGGACCGGTGGAAACAGGGCTTAGTTTGGTTCTTCATTCAATTATAAAACCTTGAAACTAAAGAATGAAAATCACAGAAAATATTTTACAGTTCAACAGTTTTCTTTCTTCAGTAAAATTTCTGCTCTCGATTCTAGCTGTGAACGCTCCATGTCCCGCCCCCAAGAAAGTGACAGGGTGTAAGAATCAAATGTTGCGAGAAAACACCCCCATATATAGTTTATACCATACTGTAGATATAGAAGTCTTTTATTAACCCAGGTGCTAAACTCGGGGTTCAAAGTTTGATTCTATGGGGCGAGAGGATAGTTCAGTTTGATCCAGTGTTAAAATCAATATCCGTTACTTTACAAATTGTGAAAAGGGGGTGTAACATTTTGAGGTGGTCCTGATTGGTCAAAACATAATTCAAATGATCTAGGCCCCTAGATATGCCAAAGAGAAGACGTTTTTAAAATATTTTTATTGTTGGAAAATACTGCACACAATAGCTCGTGTCCCATGGTCAGAAACATACATTCTTTTAAAGATGAAACACAATTTTAGTTTCTGACCATCACCTTTAGGGATTAATGCCTTGATAAATATTGGTTTTATTTCAAAGCCGTTTTTACAACAGTTTATTAAGCTATGTAAAAAAAATAGGCTGTGGTTAAATACCTAAAAACCATCCATGTGCCCAGTATTAATCAAGTATGTTTATCAGACTATAGACAGAATACTTTCAATAATTTAGCATCTAAAACATGTATTCACAGAAAGTGAAAGTTCTGACACAATCACTGAGGTGTAACAATCGTAGATACACAAGTCAAATATTGACAATGTCCCCGAGAACAGGCAGTGTGACTTAAAACAAAACACTTTTCAACTTCTGTCTGGAGGAAGGTACTGTGAACACCTGCCCTAATGGAGACTCTATCACTTGGTCTGAAAAACATTTATTTACACCTTTTGTTCATCACGTGTTTAAATATGTTCTTAATGTAAATTTGCCTCCGTCAGAGTTACTCAGTGTACCTTTGATCATAACGAACCATATCTGTCATGATTCCTCTTGCATGGCTCCCTCTGTTTCTTGTATAGAGTCCATTTCTTTGTTTACTTCCTGGTTGTGAATGGTTTTCTTCTGCTGAGCTGGAGACGGTTCAACAACACTGTCCTCTTCCATTCTACTCTCCACATGTCGTTCATCAAGTACAATCTGATCTCCATCTAATCCAGCTTCATCCACGCCTTCCACCTCCATATCTCTGGCTGCTTCTGTTTCTAAGTCTTGTCCCGTGACGTTGATGGGGTTTGTGGGAGCATTGTCCAACCTGTGGCCCCCGGTCTCGTCTGGGACACGTCCTGGGCACGTGGGGGTCCTCGGTGTGGGCGTGGTTTTGGCTTGGCGGATACAGTTCATCCATTGTTGTTTGTTAAAAGTGTCACTGGCCTGGAAACAGTGGCTCTGTCCTCCCACTTTACACAAGACTCTGAAGAAGTTCTTGGCTGAAAAAGAGAATTTATTTAGTTAGTCCAACAAAACAAACATTAGGTTGTGTTCAAGTGCCACAAAACATTGTAGAATCTTTATTTAAAATGGAGCAGGAATTATTCTGTTTATGTGTTTTGGATTCCAATCTCTCTAATTAAAGGCACAGTTTGTAATGAAGGTACTGTACGCACTCTTAGTGGTCTACTATTCCGGCAACAAAAGATGTAATGTAACTAATGACTTTATAATTACTGTAGGAGCCATTGCCTATTGGTTCGTGGGTATGGTTTCTATGGCAACGTGTGGGTGTCGCTTCCTGCTCAGTGACAGGTAGAGGGGAGGAGCCGGGTAGCAGTATTTTTTCGTTGACCGCACACTTTTGTACCATACTCTTTTGTTTCCTGTTACTCATAGGCCTGTATCGTATGCACTGTAAGAATCATGAATCGTTGCTATTAATTAAATCCACAAAACGCATAACGTGCCTCCAGCGTGTTCTTTACAATCGGCTGCACGTCATCCATTATACTGGACCCGCACTCTTCTCTCCAGAAGCGACATAGGTTTGGGTCGCTACAATTACAGCTACATTCCATCTTTTGTCGTCAGAAAATGTGCATGTACGTTGTAGCCCGCTCGTTTGTCAGGCAGCGGCTGCGTTTTGGCGGCGTGGCGGAGGCGCTGGGTACGACGGCTCGATGCATGCAGCAAAATCATAGACTGTAAATATTTACGGAGGGAGTGACGCCTTCTTCGCCGTTTAAACTTATGTGTCGTCCCTTTTCCCTCCTGCAGACTTTTTTTCAAAATGGCTGCGAGTGGCAATGCGAGCATGAAAATATGAAAAAAGTAGTAGTAGTAATCTTTATTTATATACCGCCTTTTCACTGCACATCGGAGTCTCAAAGCGGTTTACAATTGTTGTTTTTTGGGAGTGGGGGCCGCCAGTACAGGAGGCACATGTCAGACCTATTGTACATATTTTTAGTGGTAGGGGAAACCGGAGCACCCGGAGGAAACCTACGCAGACACAGGGAGAACATGCAAACTCCACTCAGAAAGGCCCTGGTCCAACCGGGATTTGAACCCAGGACCTTCTTGCTGAGAGGCGAGAGTGCTATCCACTCAGCCACCGTGCCGCCCACAAAGGCATTTGCGCATGCGTCAGACGGCCCAAGCCTGGACACATGCCATTCATTTCATTTGACTTTTCAGTGCATTCAAAAGTCCACAGCCGCTAAACTAGGCTGGACCCAAAAAAAATACTACCCTTAGCATTGATAGCACCTGGAATGTAGCAATGAACCGAGAGGAACTTTTGGACCATCCTGTAAAGCCTTTTCTGAGAGAAAAAAGGCAGCATAAGAATTCATTGGATAATTCTGTTTCCTGGTACACCCCCACTGGTAAGGAGCCGGGACCCGCCCACACTGAGCAAAATGAAGTTGATCAACTCAAGTTTTTAGCGTGACTCAGGTGCGACAACCAATCAGAGAGCAGCAAAACGGTCATGGGGACACAAGCCGCTCAGAGTTCACATTCTATCGTTAAGTTCTGATCCCGAAGATAATAACGGACCGGTTATTTCTAGTGGTAATGATAGGACTCATCCACAGAGGCTGAATTTGAATAAACGTACGTCTAAAACAAATAAAAAGCAGCGGCGGTGGGAGCGCAGCTATGGAGTTGCAAAGGCCCCTCCCACATCATATTAAAGCGGCTAAGCTAGCATTAGCACGTGCACTTCAGTACTGACTTCTCTCGTTGTTGCTGAACGCTCCTCGGATGGACCCGCCCACTCTCATCTCCCCGTCCGATAGGTCCTCCAGCTCCAGGTGCTCGAGGGGGATTGGCTGACGGCAAAGCTGGTACCTGATTGGCTGTTCCGAGCTGGTGACGGAGCGAGTGATGAGCAGCACGTCCTGGAAGAGGAAAACGTGCAGCTTCTACGATAGAGAAACGAGAAGAGAAAGAGCTTAAATATCCATGGTTTCAGAAGCCACAGTTGTTAATTTTTCAATACAAAATCTCGTATCTTTTGAATGGAAAAAATCTCTCAGATAGTTGCATGAAACAGAAATGCTCTAAATCAAAATAAGGTTTTTAATGCGTTTTAATCATTTTTATAGTTGTAAATATCGTTGTGGGCTGGTTAATATACCACAATCTTTGCAGTAGTAATAGTCTCTAAAATATACCATATACAATACAAATACAGAAGTGTCAAACTCATGGTGGTCGGGGCCGAAAGAATAGAAGGGATATGCTTTTGCTTATAATTGTTTTTTTTCATTATGCATATATATTATTATAATTTAACATGGGTTTCACTATTATTTTCTGGTTTAATTTTTCTAAAAATCAATCAAACTGGACTAACTTTATCAATCACAATTCTGATGATAAGTTGGTCTTGGCAGGAGCCTGAGTGTGACCCGCCCGCTGTAGGCTGTGTTGCTGCTGTAGAGTTCTGGTTCAGTTTGAGGACTGGGGCCAATACAAATCTATGGGAAAGAAGCCATTTTGGATAGAAACGTTAAATGTTTCCCCAGATTTTTATTTTCTTTAGTATTCTCATGTCTGAAAGTCTTTTCTACTATCAACATCATGCATATGTTTTTGAATATTGTCACCATTGTTTTCATGTAGGGACAAAGAAGATGTGAAACTCTTCTGTTTTTGCCCTGCCCTCCACCACAATAAACTTCAGGCTCTTAGGAAAGTTGTGATGTCACTTAAAGACCTTATGCAGGGTTTAAAAAAAAAAATTGTGGATATCAAAATTGCATGACAGTTAATCAATTATTGTCAATCTGAAATAGATTCCAGCAAAAAAAATCCTATATTTTATAAAAAGAATGTATTTTTAATTAATTTAAGTTGTCTAACCTGTGTGTGACGTCATAGCGGGTAACGCCCACACATTGAAAGCCATGGATCTATGCCACAGATACTCTTCTCTCCACTGATGTCCGACACAATACTGCCCTCTACAGGTGTCGACAGCTCATTACACATATATTTCCGTTTGAGAGTGAAAATGTAAACCAATTAGGGCTGTCAAACGATTAATTTTTTTTAGTTGATTAATCGCACAGTAATGATGAGTTAACTCACGATTAATCGCATTTTTAACATTCTATTTCAAATCCACTCCAATTGAAGTTAAATGAGATTTTCAAATATAATGACACATTGTTATTCATACCAAATGTACTTAAATCTGTTTGACTTGCTCACAACCTTCTACTTTTGGGTACAACCAACAAGAGCTGTTAATGAAAGGGAAAATGTAGGTACCCCAGCTTTAATTTTGCGAGTTTGGTTGCATTTCAGCGTGTCTCCTCCTCTCCTCCGTGTGTCACACAACATCAGAGAATGGCCCTGTGCGTGTATATATATGCGTGTATTATATGACCACGTTACCGCTGTCACCATCACACACGCACGTGTCCGCGGCATTCTGAGTGATATTATTATAAATGGGCGGGTCATTCTGAGTGATATTATTATAAATGGGCGGGTCATTCTGAGTGATATTATTATAAATGGGCGGGTCATTCTGAGTGATATTATTATAAATGGGCGGGTCATTCTGAGTGATATTATTATAAATGGGCGGGTCATTCGGACATGCGATTGACTGCCAGCCTATTTCAGAACAGGTACTCCCATATTGCCAGCCGTTTCTGATGATTTTTACTGAATTTTCAAGACTCACAAAATATTGTGTACTATGACTATCTAAAATCCAAAACCAGATTCTGAAAGAATGGACTGTCTACTTTCATCAGCAAAAATAATTTTGTTTCTAGTTTCTCTTGTTTCGTTCCCCTGTAATCCCCAGTCGAGTAGAGGTAAGTTTTATTGAAATCACCAGAAAGCTGAGAAAAAAGAGGCACTTGTGCATCTAGCTCAGGGGTGTCATTCATACGGCCCGCGGGCCGGAACCGGCCCGCCAAGAGATTTGACACGGCCCGCGGCTCATTTATGTAAAAATATAATAATAATACATTTTGAAAAGCCGCTCCGCGACGCGAGGCTCCGCGACGCGAGGCTCCGCGACGCGACGCCGCAGCGCCGCGCTCAGGGGTGAGTCCAGTGAGTCTGTAGTGGCTCCACCAGAGCGGTGCTGGAGGAATAACTTATCTTAAACTACAAGACTCGGCGAAAAATACGGCACTTTGAGCGGAGAATTGAGAAAAAAAGAAGATAAACCTGTCTGGCCCTGAAGACACAGCAGTCTGTTTGTGCCCAGAGCGAGAGGTTAGTTCTGCTGCTGTAAAGGGAAGCTACCTGTGCTAACAACATTAGCATTAGCATCGCAGCCGCACAGTGAGAGAGAGTTTGTTAAAACTCTCACAGGCTGCAGACATGGTCTGAGAAACCACTCGCTTTTACCAACATGTTGCCATTGATAAGAGACTGATGTTACTGATGTCACATATTAATTTGTGGTGTTACTGAAACTATCAGAGGAGTTTTGAGCGCTGCTGCTGGTGCTGCTGCTGGTTCTGCTGTTGTTGCTGGTGTGTTGGACAGTGTGGACTGGTACCGATGGTAAAAACAGGTGTAGTGACAAAGCTGCAAATGGAGGTGATGATTTTTGGACATTTGACTGTATTTTACACAGAGACACTGCTGCAGTCGTTATGGATCACGTTATGGAAGTTGTTTTATTCATTTCAAATGAATCATGGTCAGTTTGATGCTTTCTCTGTGATAATAACATAACCATGGACCTTACCACACTGAAGATGGTTAATGTGATAATAACATAACCATGGACCTTACCACACTGAAGATGGTTAATGTGATAATAACATAACCATGGACCTTACCACACTGAAGATGGTTAATGTGATAATAACATAACCATGGACCTGACCACACTGAAGATGGTTAATGTGATAATAACATAACCATGGACCGTACCACACTGAAGATGGTTAATGTGATAATAACATAACCATGGACCGTACCACACTGAAGATGGTTAATGTGATAATAACATAACCATGGACCTGACCACACTGAAGAAGGTTAATGTGATAATAACATAACCATGGACCTTACCACACTGAAGAAGGTTAATGTGATAATAACATAACCATGGACCTTACACACTGAAGATGGTTAATGTGATAATAACATAACCATGGACCTTACCACACTGAAGATGGTTAATGTGATAATAACATAACCATGGACCGTACCACACTGAAGATGGTTAATGTGATAATAACATAACCATGGACCTGACCACACTGAAGATGGTTAATGTGATAATAACATAACCATGGACCTGACCACACTGAAGAAGGTTAATGTGATAATAACATAACCATGGACCTTACCACACTGAAGAAGGTTAATGTGATAATAACATAACCATGGACCTTACACACTGAAGATGGTTAATGTGATAATAACATAACCATGGACCTTACCACACTGAAGATGGTTAATGTGATAATAACATAACCATGGACCTGACCACACTGAAGATGGTTAATGTGATAATAACATAACCATGGACCTTACCACACTGAAGATGGTTAATGTGATAATAACATAACCATGGACCTGACCACACTGAAGATGGTTAATGTGATAATAACATAACCATGGACCTGACCACACTGAAGAAGGTTAATGTGATAATAACATAACCATGGACCTGACCACACTGAAGATGGTTAATGTGATAATAACATAACCATGGACCTGACCACACTGAAGATGGTTAATGTGATAATAACATAACCATGGACCTGACCACACTGAAGAAGGTTAATGTGATAATAACATAACCATGGACCTTACCACACTGAAGATGGTTAAGCTGATAATAACATAACCATGGACCTGACCACACTGAAGAAGGTTAATGTGATAATAACATAACCATGGACCTGACCACACTGAAGATGGTTAATGTGATAATAACATAACCATGGACCTTACCACACTGAAGATGGTTAATGTGACAATAACATAACCATGGACCTGACCACACTGAAGAAGGTTAATGTGATAATAACATAACCATGGACCTGACCACACTGAAGATGGTTAAGCTGAGGTGCTGTGTTAAAGTGCTTTTTTCTATCTACCTACTTTACCTTTGTGTTTTCTCTGTAATGAGCCTTAAAACAAAGCTAACATACAGATATTAATATACATATTGTGAAATACCATTTTCAATGTAATACTGTAAATACATTACATTATTTGCACTATGGAAAACTCACTGTTACATTTAAGTTTGTAACAGAAAACTGAGTATTAAAGGACAGTGTTTTAAAGGAAGTTTTAAATAAATGTGTTTATGTGCTCAAAAAGTTGGACTTTGTACCGTTTTTGGATATTTTTGTAGAGCATCTCCTGGTCCGGCCCACTTGAGATCAGATTAGGTTGTATGTGGCCCCCGGACCAAAATGAGTTTGACACCCCTGATCTAGCTGTTTTCAAACCATTCATAGAGCAATGCTGCCATCTGCTGGCTCGATAGAATATTGCCTCAAGCCTTACATATTTGATACAATAGACATTTGGGAACGCAATGGCAGTTAATGCGTTAATTATTTTTTTAACGCGTTAATGAAAACGGTAATTAACGTGAATTAACGCGATAATTTTGACAGCCCTAAAACAAATACCAAATTGTAAACAACTTACAGCGTTGAAACGTACCCACTCTGACGTCACCAAGGGCTGTGAATTTTTTTCGTCTCTAAGGGCGTTGCTATGGGGTTATTTCGATTTCGGGGGATCAGACAAAAAAAAAAAAAGATTTTGAAACCTTTAGTAGTTCTCTTCTAATATAAAATGGTACTAAAACTGTATTTCTAAATCAATCAAACCCTGCATAAGGTCTTTATATGCAACCTATTGATAAACTTATTTGTCTTAGATAAATATTGAATGTATCGTTTACAATCCAATATTTTCAAAGATGAGGATGGATGGGGGACCTCTGTCTGTTAGAATGACGTTTTTTTGGCTTGGCTCTGCATTTGGGACCCAAGGCAAAAAAGAAAAATCATGCAGAACCCGCCTGCAGATGGCGCCATTGGTGACAGAACGTGCTTTAGGTAGACCGTGAACTCACCACTCCCCGGTGGTTCTTCAGCTCTCCGTGGCAGCTCAGCGTTCGGGAGCGGTCGATCAACTCGTGTCTTTGTCCTTCCTCAGAATAAACCAGTCTCTCTTTGTAAAACTCGCACTCCGACTCTCCCGTCTGCCGGTTTATGTCTGCCACCACGCTCTGCACCATCGCCATCTGCAGGACAAACGTGGAATTACAACCACGGCCACACACCAACAGCCGCAGTGCACGTGATGGTGGCAAGTTTATTTTAAAGCTGGGGTACTTAACTACTTAACGATTACATTAATTGAGTTTTACGGTTTTACTTCTTACATGTATGTGTATGTATTTAAAGCTGGGTTTTTTTGTAAATATTTTTTTTTTTATCTTTCGTGCCTGTGAAGCACTTTGGACAGCTGGTGTTGCTGTAAATGTGCTATACAAATAAAGCTGACATTGACATTTATTTTTCAGTAATAATATATTTTTTTAAAGATTTTTTTTATGATAACCTTGTACTTTTATCCTGTTAAACATATTTTCATATTTGTAAGACCGAGCCACAGGTGAAACACTTTAGTGCGGGGAAGACACAGGGGAACAGGACAGGAAGTAGAATAAAAAGTATAAAATAACTATATTAACCAACGGCTCTGTGTGTTTTTTATCATTGCATTGAACGGTTTGATTCTCTGATCTGTGTTGGAAAATGCAACGGTTTGTAAAGTCCTCAAATATCTTCATTTTTTGCCAGGTTCATGCAAATATCTACGTGTCTCATCTTCACACTGGCCTGGACTCACCGCCTCCTCCAGTCCTTGCCGGTCCGGGTGCTCGTTGTCGGTGTGGCGCAGGATCTCTCTCAGCAGCAGGGGGTATTTGACGAGCCGGCTCCGTGGGATGTCCAGAAAGCTCCACAGCTCCAGTTTCCTGCTGAAGGGAGAGAGCAGGCAGCGCTGGAGGAAATCCTGCACCCTGCACTCCTGCTTCTTCTGGTCCAGCAGTGCTTTGGCCTTCACCTGGTTACTGCAGTACGGGGTGTATTCAGACAGACACGGCACCTGTGCACAAGAGAAAGCATCATTTCAACCTGTATCTACTTCCTGTTTCAATCTGAAGAGACTCGGACAGACAAAACAGGCGGTTGGTCACGGTCAACACTAGCCTGGTCGTACCACACCATAGTACAAATTACATTTCGTACTAAGGTCTGGATTTGCTCCATTGAGCTCTGTTAACAGGGGGGAGGGTTAACTCCTTTTGCAGATTGAAACGATTGGATTTTAGTTTACTGTGACATATGTAATGAGCCCGAGTGAGTCGTTAGCATTTAGCCTAGCTTTAGCCATCTCCTTTGCCGCTAACGGAGCCCGTGAGGAGTAGCGCCATAATTTTTGCCAGCGATTACATTTGCGAAACATTCCTCTTGCTCCGGCTTCAATTTCTTGATAGAACCAGAACAGATTACTTTACTATCACATTCTTCGCCAAACTACAATCTGCCCGCGCAAACTCTTGACGTCACCAGCCTTCTAAGTTTTTTAATTCTTGAGTGCGCAGCTAATGAGCTTTAACTCATTGGCTCATTAAGTGCGGCAGACATCATTATAGTGAAAAAGACGTTTTTTAAGATAAATATTTAGGGTGGTGACTTTAGGCGTTCAAGTGAAAGGGTTAAAGAAGCAGTGTATGTAACATTCTGGCCAAGAGTGGTACTGCAGCCTCTCCCACTCTCCCTGACTCAGGTTGCCAGATATGCAAACGAATCCAGCTGGGACCATAACAGCTGAATAGACAAGAGTTTTGTCAGCAACAAATCTATAACCAACACCTTTTTCACAAAGATAGAAATCCTGGTTTTATTCCTTGTTTTGTCGTTAATGATTTGAGAATCATAACGAGACCTTTTTTAGTTCTGCGCCACATGGTACTTTACCAGTGAGATCAGCTCCACGCGGTGAGTTCTGGCAACCCCATCCATCCATCCATCCCTATCTATCTCTCTACCTAGACTCAAAAAACGCACTCAGGCCTCAGTTTGTTTGCGTTATGATAATATATTGGAACAACCATAAACTAAATAGATGTGTTCATTGTAAATTAAAATCTTTTTGTTTTCCAAATCCCTCTTTGAGGTGAGAAATTCCTATTTCATGTTCAAAATTAATAAAAAATTTTTTTAACAGCATTCAAAAAATGTATTCCTGCAAACCTAATTGATTTACATGAAATTGGGATTTAATTTGCCTAAAGAAACTGTAAACCTTTGGTAACAGCCAAATATATTGTTTACATCTAACTATCTTTTTTCTCATAGATTCTCAAACAAAACATATTGAAATAGATTGAAAAACAAACATAAATAGTTTTATCTAAACCTTAAAGTATGTGAACCTAAACGTATTGCATACTTGATTACTTTATTATAGTTAGTTTTGGGCCTGTGCTGCCTCATATAAGCCTCATATAATCCTCATATTAGCCTCATATAATCCTCATATAATCCTCATATTAGCCTCATATAATCCTCATATTGCCTCATATAATCCTCATATTAGCCTCATATAAGCCTCATATTAGCCTCATATTAGCCTCATATAAACCTCATATTAGCCTCATATAATCCTCATATAATCCTCATATAAGCCTCATATAAACCTGTTTTTTGTTTGCGACTCTAGACAGATTTGTTTTTCGTTTTTTGGCTATTCTGGCTCTTTGAAGCTTTTGAGTTGCCGACCCCTGGTCTAGCTCTAAAAGTACAAAAGTTTCCTTCAGACTTTTGGCGTGATGGTTGCTGATCATGAAGAGGCGTTTACACGTGTACAAGACAGACTCCAAACAAGTGACAGTGACAGTGTGAGGATCTACAGAGACACTCTTCAGTCCCTCTCACACAGAACTGAGGAACCCTACATTAACTCTACAATAGTTCATTGGACTAGGTGCCCCTCTACAATTGTTAAAAATAACAATTAAAGAGGGGCACCTAGTTAGTTAAATTGAATTAAACTAGTTAAATCCAATTTAATTTAGGTACATTAAATTGTATTTAGTTAAATCTAAATGTAACTAAATTAAATGAACATGTAGAGTTCTGTATCCAAGCTCATGCTGCACACCAGACTGACCAAGAAAACAAAGTGATATGTTTTGTTTCCAGACCAACCAGCCCTATAGTCCTGTACTCCTGCACACATACTGACGACCCACGGGTTCTAACTCATTCCAGTCTGAACCTGAAGACAGGTCCAAATGAAAAGCTGCCGGTTCCTGATCAATGTGGTGTGAAGATGCAGTGCTGTTATCTCATGAGGCCATACAAGTTCTGGTACATGCATTGAAGAGTGGGTTGGGGTTGTTCAATGGGAGTGGCTAGTTTAGATAGTTGGTTATATTTACTTCTGCTTCCGTCCCGATTCTGTAACTGACCTAATGTTGACCTGTTGATCACTCACCCACTGTGTGAGGATGTGTCCCACGTGTTCAGTGCATCCGTCTGATTTCCTCTCATCCCTGAGTCGACTCAACAGGTCTGAGGAGAAAAGAAACCATGTGAACTCGGTGCGACACAAACCAGAGCAGAATAAGAAAAATACTTGTGTTTTTTCATCAAACACGTCTTACAATAAAAAATAAAAAATCTTAAATTTCTCTGATAAAACCTGGAGCAATTCTGTCTCAAAACATGTAAAAAGGAGATGTTTTCAGGAGCCTCCTCACCTTCGTGCAGAGGGATCAGAGAGTCCAGAGTCCCGAAGATCTGGTTCAGCTCCTGCTCAGTCATGATGCACAGAGTCCTCATGGGGTCGTGGTACGCCTGCCACAGAACCACTGTTACTACAACTGCTTTAAACTATATTGGATGGATACTGTAGTTACAGATAGATACAGACAGACAGACAGACAGAGATACAGACAGACAGAGATACAGACAGACAGAGATACAGACAGATACAGACAGATACAGACAGACAGAGATACAGACAGACAGACAAAAAGACAGACAGACAGACAGAGATACAGACAGACAGACAAAAAGACAGACAGACAGACAGACAAAAATACAGACAGAGATACAGACAGACAGAAATACAGACAGAGATACAGACAGACAGAGAGACAGACAGAGATACAGACAGATACAGACAGACAGAGAGACAGACAGAGATACAGACAGGCAGAGATACACACGCACACACATTAGATAGATAGATAATGTATGGATAGATAGATAGATCGATATAGATGGATAGATAGATAGATAGATAGATAGATAGATATAGATATAGATGGATAGATAGATAGATAGATAGATAGATATATATGGATAGATAGATAGATAGATAGATAGATAATAGATAGATAGATAGATGTATGGATAGATAGATAGATAGATAGATAATGTATGGATAGATAGATAGATAGATAATGTATGGATAGATAGATAGATAGATTATGGATAGATAGATAGATAGATAGATAGATAATGGATAGATAGAAAGCCCATCATAAGTTGTTGATGATAGAAGCAGCAGCTGAAAGATCTTCTGAAACATTCCTTTGATGATGTTACATTTCTTACATCAAAGGAAAAGACCCTCTCACCTTTTTGGCCAGTTTGAGATCCTCCACCAGGTCCTGCTCCCCCTGAACCAGCTCAAAGATGGCCTGAACACAAAAACATGGTAAAACATATTTTTGAATATATTTGAATTGTGTTATTATCCATTTTAATCCATGTTTAACAGGTTAGTTATTCTTGGTCCTTCCATGTCTTTTCCATTTAAGAGACAGAGAAAAGAAAATCTAAGAAATGTTCAAGATTTTTGATGGAACTTAGCACTTAAACTGAAATGATTGTCTTTGGTCCCCAGAAACAAAGAGAGAGCGTCATCTGTCACCTACAGTCTCTCTCCCTAAAACCTTCAAACAAGGTCAGAAATCTAGGGGTAATACTGGACTCAGTCTTAAATTTTAATAGCCACATCAAATCAGTAACATCAGCCGCTTTTTACCATCTAAAAAACATTGCCAGGATCAAAAACATAGTGTCTAAAGCAGACTTGGAGATTCTTATCCATGCATTTGTCTCCAGTAGGTTAGACTACTGCAATGGCCTGCTCACAGGTCTGTCCAAACAGGCTGTAAAACAGCTGCAGTACATTCAAAATGCAGCAGCTCGAGTCCTGACTAGAACCAGGAAGTACGACCATATTAGTCCTGACTAGAACCAGGAAGTACGACCACATTAGTCCTGACTAGAACCAGGAAGTACGACCATATTAGTCCAGTTCTCAGGTCTCTGCACTGGCTTCCTGTGGCTCAGAGAATAGACTTTAAAACAGCTCTGCTTGTGTACAAGTCTCTCCATGGCCTCGCACCAAAATATATTAGTGACATGTTAGTCCCATATGAACCAGCCCGGACTCTGAGGAGCACAGGGACTGGACTCCTGCTGGGACTCTGAAGAGCACAGGGACTGGACTCCTGTTAGTGGACCCCCACGAAAACGAGATGATGCATCTCATGGGGTTATTCCTCTTTAAATAAATGTATAAATAAATAGTGCCCAGAGTCAGAACTAAACATGGGGAGGCTGCTTTTCAGATTCATGCTGCTAAAATCTGGAACAGTCTTCCTGAAGATGTGAGACAGGCCTCCTCTCTGACAATGTTTAAAACCAGGTTAAAGACAGTTCTGTTTAGCTGTGCATACAACTGAGGGATTTTATATTTTTATCTTTCTTTTTAATGTTCTGTGATTATTTATGATTTTAATGCTTTCTTGTTTTGTTCAGCACTTTGAGTTGCCTTGTGTATGAATTGTGCTATACAAATAAACTTGCCTTGCCTTGCCTTAAGGTCAATGACAAAAACATGAAAGGATACAGAAATCTATGTGCATTGTAATGTAGTGTGTCTTGTACTATATCTGTGTCGGTTAAGTTTATGTGAAGTTTGAAATTAATAAACAAATACATAGATAATACATACATATTTAAATAATCTATCTATTTCAAGGATAATGGGATAATTTAATATTTCAAGTCTGCTGACATCAAGAGCATATGTTTTTCACTAATGTTTTTCACTCTGTGTCCTTCACCTCTTGTCTCTTGATTTCTTTCGGGCTCAGAGTCTGCGACAGCCGCACGTCGAAGGTCTCGCTCCAGAGTTTGCTGTCCCGCCGCTTGGACCCGGACGCCAACGATGCTGCTGTTCCCGTGGAGACGCGAGGGATGGTTGCCGAGGAACCGGGGCTGGACTTGGTGGCTGCGACGAATCGAGTTTTCACTACGGAAACGGAGGAAGAGGCCGGAGGCGGCTCAGTGCGGCTGTCTGCGCGTAAACTGATGGAACGCTGAGGAGAGAGAGTGAGAGTGAGAGTGAGAGTGAGAGAGAGAGAGTGAGAGAGAGAGAGAGAGAGAGAGAGAGAGAGAGAGAGAGAGGCAGAGAGAGAGAGAGAGAGAGAGGCAGAGAGAGAGAGAGAGAGAGAGAGGCAGAGAGAGAGAGAGAGAGAGAGAGGCAGAGAGAGAGAGAGAGAGAGAGAGAGAGAGAGGCAGAGAGAGAGAGAGAGAGAGAGTTAGACCAGGTTAGTACTAGTCCTCAGTCCTCGTTCTACAGTCTGAGTCCTGGATCTATAGCCTGTCCGTCAGTGGGAGTGGATCCCTCTCTCACTTTTTATTATTGCATTTCCCGTGTTTAAACGGTTTGATTCTCTGATCTGTTGTTGGTGAATTGACAACTTTGCAAAGTCCTCCGAGACAACGTTTTTATTACTCATACACATGGTCCATATTCTAGTTTTTACCTGGAGACTGAGGCCGATCCTCTTCAGTGGAGCTGTTTTCACCGGAGGGAGAAGACCGACCAAAGACGTGACCCTGGAGATGGGTTTGGATCGCTTCGTACTGGGCTCCTGCGGGTCATGAAGACACAAGGTCAGGAGACAAGGAGAAGGGCAGAAAATACAAAACATATTTGATTTCATACTGAAGTAGGAGCGAGACTTCTCCCAGGAGCACTTCACTGTTAGGCTTCAGCTAGCTCATCGCGTTAGCACTGCCCATCACTACATACAGTTCAATTCAATTCATTTTTGTATAGCCCTACAGCTCAACAGTAAGATAAGATAGATAAGAGATCCCTTATTCGTTCCGCAGTGGGGAAATTTCAATGTTGCAGCGCACAGACAGGACAGTAGTAAGAGCACACAGGGAACACACAATAATATACAAAATAAGTAGTAGCTATGTTTCTTAACTAGCTGTAAATGCTTCAATACCAGTCTTTCAAAATATACATATAGTGCAGAGTTATATACTGTACATATAGGGCAGGCTGATAAGTGCCATTGCGGAGGACTTCACAAAGTTGTCGATTCTTTAACAACAGATCAGAGAATCAAAGAGTTCAATAGAGTACCATAAATGTCATCACTGTCTATGCTTGACATTGAACCAAAACTAACAATTACTAATTATTGTGATTTTCTTTGTCCAGGTCCACTCTGCTTGCATCATTCATCACCTTTGACACCTTTGACACTTTTGACACCCATGAAGTAGTTACACAAGCAGATTTATTGTGCCAAGCCAAAACCAATCCAAGTTATATAATCCGATATTCACACCGTTAGTAAAGTAGTCCGTTCAGATGACAGCGTTTCCATTGGACTGAATTAAACTGGTTCAGGGCGCAGAGAAGCAGAAGTGATACTCGGCGACAGAAATCGATACGAGCCGATGGATTTAACAAACCGTGCATCAATCGACCAATGAGAGCGCGGTTTATTAGACCTGCTCGGATTAAGATAGATTACAAAATCACTCTGATCCATTTACTTTGCCCTCCCATAGCCCTAGGTTAGGCTGGTCGTGTCCTGGTTTTTTCTTTGTGGTTCAAATCTAATAATGTCATTTTTGGTTCTAATCCACGTTCCTCCATGGTTTTCTCTCGTTAGGCCAGATACGCTTTTGTTACCACCTCTGTAACAACTGTCAAATGTTGGACTTGTCTCAGTTTTATATGTACATTTATATTGATCCATGTTGCAGGTGGGCTAACGCTGGCTTTTTTGTGATTGCCAGAGGGAAAAGAGGGACAAGACAGGGATTTCCTCTTAGGCTGCATTAGTTCGCTCTGGAACCCCCGCCCCAAGTTATTTGTTTATCACTTAAAATATACTTAACGGCACAAAACATTACATTTCCATATTTGCAAACAGATATTTTCAAACTGTAAACTGTAAAATCCTTAGTAACGGCTTCAATAGAAAGTAATCGTCATAAATTCAAAATAATGTTATTCAAGATATTGAAAGTCGTACTGTGTAATACATTACTCAAAAAAAAAAATAATAACACAGAAAATGACAGCTCAACAGAACATCTCTTTATGATGCAAAATCTGATATTCTAAACACGGAAAATTAGAAAAACGCACACAAAAATAATATCTGTGTCAAATTTCAAATACTTAAAAATTGTCAAAAATAACGGGAAAGTCACCAGAACTTTCATTTAGAATAAATATGGCATATGAATGTGAAAATAATAAAAAGTCGTAAATTATATATTTTTCTATCCACCATTCATTTTTCAGAATCAAAGCAGGAGACTTGGTTTTTTAAATTGTATGTTCATGTTCAGTACTCTCTCACCTCCGTGTGTGTTCTTATAGTTTCTTTCGTCACCGTCGCACTGAAAATCTGCATTTTGAGCTCCGAGCTTTGTCCTTCTGCCACCATTTTGACTGTTTATAAAAAAAATATTTACAGCCACAATCAAGACCCGGTTATTTCATAGCATCATATATGGTCCCAAATCCATTTCGTCTATAGTTGGATGAGAGAGAATATTCTTCATTTCCAAAATTCAGCAAAATCAAGAGGTAAAAATGTATGTACAATCGCTTGAAAATCAAAAATTTAAGAATGAAAAAACAGATGGAGAAAAAATATTCCAGCCTTTAGATCCACACAAGGTTGTCCTTTCGTAATCCCTTAATCCCAATCCACATATTTGTAGGATTATGGATCTTTTCTATTTAATCCACTCCACTTTGGTCCCTACTTTAGTCCTGGTTTAGTCCCTGGTAAAGACCTGTTTTAGTCCTTCTTCAGTCCTGCTTCAGTCCTGCTCTAGTCCAGCATTAGTCCTGCTTTAGTTCTTAATTCAGTCCTTGCTTCAGTCCCTTAGTCTTGCTTTAGTCTTGCTTTAGTTTTGCTTTAGTCTTGCTTCAGTCCCTGCTCAAATCCTGATTTAGTCCTGCTTTAGTCCCTGCTTTAGTCTCTGCTTTAGTCCCTGCTTCAGTCCCTGCTTTAGTCTCAGGTCTAGTCCAATCTGTGTGTGCGAAGCTTTGCGGTCACATTGACTCAGATCCGACTATTACATCTGTTTCTTTCTGTCTCCCTCTCTCTCTCTCTCTTTCTATCTCCCTCTCCCTCTCTGTCTCTCTCTCTCTCTCTCTGTCTCTCTCTGTCTCCCTCTCTCTCTCTGTCTCTTTCTGTCTCCCTCTCTCTCTCTGTCTCTCTCTGTCTCCCTCTCTCTCTCTGTCTCTTTCTGTCTCCCTCTCTCTCTCTCTCTCTGTCTCTCTCTGTCTCCCTCTCTCTCTCTCTCTCTCTGTCTCTCTCTGTCTCCCTCTCTCTCTCTTTCTGTCTCCCTCTCTCTCTCTGTCTCTCTCTGTCTCCCTCTCTCTCTCTGTCTCTTTCTGTCTCCCTCTCTCTCTCTCTCTCTGTCTCTCTCTGTCTCTCTCTCTCTCTCTCTCTCTCTGTCTCTCTCTGTCTCCCTCTCTCTCTCTTTCTGTCTCCCTCTCTCTCTCTCTCTCTGTCTCTCTCTCTCTCTCTCTGTCTCTCTCTGTCTCCCTCTCTCTCTGTCTCTTTCTGTCTCCCTCTCTCTCTCTCTCTCTGTCTCTCTCTGTCTCCCTCTCTCTCTCTCTCTGTCTCCCTCTCCCTCTCTCTCTGTCTCTTTCTGTCTCTCTCTCTCTCTCCCTCTCTCCCTTTCTCTCTCTCTCCCTCTCCCTCTTCCCTCATTCTTTGTATTTGGTCATGTTTTCATCACTTCCTGTATGACCCCTTATTGTTGCCGTTTCAACACAGTTTCATTACTAATATGATTCACAATAGTCGGCCCCTGCTCCATTGTATTTCCCAATAGTTGTAAAATATCTAATAATATACTGCTGCTCTGTTCTGCTTGTTCTCCTACTGCCATGAATACATTTTTTGAGAGGAAGTGGGATGCTAACTTAGTATTATTACAGTATTATTACAGCGTTATGGTAATATTATCTGCTAATACTTTACAATTACTAAATAATCTGATATGGGTGGGACTGCTCTATTCTCTGTGTTAAAGTTTACACCAAGTTTTGACCACACATTACATGAACTTATATTTTTAGTAAATTTGGAACGACGACTTCTAAAACATGTGCAACTAAACACATCTGAAGCTAAGCAGGGCAGGGTCTGATGGGAGACTTCTGCGTGATGAGAACCACAGTGGAGCGGCTATACAGTGCCTAACTGTAGTTGTGTCCTCAGGCAAGACACTTCAAAGTATTGGTCTGGTAGGATTAATGGAAGAGGGAGAGGCTGTTGGCATAGATACGCTGCCTTGCTCCTGTCAGTATGCCCCAGGGCAGTTTACCACCACCCTATGGAGTGGATGAATGTGCGTCTTTGAGTGTGATGAAAAGCCAGATATAAAGGAATATGTAAAATTATTATTATTATTACCATTATAGATTTTGTTTTGTTTTAACCAATCCTTTAGTCTACATTTAGATACAGTTATTCTATATAAATGTATTTATCAAGCCAATGTCTTTCTGTTTCCTTGAGAGAAATGAAGAAATGGGGAGAATCCATCATGATGTAAATGTCAAATGTGTTTTTTTTTTTTGACCCATTTTTTTGTTAGCGTTACATACATTGATCATTACAAAGCTACATTTTAGGAAAGGCCATGTCATGTCGTGTCATTTTTTCAGAAAAAAACGGATTCAGGGACTAACGTTGCTATGTTAAAATCATCTGTTTATTTATTTCAACGCAGCAACAAGGTTTAAATACTGATAACGTTGTGAATCATGGAGCACAAGATCTTTCCCCATTACTGTCAATACATTAATTCTCAAAAACACATCACTTGCAAACTTCTGTCCTGTATGTGTTAATACATTATACACGTTATATAAATATACACAGATCTCTCAGAACTGCTGATTTTTGTCCCTCTCCTGCTGCCGTCAGCTGTCAGTGGATGAGGCCTGTAAACCTGCACTTGTAAATATTGTAGCGTGAGATGAACGGGCGTGAAGTGAGCTGCTCTGAGTAAATCAATAGTAATTACAACCTCATTAAAAAAGTACAGAGCAGAACCCTGGGGCGGTGTTTCTGTCCTGGATTTACTAGAGTCACACTGGGTCCAAATCCAGAGGAATTCACAGCACCAACATACAACCTACACACAGGATGAGTTTGATAATTATTGATAAATATTAAAGACGACTGATGCCAAAGCAGTGTTGTACCACCTTTGCGCGGAACGGCGAGGGTCGTTCAACGCCGCTTACAGATTTAATTTGGTCTTGGTTTTGTTTTCCTGCTCAATGACAGAAAAATCAACAGCTAAAATTCATTATATTGGAATACTTGCAGATTTACTGAAGTGCATTTATTGTGTTACAACATTGTTCCTTTAACAAAAACAGACCTGAGGTTGTATTTAGATCCATCCATGCTAGTATCAGGAACTTCTGGCACAAACGTAACTCCGCCCCTTCTGCCTTAAAGCTGCTGTCTCAGTACCCAAGTTAAATAATGTTATTATTTTAATTTGGGAAGAAACAAAATTCTACTGCTCCCTCTGGTGGTAGCATAGGAAGTTACAGGCGGAAAGCATTTTTTTTGCCCGTCATACTTGTTTCACCACATATTTCACAGTTTAATGGCCAACAACAAACTGGTCACACTGGATTTAACACATATTTTGGTTGTTTTAACTAATCCTTTTTAAAGTGTACATTTATATACAACTATTCTATCTAAAATGTATAAATATATTCATCAAGCCAATGTCTATTTATTAATGGCCAAACACAATGTACACTAGTTATTCTTTAAGCGTGGTAAGTCTTTCAGTCAAAATGATTAATCTCATCAGAATCTTGTTGTAGTATCTCAGAATAATGAAGGCCTGGCTGTCAGCAGGGCAGCCGTCATTCCCACATGTGGTTGTGGTAAGTGGCCACAGCTGCCCTGGGAACACACACTGTACTCACACTGGTGTCAGCAGAAAGCAGAGGTCACAAAAGCCATTATGGATGACGGCTCCACCACCAGAGCCTCTACAGCCGGCAGCAATGATTCACGTTTAGATCATATGAAAGACCCATAAATAGTTGTGTATTCACCAAATCCAACCTTGTATAGTTTGATCGACAACAAGTTTAGAGATAATACATTGTGATTAATAATCTAACTGTGATTTACAACAATGGCATTAAAGTTTGGATGCTTTAATGTCAGGCTTTTAACAACAAATAACTAACATCAGCAGCATTTCACGATCGAAAAGAGATTCTTCCACCGCAGAAGTGGTAGTGATGGGGAGGAGGTGGGTTGCAGCACGAACATCAGACTTCTATGTGAAGTAGTATGGCAGTATATGTTTCAAACTTGAACAGAAATTCACAAATTAAAGCTGCGGTACCTAACTTTCAAGCCACAAAAAAAATTAAATTATGAAGAAAAATCTACCTAGTTTTTAGCTCTCAAAAAGGTTTGGTTGTACAACTATTTTTCCCTTACTTTAGATCAGCTTTTCCGGACAGAAAAGTTAAACAGAGAGGACCACCACTTCTCAGCCAGCTCTCAGCCCAAAGCGTCAAATAGCGACTCACAGGGCTCTTTCTTCAACGTACACAAGATAATACGTTTCATATTAAGATGAAGTCAGCATGTTATGGTCTTTTTTGTTCACGACATTTTAGACTTAAACAGACTTGCATAGCACAATAAAAATAACAATCTGAAAATAAGAATAATAATAAGATGATATTGTGAGAATAGAATCATCTGGATTTAGGTACTCAGGATAAATACATATCTGTGAATATGTTAGTTATGTACAGGATAAAGTACAGATATAACAGGATATCAAGACATTTTTCTGTATATATTTAAATAAAATACCACGACTTTAAGAAATAACAGTAGAAACACCAATATTTTTCTACATTTCAATCCTATTTTTTGTCATTTGTTTAGTTTTACAGCGGCTTCATGGCCAAATCCTCAATTCCACACATGCTTTTTCAAACTGTGCATTACTTCCTGTCTGCCCGCTGTCACTTCCTGTCTGAGTCGCAGTGTGTTTTTTTAGTTGACCCTAGACCCGTGACCTCATTGTATCTGAGTGGATTTGAATAGTGGCTCCACACGCCCAGCGCCGAACACAAAAGGCCCATTTTCAGAGTACTTCATGAGCTACTACTAAAGCGGGTGACTCATTACACTACAGTGCTCTTTGACATGTGCTATTGTCAAAGTGAAATGGTTGGACACGTCACGGCTGTCCAGAGGTTCAAAAGCATGATTTATGATGGCTAATAGGGGTCCAAAAATACATACTACTGAAACTGGAAAGTTTGACCAATCCATCAGCATGTGTCTGTCACTTTGTCGTCTGGCGTGGCCTCAAAGGAAACCTTTGAATCACTGTTGGTTCAGTCAACGCTACAACCACACTGTGAAGGATTTACTTTTGAATGAACTGGAAACGGCAACAAGTCTTAAAGGTGCAGCAAGTGATGTAGTTAGCTTAGCCGTAGCATCAACTGGAAACCACTCCCCCCTCCCCCCTCCCCTCGCCTCTCCACCAAACCAAACATCCAGCATTTCATTTTCTTGTCACAACAGGGAAAGTGGGCGGCAAATTTGAAATTGCCATTTTCTATTCAGCCCTTTCAAGTTTTAGAAAATCCGATAACTCATCCCTGCACTGGTCCAGACCAGAGCAGAGAGGATTCATGGTCCGGACCAAGTGGATCAGGCAAAAATCCACTGGAGGAATGCTAACTTTTTGAAAAATGCTAACAAAGCATTTAGCATTTTACTTTGGACCAGAGCAGAGAAAATGGTCTGAACCAAGCGGCTACTCCACCTTTTGACCCGTCCTGCTCCACCCAGAGGCTACTCCACCTCTGCTGCTGTGACCCGTCCTGCTCCACCCAGAGGCTACTACACCTCTGCTGCTGTGACCCGTCCTGCTCCACCCAGAGACTACTCCACCTCTGCTGCTGTGACCCGTCCTGCTCCACCCAGAGACTACTCCACCTCTGCTGCTGTGACCCGTCCTGCTCCACCCAGAGGCTACTCCACCTCTGCTGCTGTGACCCGTCCTGCTCCACCCAGAGACTACTCCACCTCTGCTGCTGTGACCCGTCCTGCTCCACCCAGAGACTACTCCACCTCTGCTGCTGTGACCTGAAGTGCTGTTGCTGATTATTACTATTGTTAGCTTTTTAGCTTTTTCGTTTTGTTTGTTTGGTGTTGTGTTTTTGCTGCTACTGGACACCTGCTTTTCTCTTACAGGGATCAATAAAGTATGTAACTAACACAGAACCACAGAGAGTGGAGTCTACAGTCTTTGGCTCCAAGTTTGATTCAAGTCGTCTTAGTTCTAGTCTTTTCAGGTTTTCTTACAAGTTTATTAAAAAGGCTCTTAAATACATTTGTGGCATTTATAAAACTGGTTGTAATTGTCCTTACTTATAAAGAGTGAAAGTCGAAAAATTAGAATATCCTTAATTTATCTCCGCAATTAAAATTAAAATGTGAAAACCAATATATAATAAATAGTGACATATGCTAAGCTGTTTTGTATGCTAAGTGTATGTTTTATTTACATACAGTTTTTACAAGCTTTAAGACAATTATCAACAGGATAACAAGTACAGGATTCACTTTGCGAGTAATGAGGCTGTCATAAGAGTTTCACATTGTAAGGTGAATCACAGAAATGAATGGACTTTTGATCGATATTCAAATGATCCGAGTTTCTGTAGTATATGGAGAAGTAAGTAAGTTCAAGACACAATTGAGGGAACACTTGAAGTCGTCATAGAGATCGACAGTCTACTCCCTTCAGTCCCGTCTCTGCTGCTCAGAATCATGACTCAAGTCTGACTCAAGTCCAAGTCATAACTCTTCCACAAGAGACTGAAGACGGTATTGTATGTTGAAATGTTGTATGTATTTTCCTGCCTACGGAGTATGGGTGAAAACTAGCTTGGTAGCTATAATCTGGCATACTTACATTTGTTTCATACTGATGTTCATTCATGTGCACTGTCCCTATCACATTAATAATTAAATAAATAAACAAAATTATTGAAGAGTGGACTGAGATCGCTCAAACAGGCTTCATGAGCAGGAATCTGGAGCCAACTTTGTGTCTGGAAACGACCTAGCAACAACAGAGTCATAATCTATAATCTATTGTTCCTTGCCGATGCATGAGGGTCTAAAAACCGTGGTGATGATCCCGGATACTCGACATTCAACAAGATTTAATAATAATATCTAAAAGCGCCTTTCAAAACACCCGAGGACACTGTACAGGACATGATAAAAACATTAAAAACAGGAGCAACAGAATAAAACAGTAGTGCATTATGGGACGGTGGGTGTGTGTTAGGTGGGGTAGGACAGTCTGAACAGATGGGTTTTGAGTCTGGATTTGAAGCGTGGAAGAGAGTCAGTGGTACGGAGGTCAGGGGGACAAACTTTATCAACATTTATTGACATTTATAGACATTTATAGACATCTTCTCCTTGTCTTATGGACCGACGGCTCTATGTGTTTTCCATCATCGCTCTTCTTGTGTTTAAACGGTTTGATTCTCTGATCTGTGTTGGCGAATGGAAAGCTTTGTAAAGTCCTCTGAGATAAGTTCTGTTGAAACGTGACCATTAAGAATCTATGTTTTACTCACGTTGATGTCGAGGCTGCACAGACTGAGGGAGTCCACATCTCTGCTCTCCTGCTTTCTCTTCTTCTGCAAACACAACGACAAAACTCCAGAAAAATACAATACGGCACATACTTAAGCATCATTCTTTCCATACAGATTACAATTTGTACTTATTTTATCTATTGGTAAAGCAAGAATAGAGCATAGAAAATGAAATGCTTGGCCACACCCCTTTTCCAACTGTATTTTTTTAATTTCTAGCGTCTGTATCTTGTCTGTTTGTTCTGTTGTATGAAAAATATATCTGAAATTAACACTTACTATTGAAAAAGAAATGCTTTTCGAGGAGACTTTTATTTCATGTTTTTTAAATGGTTCTGTTTTTGCAAATGAAAACATGAACGCTGTATGATATTGTAGGTGAAAAAGCAGTAGTATAGGAATTTATTTACAGATTACCCTTTGTCTTCGTGTCTCCGATCCTTTTCCATTATGAGTTATATGTATCTAATTATTTTCTTTCTGTGAATAAGATAAAAGAACCTTTATTGGTCCCACAGCGGGGAAATTTCAGTGTTGCAGCGCACATACAGGACAGTAGTAAGAGCCGACACAATATACTGTACATGCAGTAAATGATTCTTAATGTTGTTTGCATTCAATTTTTTTATTTTTAGCTTGTTTGGAGAGCAGACCGAGCAAGATCCAGTCTACAGTGTGTGTGTGTGTGTGTGTGTGTGTGCGTTGTTTTTTTCCATTCAAAACAACAATTAAGTACTTCCTCTGAATGGTGAAAACAACAGGAACTTACACGTGCTTCAATCTGTAGTCAGTGAGTTCAAGTCGACTACTGTAACCATCTACACACATCTACACACACCCACACACACCTACACGCACCTACACACATCTACACAAACACACTCACAGCCTTGTCATTTGATTCAGTAAATAAGAACGTTGACTTCCCCAAACTGAAAACAATGGACGTCTGATGAAGTGTAGCCCATGAGCAGGATCCATCTCTGGGTATTATACATTAAAGCTCGGGTACGTAACTTTTTCCCTGATTAATAATAAATGTTATCGTTTGTCTCCGTCTTGTTAAAGTAAAATGTTGAGAAGAAATCAGACATGCAGTTATATATTTGCATATTTGTAAGAAAGAAGGTTGTGAGTCACTATTTGACATTGGGCTGAGAGCTGATTGGCTGAGTGAGGGTGGTCCTCTCTTTTCAGGTTTCTATTGTAGTGAAGAGGGAGCAGCGTCTGTATTCAGAGCTGTATCAGACTGTTGTAGTGAAGGTGAAGCAGCGTCTGTATTCAGAGCTGTATCAGACTGTTGTAGTATTAGTATTAGATAGCAATATGGCCTACGTGCAGGACTGTACAAGGACTCCATGTTATGACTATGATTTGACTGTCTCTTTGTGACACGTATGTCTTTCGATGTGTGACGTGACAATGACTATATAAACTGTGTACTGCCTTTATTCTGTCTGAGGAAAAGAAACAGAGTAAACCAGTGGAACTTGAGAGCAACTTAAATGAACTTCCAGAGTTTGGCACACCACGATCCGTCTCTGTCTGCTAAATCCTAACAGATTTGGTGGAGAATGCGCGGCTCGGTTTGTGCCATTCTCTGGATTGTTTTGGGGGAGTTTTGCTCTGTTTCTTTTCCTCTGCGTGAGAGACCGGCATGCTGTGTCTGGGAGCGGAGATTCCAGCAGGCTGGAAGAGCTGTTCCTGGATGCTTCTTGTCGCTTCTGTCACTTTTGTTTTTTAAATTGAAGATTCCGACGCGGAAAAGAGTTGGCAGACCTCTCGGACAGCCCGTGCGCACCTCTTTGACAAGAATAAGGTAAGCAGACACCTTTTTAAATGTAAAGTCTGCATAATTGGATACTAGCTAAATTTGGGTGTGTTTTTGAGGTCTGTCGAACTCTCTAAATTGTGTTCAAATAAGTGTTGGCCATTAAAGTGAATAGGATCCATAAAGTGAAAAGTGTTGGCCATTAAAGTGAGGATCCATAAGTGAAAAGTGTTGGCCATTAAAGTGAGGATCCATAAGTGAAACCATGGTGTAAACATAAAAGTTATTATAAAAAGGGAAACGTGTTAAGGAGGCCTTTGTTACAAAAGCTTTGAAATTGACGAATTTCAGGCTGATAAATGACAAAAGTAAAGAAGCAACAATATTTCAGTGATCACGGTTTAAATTACATACAGAAAAAGGGAGTTTTTTTGTTTTTTAGTTTGTTTTTGGCGTGAACAGAGTTCACCGGAGAATGCAGAGTTTTATCTAAAGTTGAGCTATGAGAGCTTTCGTGAGTTATTTACATTTTTTGCCGAGTTTTATCTACAGTTGAGCTATGAGAGGGATGTATCCAACAGTTGTTTTTGTTTTTTAGAAAGAGATTTTGAGTTTAAACTAGTTTGCTACCTCGATAAAATAGAAGCGTAAACGTTAAAGACAAGAGTGCCTTTTGTTACAAGTGTGGAAAGTGATCAATTCTAGACTTGGGTGACAAAAGTATAAACTACAACATCAGTTATATTTGCTTAAAAAATTAATCTTGAAAGTTCTTCTTCTGTGTCTTTCTGCCTGTGTGTGCGCGTCTGTGTGAAAGGAACCCCCCCCGCCCTCGCTGCTGCTGAGCTGCTGCTCTGATTTAAAGGGGAGCTACTGCTTTAGGAATTTGGCTTTTCATAGTTTTTATTCCGTTAAATTTGCTAAATTTGCCATTTGAACATTGTGTTAGACACAGTTAAACGTTTTTAAACACCATTAGGGAATAGAAGTTTTGAATTAGTATGTTTTTGAAACCCAAAGATTAGTACAAAAAGCTTTGCTTTTCTTTTTAAATCTGCTGCTTATTTTGTGAGTCCATTATTGTATCTCTGATATATTTCATAGCTGTTTGTGAGAATTTTTTCATGTATTTTTTATTTTAGTTACAAAAGCCGTTTTTCAAACATTTAAATTAGAATCTGTTAAAAGTGATTAATGATTGTAGACTTCGTCTAAAAAAGAAAGAGGGAATTAGGCTGTAAAAGTATTATATTATTAAGTTAAACTACCCAATTCACCCAATTCACATGCAAGTGGTGACTTTTGTTTTTGTTTTGACTACACGCGTGACCTTGCTGCTGCTCAGAGACATGAGGAGGCAGCTCCGACGCACAATTGAGTTTTATTGAACCAAATCCAGTGTAGCTGGAGCTAAATCTTTTGTTTGATTTCAAGTTTTGTTTTAAATGTTTTTACAAATTAATGTTCATTTTTATAGAGATTTTTCATAATTTCATTTCATGGCGTCTTTCAAGAAACCCAAGGACGCATAGATAATTAATCACACAGTACAAAAGTATATAATACATGTTTTAAAGTTTAAAAGGTTGTTTGTTTTGAGTATAATTGTTGTTTTGATAACTTCTTTAGTTTCTGGTTTTAAAATGTCATCATTAGTAAGAGAATAAGTAATCTTTATTTACATAGCGCTTGGGAAAACCCAGAGCGCTCAAATTGTTTTGACTTCAGAGAGAAAAACAATCTCATTCACATACTGATATCTATTGTTTTTTTAAATTGGCTGTTTCAAGGATTGTTTTTCAGACTCTGCCACACTGTACGAGAGGTCACTGCTGGACACTGGACAGCGCAAAGCCCACCCAGCCACAGGTCACAGATCAAAGAGCAAAGGGAAATGCCACCTCCTTGCCCCTCCCCACGCCACTGCAGAACTGAGTGGGTGTGAGAGAGACCGGGGCCATGAAAGAGAGGTATCTGGAGACGTGATGGGTGGAGCGTCAGGTAGAGACCTAGAGGGAGTTGAAAGTGTGTCTACGTGGTTTACATCACCACAGTGTGACCTTTGACACCTACAGGTGGTTCGTGGAGTCTGGAGAGACAACCCCAAAATTCACATACACACACACACACACATACACACTCATACACTCACACATTCACATTTACATATAGATACATGAAAAAGCAGAACATGAGAAAAAAGCATTTTAAAAGTTTACTCCAATGTAAACACATATTTTTAATTGGCTATCACTTGAATCAGTATTTTTTGAGACCAGAAATGTTCATTTGAATTCTATATTGTCATGGACTTAATTGACCTCTGTCCTGACACTTTTGATGTTTTGATTTTGTACTGTGTGAAGTAATTACATTGATTAGAATTAGATCTGATAAAAACACAAATTAGAGAAGTAAACTGAAATTGCGCTTGCTTTTTGTCTGAGGGACATTAGCAACAGCATGAATAGAAATTGTGTTAAAGTAGAATCAAAGTGACTTAACCATAGAGAGTAACTATTGCATAACAAGCTGTGTACAGGAACTGAGAGACTGCACCATTGACCAGAAGTGCATCCCAAGTGACCTGATGTGCTTCAAGTGAAAAGACTGTATCTGGAGATCTGATGTCCAACTGGAGAGACCAGAGCCATGGCTTGGACCCTACTGATGTCCAAGATGACATCTCTCGAAATATGACCTGACCTGATGACGACTGAGACTCACCCTCAGAGGACCCTGAGGACCTGAGGATCTGAGAGAGAGAAAACTGGGGAGGATGTTTATATTATTGAAATAATGCCATTGATGAGTGCTAAATGAGAGAGATACTCATGATTCTTTCTTTTGTTTTTGTTTGTCCCTAGCTTCTGGACATCTGATGATCTATTGGACACAGCCATTTGCAGAACAAGAACCAGCCAATGAAAACGTCTATTGCTGATGCTATTGCTACAACCAGAACCTGTGACCAAATGCAATATACATGTTAAGTATTCAGACATTTGACAGACAAAAACTTTGACTTTTTTGTCTGGGAGACTGAGCAACTGTTAAAATGTTTTAAAATGATAAAGTATGAGTATTGTAGCGTTTTAGTAGATGTTAAATAGTAGTAAAAAAGTAGAATTGTCCTTTCTTTGTTGTTCATAAACACATTTCCACGTAAGAGTTAAAATAGTTCCATAAAATGTTATCTTTCTGATAGAGCAGCTAGAATATTAGAATCAGAGTTATGTTAGAGATATTAAAAGTGACAGAAGTCACAAAT